CCAATTAATTAATAAACTCCAGGTACTTTGGATCACTCAGCCTTATCCTGTTAGTCACATACCAATCTATTGATGACATACAACTTTTATTTTAAAGCATTCAACAGGTGAAATATTTACTCTGGCAGCCAAGGCAGAGGAAAGAAGACAGGAGGAGAAGGAATGAGCTTAAGCCACATTACCAAGAGATGGAAGGATCAGAAGCCTGGAAAGCACTTAAAAATACCTCCCAGATCTGCAGCATCCAGTGTTCATTTAAAACAGTGGTAGTCAGAGGCAGTTAAGAAGGCAAAGAAAAATTACTATGAACAAAGTGTAATTAAGAGTATCTGCCCAAACTTGCCTGAAATAAAAGTTAAACAATGAATCGTGTTATTTTCATAGATGTTAAATCAAATGCCAAAGATGATATTTGAAATGTCAACATTAACAAGACACACCAAGAAAAGTTAAGTGAGCAAGATTTACACTTGCCTTTCCATTGGACAAGACAGATGCTTCAATCCTAGAGCCATTTAACAGCAAGACGGGGATGGAAACACATTCAGTGCCTCTTCCTCAGGGGAAGAAAGGGGTGGAAAAGACTAAGATTCTAATTTGGAGATGTTATTTCAACACTGACTTGAAGTTTTACAGTGCATAGAATTCAAGACGAGCTAGATTAGTAAAAATTTTGTATTTAAATGGTCTGACTTAATCTGGCTCACCGCTCTGTGGGCATCTGGTGCATGGTCAAACCCAGCCCTCAGGGATGCATTTAGCTTGGAGCCCAAACACTGCAGCCTGGCTGAAAGAACTCCAAAATGTAAATAATGAGATAAAACAGTAAGGTTGCACTTGATCAAAATCTACCCATGACGTTTGCAGCTTGAAGGGTAAGAAAATAGCACCTGGGGTAAGGGACTGTTCTGCCATATTTGGATATGTACACCATGGGAAAGATCAGAAACAAAATTAAGGTGGAATTATGGCTGCAATTGAAGAGCAGAAGGCTTGGCTCACCCCGAAGATAACATTCTGTATAAACTGTATGAACTTTTTCATGTTCGTACTTCCAAGTTTTTAACAAACCTACAAGTTACAAATCTTTTCATCTCTTCAAACAGTTATGCAAAACTTATGGTATAATTATGTTTAATTCTACAGGCAATCAAAGCCTTTTGTCTTGTAACTGGGGTGGAGCCCTGCCAATTCCCAAATGATGGCTGCAATATTCTTTACAGCTGCACTGTGAAAAAGCAGGAAAAAAAGCACAATACCTATACAGGGCAGGAAAGGCAGTGGGGAAAGCAAAAAAGTTCTAGCAAATTAAAAAGTGCTAGTCTGCTAAATGCAATGCTTCATCTGCCTGTGCCTGGCAATTCATCTTTAGGGGTAATACCTCCAGAAATTAAATGTTTTTTCTTCTCTGAGTGACAAAACGATGAAGGCTTTATGACTCCAGCAAGTGTCCAGCTCTGCAGACAAAGGCACTTACCACAGCCCAGCTCTGTCCCCCAGCTCCACGGCTGCACTCAAAGGTGGCACAGCGGCCGATCAGCCGCCACCAACGCCGACAGGGAACAACAAGATGTACGAGAAATTACTTTGACTCAGGACAAAACCAGCACGTGCTTTCTACATTAAGCTACTACTTCAAACTTTATGCCAGAGTTTCCAGGGAACAGCCAAGTGCTGCAAAGTTAATCAAAACAAGATGTCTCTGAGCCATTGAGTACTGCAAGAGATCCTCCAGTGTTCAGCAGCAGGACCACCCAGAAATTTCTTTTAAGATGCAAGCCCAACAGCTGGGAAACCAAGCTTCAGCAAGTTAAACCATTTCTTCTCCTGTGTAACATTATCCCTCCCCAGGACTGCTGTGGATAAATACACTCTCATTCACAAATACAGCTGTACACTTGAATTTTGCCTTTTCTGATCTCATCTAGAATCCCAGAGAAGTTTTGGCAAGCATGACTGTTAGATACAATTAAAAGCTCAGCCGTGATAGCTCTTGGTTAATTGCAAACAGCACTGTGATTGTGCAGCATAGCTACATTTGCAGAAAGTTCAAGTATTCTTGCATATCTTAATAATACTCAGTATTTGATAGTTGCTGGAAAGAAGAGATACTAGGGAAAGACTAGTAAAATGCATCAAGCCCTTCTTTTTAAATAAACAGAGAAAAATCACTTACAGTAATAGTTGCATTTTATTTTCTGTTTTCGTTTCAATGTGCAGTATTTTCAGCATTTTTTTTTAAACTTAAACATACATCTAAAATTATATGCTTTTCTTTTCCCTTGAGTACAATTGCTTTTCAGGTTGGGGCTCCAAGCTTTTGCTCATCATTGCCCTCAAACTCTATCCCACCACAGGGTGCGTTACCTTATCCTTGTCAAGTTTATCCAACTGGATGGTGTGTACACACAGACTGATGGGAATGATAAACTCACACAAAATGCACGTGACTAAAGCAGCACATGCTTCACAAATGCTCTGCAGCATTTATACCCAGTTACCTGAATGCAGCTAAAAACTTTATCAAGATATACCGTAGAAGCTCTCCTGGGTACGACTGTGGGATTCTCAAGATTTTTAAATGGATACTTAGGTAGCATGCACAATGAGTTCACCCAAAATCTCTGTATTAGGTTAAATTAACATCATTAATTTCCCCCAAATTTTGCTACATTGCTTACTCTAGTTTTTACAGCAGCTTGTTTTCACTTTAAAACACTTAAACTACTTAGAAACTAGCAAAGTATTTTGTCCTCTTGTAACTTTCAGCAATTGTGTCCTTATAACCAAAACTGTTTTAAGAGCAAAGCACCTCCATTGCCCCTCAGCTGATTTCTACCTTTAGCAGGAAGTTTAGTTGAGATTGTACTTGGAAAAAATCTGATTTACACCATGAATGTACTCATTTAGTTCCCTGTCTTCTCCCATCAATGACCGGGTAAGATCCTGAAGGACTGAATTTAATTAAACTGCTTATTGCTATTATTTATTGCTCATTATACCCTAAAATTTCTTTTATTATGGAAGCATAAATGCCCAGCCCTGACAGCTCCACAAAATGCTAAGACAAACCAGGTCTGCTGCTCTTGGAGAACTGTCTTTGCAGTGCTTTTGACACAACCTCCTTATTTGCTATATAGTTAACAGCCACTGAAAAAAGGTGAATGGCAAGACAGAATGCTCTTAAGGCAGGCTACTAGATATCAACAAATTACTTTTATCCCAAAAGGTTCCACTTGTTCCTCCCTTCATTTGACCAAAATTTGTCCAGTCATTACTCAGTGCTTTTGGAATGCTGCTGGTGTTAAAAAACAAGCAATGTCTTGGTGCTAAGAAGGCATTCCTACCAAAGCAAAAGTAACACACAGTCATTTGCTAGGTGCTTTAGGCAAGAAATGACATCTGAGTATACACTTCAGAGAAGATTTAAATAAACTCACATTCAATTGCAACCGGAAAACAACATAAATAGTAAAGAAAATACTTTGAACCCCACAAATAAGAACAGGTTTACAATAAGTTGTTGTTTGCAACTCCTCATTCTTGCACTCAGCACAAGGGAGGGGGCAGGCTGAAATGAAACACAAAGCAAACTTTATTCAATAGGTCAGTGGGTAGCTGGTCCAAAAGCCATTTATAACAAGTTGGCTGGCATACAGTGTTCTCAGGGGAGGGCCACATTATAGATTTAGTAATGCAGTTTCTTTGACAACTGAATTGTAACTGAAGTTTTAAATATTAATCTCTCTCAAGTATGCTCCCAGTCATGCCACACCTCTCATCTTGTAAGGCTGCAAAGAAGCCACTTTTACTGCAAAGCACATTAAAGATGTTTCTGCTTTGTTTAGCCAGGACAACAAATGTATGTCTAAAGACCAAACATATTTCTACCCTGATCTCAATGAAAATATGAACAGCCTGGTTTTCAGAATTAGCTTTCTGTTTACAGCAAGTTAAAAACACTCTGTGAAATAAAATCTTGCATAGAGTCAGTCTCAAAGGACAAGCAGTATTTTTATTTCCTTTAAATGGAACATCAGAATGCCTTAATGGCCACTGTTCTGCTGTTACTACCCCTGTGGCACACCTCATGGCTTGTGTCACTAAAAGCAGACAGGAGTGATTCTGAGTATGATTTCATTCCCAAAGAAATGAGGGTGTGGAAAGAATGTCCAGGAAGAAGAGAGGAAAGTGTGCTGCAGTGAAATGTCTGAACTGAAGCACTACTGCAGTGTGCTCCCACACTAGGAAGACCCTTAAGCTCCAACTCCTTCAGGTCACAGAGGATTTCCTAGGAGGAGGTGCCCTTCTTTAGACACTTGGGACACATTACAGGAGGTACAGACACTACAACAACCTCCAGGAGAGGTTAAAACAGATGAAGTTATTCCCAGTGAATCTGTGTGAGGTTAGAACTGAGTGCATCAGCTCTAGAGCTTGTCTTGAAACAGGCAATGCAAATCCTTGCTCTAAGGCTGGCAAGAGGCATTTGAGAAATGGGAGTCTGTCACATCTATAATGTTTTAACCCAGCTGTGCTGACTGCTTAATTCAATGTATTTCTTCACTGGCTTGAAAGATTCTATAGCAAGTCCCAAGCTGGTTTGGAAAGTTTCAGAAAGGGTCTAGCTCCCGTGATCCCGAGGTAATCAGCTGGTCTGTGTTAATCATGAGGAGCTTAAAATTATGAAGAATTTAACAGTTTCATAACACAACATATAGTGTTATATGGTGAGAATTTGGCTAACCTGATGCTTAAAAAATATATTAAAATCTATTTTTAAATTCTGGAAAATAGCTTACAAAAATATCTTCACTTAAACTATATATCATACAAAAACTGACTGGTGTGTGGGTTTACAGTACAAAATGATTATTGGTGATTACAAAAGGGAAGAGTGATCTATACTACCGCTTAATGCAAACACAGGGCATTATATTTCACTGCCTGGAATTAGACTTTTATCAGAATTAAGATAATTTCCAATATAACACAAAAACTTTCAAATAGTATCTATTTTATTAAACCTTTTTCTGAAACCCTGTTCAGTTTCTTTTAAAAATCACCACAGTGCTGTGGCCCAAGGAAGAAGAGTAACCCAACTTAGGACTGAAATAATTGCTCTAGATAATAAGACCTGTAGAGAGCTAAATACAGCAACATCTACAGTTGTTTCTACTGCCCATAATATCAATTTCCTCTACCAGTTTCTAAAAGGAAGCGACAGCAGTGGACAATTCCTTTGTAATCAATTTAAGGGCAGAAGCAACAATTTTTGGTCTAGATTGGAATTAGTTTAAATACATGGGTTTAATAAATACAAATATACACATCTGTATACATTAAATGTTGTCACATGTGTATAATTTCAACATATACATTATATACAGAAATACATACAGTACATGCTCCTCCTGACAACACTATCTCATTTTTCCAAGTGTCACCAAAAGGTGTGATAAGAAAATGAAGAGAGGTTGAATGTAGGATCTGACTGAGAACCAAGGTATCATTTCTCTATAATGAAAGACTTAAGTACAACTAAAGACAAATGCTGTGCTAGATTTCCTCATGTAAAGCTTAGGAATCAATGGCATTCCCTGGGTGGTGAGTAAAAGCTAAATCTGGCCCTGTGTAGTGTCCTGAAATTCATGGATATTTGTGTTTGTGTCTAAAGCATTATGGATACAACAGGTAATAAAAGAGGTTGTGTAATCTAACACTTTAGCCAGTCCCAAAGTAGACCACAGCAGCCTTCTGATTCTTTACTGCTACCACATATTTGTTCACATGAGAGTGGTCCAGATGACTCCATGGTCTCAGTTAGGAAAGGTCAAATGGTTGTTGACTACTGGGGAGCTTGCACCATTTTGTCTCTTAAAATGCTGTGCAGCAAATAAGAACAGTTTCTTAAGCATCTAAAGTTCGATCCAGAGTGACTAGTCCTCTTTCTTACCATTATGTCTCAAAATTAAGGAATTACAAAGAAGCTACAGAAATGTGGATCACAAGAATGCCTCCTTAGTACAGTTTCTCAAGACAAATTAATCAACATATTCCAGTTTTAAAGCACTTTAAGAAAAAGTGAGATGCAAAACAAGATGTAATCTGTACATTAAGATGGATTTCCAAAAGGAACATGAATTCAAGAATGAGGAAAAAAAATGAGGACAATACAGATGTCAAGACATTCAGTAGCATGGCTTTTGTTCATCTCCAATTACAGCACAGCTCATGCACCACACATCTTACAATTTTACATACTGTACATAATATAGAAATATTTAAGTTAAAATTTCTTTCACTGATATACTGTACTCAAATTTGAAAACCTGAGAAGAAAAAAGAATAACGTGTGGTTACGTATGTGCACTATATCTCTGGTATCACCAACACATACACCACTGGATATCAGAAAATCCAGAGAGAGAAATTACATGCTGGAAGTGTAAATCATAAAAGCCATTTTCTCTTTTCCTTGTTTGGGAGAGACATTAGGAAACAAATTCTATTCTGTACTACACAACAGTATATACAGGTACATAAAACTATGAAGTTGGCTAATGACTGCATGTTGCAATAACAGTCTGTCAGTGCTTTACTGCTGCACCACAGTGGCTTCAGCTGCATATTGGGAAGAAGAGGAATACCAAATACCTTGCATGTGGTACTAGCTCATATTTTACAGCTTGGATGTGTGGCTTCTTTAGTCCCCACCACCACTTGAAAAACACTGACATACTTCATTCCACTTAGAGGTGTTTGGTGTCAACAACAACTACACTTGACTCTCAGGTGATTTCCAGTGCTGCAGAGCACTTGTCCATGCATGCTGGAAGGAAAACTGACAGGTCCGTATTTATCACAAATGCAACCCCAGGTATTTTCTTCATCTTGCATTCCTCATAACTCATATTCCAACACTAGTCATGCAGTTCCACTACACATCAGGATGTTCAGCATGCTGTGACCTTGTGGACATTTTGCAAACAGGTCAGGAGGCGGTGGTATGGGGTTCCAGGCGATGCCACCACCTCAAACACCGACTGGAAGGCTCTCCGATCCAGCTCCTCATCGATCTGGTGCCGGTAGAAGTCTATAGCCACCAAACAGAAGATGTTAACATCCACTTGCTCTGATTTCCCCATTCTGCTGATAATATGTGGAAGACTGAAATACAAGTTAAGGTCATAAAATGACAGATATTGCCTCTCTTTTGGTATAGCAGTTTAAACTCTGTTCTCCATTAAAACACCTTATTCTTAAGTTCACCAACAATGCTCAACAAGTGCAAATGCTGTCATAGGCCATTAACTGCTACTACATAAATCCTATTTCTTCCTTAACATCACACAATTTCTTATCCTCAGAAATTAATTTCAAGCTAGCAGTAGTTTTCTTTATCCATTGGAGCAAACGATGCAATCAGCAACTGCTGAGGGCCAAAGAGCACTGCTGAGGTTGGGACTCATTAGGATGTCTCAAACATGACAAATGGCCATTTTTTTGTCTGCACACAAGATGCACTAGTTATTTTTTTGTTTGTTTCAGGGGTTTGTTTATTTGTTTTTAAATAAACCCAGCACTAATACCACACACACATATATATAAAGATAGATATATAGATAAATTGGAAGAAGTCTGTTCCAATTTATTTGACCAATACAATTCCATTGCCAAAGCCCACTATTACTGCAGTGCACAGCCAGGGTGATAACTGCAAAATACAGTTTGGATGTAGAGGATAATTCTCTTGATTTTGAGTTTGTTGGCTTCTTACATTTTCTTCAATATATTTTATCTTGCAGAAGGAATACAGAGCAAAGCTTTTAAAGGTCACAGCAATACTATCTTGATGAAGCTTGCAAAAAGTCCTTCAAAGTAAGGACTTTCCCAATCATCTTGCATAGCCAAAAGGAACTGATCTTAAAGCAGTAGTTTTAGATAACTTTGTTCTCACAATGTGTTTAGATGTTCTCTTTTTTCCCTACAAACTTGAGGTACCAACAGCACAAAGCAATATACACCATTACTATCTGCAGTAAAACTGCCTTTTTTGTGTCTTACACTTGTACTCTTATCCTTCAAGGCTTTACACTATAATTACCCAGAAATGGCACACATTCCAACTTTTTAGGATACATTGCTGAAATCCATTGACTGGTGGAAGCACTGACAAAAAAACAGGAAAGACTCCACATTGCCATTGCCACAGGTGTTCTTTGTGTGAAATTGGAGAGAGAGAGCATCACCCAGTCACGGACCATGGAGGATTGTCCAGTGCTATGCAGTGTCTGGAACACCTGCAAAGTATTGTACACAGGAATAAAGACAGGGTGCATGGATATGGGAAAAAGTTCAGTTTCTCTTGTAAAGGTTCTCTCTGGCTACAAAGCCCTGAGGGTCACAAACTGGATTCCTGGGGACAACTCTGAGTCAAATGAATTAGTGAACTGGACTTGTGACAAATGTACCAAGCTGAAGTAATCACACAGAAATATACAACTTGTGTGGGGTATTTGCTTTTTATAGATCACATGTGCTGTGCACATGCACTCTCCAGTGATGCAAAAGTCCAGCAGGTGCTGAAGAGCCAAAAGCCCAGAGGCCCAGCTGAAGCCACAGGGGCTTGCCTGTTAGGCTCACAAGGTGATGGCTCTCTCAGATCTAGAATCTGAGCACCAGGATCACAACCACTAACTTTCTCTTTATTTCTCATTATCAGTGACTGGACTGTCCTGCTGTGAGCTTTGGCCTCTAGGTGACATGGCAATTCTAGCCCTTGAAGCTGCCTGGAAGGCAAAGCTCACAGCAGGACAGCTCAATCATGTCAGGTTTTTTAGATCTAATTTACAAAAGTGGCATATGGCCCTTCAGCTGAGCTGTCAATTATTTAGAAATTTTCTGAAGCATTTAAGAAAAATAAATGTATCAATACTACCTTATAAACTACTGTTGCCATGAATTGTGGGTATGGCTGCTGATTGGACAGAAATTCCCCAATGACTTTGTTCATTACATCTTGTGGGGGGAAAAAATCATCAAGGAACTGTGGAAGAATCCGAGCCACTACTCGAGCTTCAAAGGGAAATCCCTTCCTGATCCTGAAAATAATAAAAAATTAAATACATTATGACTGAATGTCAACACATATCTAGTTCTTTTCCAATTTAATTGGCAATGGAAAGAACATTTTCCTTTCATCTCTGGGTAGGCAAGCTCTCAGCACTGATGAATCCAAATCTTCATGTAATCTTAATAACAGACTACCCAGAGAGGTCTATCAAAGCTGTCAGAAGCTGTTACAGGTGTGTCCTTACCCCATACTCTCCCCTCTTCTGTTTTGAATAACCATATTTTTTGAAGGTCTGGAATTGTATCAGAGATGAGACTTAACAACAGGAATGCTGAAAAAACTAAACAAGAACAAAAAAGGACAGGGAAATCACTCATCCTAGTTATCAGAGGAAAGACCATTTATAAACAGAACACTAGTTTTCATTCATAACATCTTGGCCTTTTTTATTCAAGTCCAGAATGACCAACATATCAAATGAGAAAAGCAAGCTGTATTGCTGTGTAAAGTGGGGAAAAGATACTCCAACCTAAAGACAACTTTGTTTAAATAACACTAATTGGAAAGTCTTGCTAATAAAGGCAGCATCTGTTGATGTATCAAAATCAAGTTACCAGCATGTGATTCTTCCCTGCAAAAGTTATTTTTTGCTTGTAGTAGTCACATTTGTTTTGCTAGCTCTTCAGAGTGATAAATTCAAAAACACTCAAGCACTACTCTAGTTCTGTTCTCACCAAGTACAGAAGTGAAACCCTCCTCCAGTTTTATGGAAAAACCACTGAACACTTTAAAAAATGTAAACCATTACCCACAAACTACTACACAAAATCTAACATGCTATACTCACTTAAGACAGCTTGAGATTGTCAGATCAAAACAGGGGTTTTGAAATGTTCCCATTAATGAGTTCCATGTGCATACAGAAGTTTTACTGTATCCTTCGCCTGCAATTACTTAACAGCCTCAGAAAGAGCAACTCTTGTGAGAAGGGAAGGGGGGAAAAAGTTTTAAACTCTTAGGGTGGTTAGAAAGATTATTTCCTGTAAACTGGATTTATATCCTTGATTATGTAGAAGACATCCTGAAAAGCACTTAAGAGTTTGACCTGAAGGGAGCTGGAAATACATTTATGAAGTAGTATGGTTTGTGCAACACACAGTATCAGTTTGGACATGTCTGGTTTTCATTTACATTCCTGCACATTTGTGCTGCCTTCAGCAATTCCATCAGTGTTACTGTGTATACCAGGAGTGTAACTTCTAAGCAACAATAAGTAGAGAAACATCATTAATTAACTGTAAGAACTGTTAAATAGAGAAGTGGCAAGCACAATCCTTTCCCTCTCAGAGCCCCATTTACACACTTTGTCCTCTTACCTATCAAAAAGGACAGATACTCGTTCCATGGCAACAATCACAGATTCACTGTCAGGAGCACCAGGATTTGCATCTGGGATACGGCTGGGGCTGATTTTTTCCTTTCCTAAACCAAAATAATTTGTTACAAGTTCACTGTGGAGGTTAAAATACACTTCTTTTACTTTTTGTAACAAAAATAAATTAAGAAAATTAGCACTGTCAGCAAGCCACTCTCCCAGCACATCAGAAGTATAAAAAAAGTGAATACCTGTGTACATGCAAGTCAGCATCAATCCCAGGGCTGCCATTGCTCTGTGGGGGCTCTGCACATTCACCCTGTCAACACTCAGCTTAACCAGGGACTCACTGTCCAGCCTGGAAAGCTGCTCTGAAAGAAGGAGTCGTTCCAATCCTCTCAGGACACAGTGATAAATAATGGATGGTGTTGATTCATCACTTCCAGACACCATGACTCCACACATCTGAAATAAAGCAAAAAAAAAAAAACAAAACTACTTGGTTTTGAGGTGTATTTAGGTCATCTTCTAGCAGCACACCAGAACAGCGTGAACGGCAACAGATATTAACAAAAAGACAGCTAATGTGGTGGTCTCAGGTTACACAACCACCCCTCACTGGAGGCATCACAACATACCTGTATAATTCCTGCAGAGAATTCAGGCCCTACATCAAGTGGGTAATTCTCAATCAAATAGAAAGCAGCTGCACACATGACCAAAATGTGCTCTTGGTTATGGATATTCACACAACTGCAAATGAGCAAAAACACTAGTGGTCACACCAAAGTTGTTTAGGTCACAGAGACACTATAAACAATTTCTAGAAATTCTAAGTATCTTTGAGGTGAAACCTAAGCCCTTTTTAAAATCACTGAAAGTATTGCTGAGGTGCCATAAGAGAACATTGATTATCATGAAAATGACAGAAAAATGAGGTTTAAGTAACACAGTTTACCAAAGACATGAAAGCCTCTACTATCAAACAGTTTTCTCGTGCTCAAATACCATTTCGATCTGTAAATTAAACCTAAAATTGGATGATATTTTCAATGAAAATGCCAAAACCTGCTTGATAAAACAGCCTGCTCTAAAATGTACTGGCAACTGCCAACAACAGAGAGCCCTTTTGTTCAGACATAAACATGCAACAGTTTGGAGCCAGGGGGAAAGGGAGAAGAGTCTTACTGTGCTACTCCTCTCAGATTGGAGAGCAGATACTCGCTGATAATTGGAATGAGCTGCTTTGCTGTCTCATCCAGCAAGTCACACTCAAGGATATAAAGAATTCCATGCAGGGCTCCAATCCGACTTGGCATGTGGGTGCTCCTCAGGGTTGATTCCAGCAGTCGACTTACTGGTTCAGCCACAGCTTTATCCTAATACACCCAACAAGAGCACTCATTAGAAATCAACACTGTTTAAATACTGGCAAGTCCTGTCATTCAGAAATACTTGGAACAAATTAAAGAGCAGAAAATAGGGAACAAACCAGAGCCTGGCTTAAACTACTTTGAATAGATGTCACAAGACTAATACAATAAGACAAGAGATGAGTTGTAGATTAACTAGGAAATTGATGCTACTTTGTTTTATTTGTACAAAGTTATGTCATGATTTAAAATCTAAAAAACCCAAATAAGATAAGGATTAGCTCAGTAAACAGTACGTGCTATTAAGAATATAGGACTTGAATGATTGAAATTTTGTGGCCTTCCAAGTAAGCACAAAGGATGCTTCCATCTGAAACAGACTGGCACCAGACAACTATACTCTGCCATCTACTATATGCCTACTCAACTCATAGCACATCATTCCATTCACAGAGTCACAGAATAATGAGGCTGGAAGAGACCTCTAAGATCGAGTCCAACCTGTGCCCTAACACCTCAACTAGACTACAGCACCAAGTGCCATGTCCAGTCTTTTTTTAAACACATCCAGAGATGGTGATTCTACCACCTCCCTGGGAAGATCACTCATTTATTATTCTCTGAGACCACTGGTACTCAGACCTGCACATCTTTCCCTCCATCAATTCTGTGATCTGGATGAGGGAATTAAGTGTACTTTCAGCTGGGCAGGAATGTTGATCTGCTGGAAGTGAGGGAGACTGCAAAGGGATCTGGACAGGCTGGATCAGTGGGCCCAAGGCTCTGAGGTTCAACCAGGCCGAGTGCTGGGTCCTGCCCCTGGCTCACAGCAACCCCTGCAGTGCCACAGCTGGGGCAGAGTGGCTGGAAAGGGCCCCATGGAAAAGGACCTGGGGGTGCTGGGTGAGAGTGGCTGCACATGAGCCAGGTGTGCCCAGGTGGCCAAGAAGGCCAATGGCAGCTGGGCTGGATCAGCAATGGTGTGGCCAGCAGGAGCAGGGCAGTGACTGCCACCCTGTACTTCACAGAATCAATAAGGTTGCAAAAGCCCTCCAAGATCATGGAGTCCAGCCTTTGACCAAGCTGACCACCATCAACTCAACCACAGCACTGAGTGCCATGTCCAGTCATTTCTGGAACACCTGCAGGGATAGTGACTCTACCACTTCCCTGGGCAGCCCACTCCAATGCTTAACCACCCTTCTAGTGAAGAAATTCTTCCTAACAGCCAACCCAAACCTCCTCTGGCACAACCTGAAGCCATTTCCTCTTGTCCTGTCACCTGAGAGAAGAGACTGACCCTTACTTTGCTATAATCTTTCAGGAACTTGAAGAGTCATAAGATCCCCCCTTCAGCCTCCTTAGGCTCCATCCTTAGGGAAATGGTTCAACTCAATGATCAAGGGTCTTTTCCAACCTAAATCATTCTACAATTTTATGTACAGTATTCAAGGTCAAGCTGGTATCAAATACTTCACTTCCTGTTACCAAAGTTATCAAATACCACAACTTACTGGAATGTACAAAATTTATTTTGATTTTTAGTTTTGGAAAGTCTTCTCCTTACTATTCAAGTAACTAGTGGAAATTACTTGCTTTATCTTGTCCTCTTACTTATGAAGTATCTAAGATACAGACCAGTTTGAGACAGTGTCTGCTCTCTAGCTGCTCTTTTTAAGCAGATTTTCTATGTAGCTGAACATAGAACAACGAGCAACTCCTGATGGAACCAGCTTCTTGTTTTTTAAGTCCCACCAAGCTGTTATATTCAGCTGTTTGCTTGTGAGAAGGGGTTATTAGCTCACTGAGTGGGAAATGACAGCCTAGTCAAAATAAGCTGATCTCTAAAACTGTTTCTGTATGTTTGCCATCACATTCCCAGCCTTCCCTTGCAGAGTTGCTGCTGCAATAGCTACTGAAAGCCCCACCCTAAAAGCCTTTCAGAATTTCTGTGACCACTATTACCCATATAGCTTTATATTAGTCTCAGAGTTTCTAGAAGTGCTAACTCCTTCCAAAATGATTTGTCATTTTTTTCCTAAATAACTACACTCTGAAATGTTCACTGGAAAGTACTTCTGGTCTACACATCTCAAGACAGAATGATGCAGTGGAGGGAAGAGTGAGGGAGAGAAAAGGGATACCTGACTATCTGGGACTATATTTTCATCACATGCACTGTCCCAGCCTCCCATGACAGTACAGCCATTCCCCAGCAATACAAATCTAGCAAAAGCTGTTTCTGGCCTGAAGTGTAACAAATGAGTCCAGGGCAAAGGCAACACTGAACTCAATGCAACAAACCAAAAAGCACATTAAATTATGATCAAACCTCAAAAAAAATCAAATCAAACAACCTTTCTGCTTGAATACAGGGCAATTGGAGATAATGTTTGCAAACTCTGAAAGCTCAGAATACATATCCTATTACTTCTTACAGCCATGCAGATCAGCTAAAGGATATTCTTAGAGACAAACTACGCTTAACAAGTATACCAAGTTCTGCAGCAGAAGCTGGGTTAACCTAAACACTCATGAATTTGCAATAAACTTTCTGAGAATTTCTTACCATTCCAAGAACAGCAGCAGCTTTACAAGTAGCTGGTATCAAATACTGTACAAGAATCTCATCTTCAGACGGATGCACCTTTCTCAACTCTGTCAGTGTTGTGTACATCATCTCAAACTGATTCCTTTCTGTAAATAAGTCTGACACTGCCAGAAGCTGTAATGAAATTAAAATTGAATATAAAAAAATTCCCATTAGGAGACAGCCAAAAATTCACTCTCCTTTCTGTTAAAATTGTGAGCAAAATATTCCTCAATCGATCTATTAAATGTGTAAACATTTACTCAAGGGTCTGAAACAACTATTACTATTGTTGTCCAGATTTAATTCCACCATTCACCTCTGATAATAATGACCTCCAAGAAGTCCTTTTTACCAAAAAGTTTACAAAATCAAAGCCACTATAGGAAGTAACTCTGGGACATGAACATTGCTATTTACAATGTACTAAACCATCCCAAAATACACAACACATACTTCTCTTGCAGGGATAGCTTCATTTTAAGTCATAAGAATGATAGTGAATAATGGCTGTCAAGACACATGCCACACCTGTGCTCTTTAGTTTTGCTTCTACACTTAATAATCAACTTAATTCTCAAATATATTGTTGTTCCATCTTCATTTTCTTACAAAAGGATAGGATAAGAAAATCTTGCTTTAGCAAGTAGTCAAGTAAAATATAAACTGCCATTAAGTTGCAATAAAGTATTTGTAATGTAGCAGCAGAATATGAAATTCAAATGCTTAGAGAGCATTCAGTCTAATGCTGTAGTTGCCCAAGCTGTATTTCTGTATTGCCCACAGAATAGCAGTGCCAAGAAAATTCTGTGTGTTCCATACATTAAAAGATGCTTTATAAATGTTACTTAGCTCTGAACACTTGTAACAGAAGCTCAGTTATGACTCTGAATAACAACCGAGACTTACTGATCGCACCACTTCACTGATCAGAATCACTGGTGTTCTCTTGCTGGGGTTGGATGGCAATATCCACTGACTGTACAGCTCAAGCAGGAACTGAGAACAAGAATGGATATCCACACCAGCTCGGTGTTTCCTGCAAGGAACAATAAACAAGTAGCTATTCTTAAACCCTGCTAAAATGCTTGATTTGAAATAATACAGTTATTTAACAGCACTCAATTTATAAACCCAGCTTATTGAACTCAATGAAGAAATAAAACCTTATCTCTGACTCAAAAGTGAGGGAAAAAAAAAAAAGATACCTAGTGTTGATAGGAGAGGTAGGTGGTGAGGAAGGAGCAGGTACATCGTTCTCATCTTCTTCATCCTCACCCCACTCTTCTTCTCTCAGTGGAGTGATATTATTTCCTAACCATATAGAGTGTATAGAGACCTTGCAACACACACAAAAAAGAAAAACAAATAGCAAAGAAGTGCATTCAACTCCCCAGTAGTCAGCCTAGAAGAATCTTAGAAGCCAAACATATTTTCATTTAAATGACAGGCAAAACACAGCCTCTAGCTGAGGAGACACCCAGTTATGACCTATCCTGCATCATTCAGAGGTTTTAGTTTCTATATGATGTCAAGCAATGCTTCTTAACTAAATTTTCAGAACTGGAGGAAATGTAATGAAAATCAAGTTTAAAGTTGAGCGTTTAACAAACCTGTCCCAATTTATAATCCATATCTCCTATTTCTCGTTCAGTATTGATCTGCAGTAAGAGTTTTTCATGGCTGATAAGAGCACCTGCAATGAAACACAGGATGAATTTTTTTAAAAGTGCATAATAAAGCACATGTGAAAATGGCTTAATTTTCCACAAACTGGAATTCAAATTCTTCTGAGAGTACCTTTCCCACATTTTAAATGTGAAAGAAATTCAGTCTCCCCTTCCCCCCCACAAACAAGCACTTACCTGTAGTAGCAGGAGAAAGTGATGGAACAGGGTCCCAGGCTTGGTATAAATGATGAGTAGCAATATTATCTCTCTTAGACACCATTGCCTGGATTTCCTGTTCAACAATTCCCCTGATAACACTTAGCTTCCTCCCAAACCTAAAAGCCCAAGAGAAATCAATTTTAGCAGATTTTTCCTTTAACAGTTTTTTGTAAGTCTGGCTCACACTGTAATGTTGTGTGTCTATGCTTATTTTCAGTATCAGGGAAATGAAAATGTTGAAAAATATGTTCTGCACACTGTTTACTAGATTTTATTAAGATGTTATCTTTTTCAGATAATCTTTTAAGTCAGCAGGTTCACAATGCTAAATCCATGCAACTTTTATGTAAATAGATCCATCCATACATACTCTAACTTAAAAAATACAACCTACACATATTTTTTTCTACAACTAGACTAAGCAGCTGTTGTTATTTATTAACCACAAGTTTTATGCATTTGAAAACAAGTGAAAACAAATACCTTGTGTCCAGAGCTTTTAAAGCTTTGTTGCGGGGCTGCTGCTCCAAGCAGCTGACTGCTGGATTGCCTGCAACAGGGATGGTCATGGCACTCAGCACCAGGGAGGTTATGGCTTGCACTGCCAGAACATTGATCTGGGTCCTCTCTGTATCCTCCTGTAAAATGAACCCACTGTAATTTGAATTGTTTAAAAAAAAAATCCCAAAAGCTCTGAATATCAGTTTGTCAGGTTTCACTAACTTATCGTTAATAAGCCTGACATCTGCTCTTTTTCCCATCCAGAAATATATGTGACATAAAAAATGCACACAAAGCACTGACTGCAGCAGCAGCACATCCTTCCTTCTCATCAGTCACTCTGCATGCACCCTTCTCTTGTCCCAACAGCATTAAAACCTCAAGATGTCCATTTCAGAACTTCTTTAAAGTGTTTAGCCTCTTTCTTTGCAGCTACCCATTAGTTACTTGTTGAAACAAAGCATCAGACCACAAATGCATCTGATGTTCTTTAGAAGATGGTAACCAGTGTTCAACTTCCAAAAAATTTTATTTTTATTTCAGAAAATATTTACATACTGAAATTTACAACAGCACTTAAAATATCTGCAATTTTTAACATATGGATCTGCCTTGGAAAGCAAGGAAGCAATATTATTCTTGTTCAACAAATACTCTCTACATGACAAATTAGGAAAAACCAAGGGCTAGATTACCCTAAGTCTGACCCAACATGCCCATTAAGCAGAAAGCAGTTAAGTCAAGGTGTCCAAGCCTGTATAACCAACAGAAAATGCTAACCCAGGGAAGAGGGATGATGATTTCCTATTCCTTTTGGCAGTCTGACACCTAGGAAGCAAGAGAAGCAAAACTGTTTGTCTGCTACTCAGGATCCACAGTTTGTCCTCTGAATTCTTCAAACTGCTTTAGGCTCTGCACCTACCATCAGGATCATGAACAAGCCTATGGAAAGAACCTTTCAGGTCAAAGAACTAGAACCCACTAAAATCAGTTTGCTAGTAGGTTAAGACAACTGAAGAGGGAAAATCTCTTTTGTGATAGCCAAGTTCACTCTCATCTTGACTTTTCACAGAATCATCAAGGTTGGAAGAGACCTTCAGAGACCATCCAGTACAATCATTAATCCACTCCCACCATCATCACCCCTAGACCACGTCTCTAAGTGCCACATCCCTACTGAACACTTACAAAGACAGTGACTCCATCACCTCCCTGGGAAACTTATTCCAATGCTTAACCCCTCTTTCAGTGCAAATTCCTTTCCTAATATCCAATCTGAACCTCCCCTGGCGCAACTTAAGGAGTTCATTTGAGAGATGGCAGACAAGATCAATCCCCACCTGGCTACACCCTCCTTTCAGGTAGTTGTGGAGAGTGATGAGGATCCCCCTGGGCCTCCTTTCTGAGACTAAACACCTTCAGCTCCCTTAGCCCCAGCCTCAGTTTTGTTGCTGCTCTTTGGACAGAAATATTTGGTATAGGAATTGGTACATAAATGCATATATTTTGTTATATAAATTAGACACAAATTCTGCTCTAAATTTCTTCAGTTGTGATCCCCAAATGCTCTCCATTGAATTTTGAACATTTACCTAAGCTAGAAGCTCAGATATCCAATACACAATTTAAAAGTGGGAGCAAGGCACATGAACATGCATCTTCAGGTCAATTAATTTCTGGTCAAGAATCTTACAAAAAAAAAAAAAACCAACAAAAACTGTGCTGAGTAATGTACTAATAAAGAGTTGAAACAGCTTCATTAATTTTTTTCCTCACTATTTGCATGCTTGCAGAGGCTCTAAGCCAGAAGATGGATGTGTCTGATCTCACTAGGATATGAGAAAAAGGAAATACAAAATAGAAAAAAAATGCCTTAGTGTTAATCACTTCTTTTCTGCTTTACAGTTTTATTAATAGAAACACTTTTCTTGGTTTAAGTAAAATTTCCTTTAAAAATACAATGAATACATTACCTCTTGCTGGTTTTCCTCCTGGTCCATTACAATGGGCTGAGTTACAAGCACACCAAGCAAAGTAGCCCAAGTCTCTTCAAACTGAGTACGGCTGATCCACCCTATGGAAACAGAGATAGCCATTGATGTCTCAATACAAAGCTAAACAAGGAACAGCACTAAAAAAAGGTACATTGCTTCCACAGGTTTAGTTTCATACCACTTCATTTTGGTGGTTTTTGTAATGGAACAGGCTTCCCAGGGAAGTGGTCGCAGCACCAAGCCTGACAGATTTTAATAAATGTTTGGACAATACTCTCAGGCCCATGGTGTGACTCTTGGGGATGGTGCTGTGCAGGGCCAGGAGCTGGGACTCAATGATCCTTGTGGGTCCCTTAAAATTCAGCTTATTCTGTGATTCTGTGATCTGCTAGGTGTGGATGGGAATGGCAGAGAACAACATTGCAGTTTCTCTCCTTCAGCTCCAAGACAATGGAGAGGACTGGAAACACTGTGCTAAGACACTCATAGAATGGTTTGGGTATGAAGTATTTTTTCAGGACCTTCTTGTCCAACCCAAATATCTGATGTCTGAGCTGAAGGTAGGTTACAGAGGTATCTTAACCCAGGACTTTATACTGTGCATTAATAGAAAAAAATGGGGGGGGGGGGGAAATATTCTCAAACATACTGTCCAGCATATGCTCCAGAAAACAAATGGTCATTCTGCAAGAACACACTGAAATCTCCATGAGCTGGAATAACTTTTGGCTTTATTTCTGTAATTTATTCTCTTCATTGAACAAAATGTACACCATTACTAACCTGCTCTGAAATATTACCTGTCCTCCACATAAGCAACAAAAGTTAGCAAACAGTTTCAGATACAGTTATCCAGTAATTTCAAAACACAGGTAAATGCCCAATAAGAGCCAAGTGTATTCATTTAATTTTGTACATACCAAGTGTATTAATGCGGTAGATGAACTCCTTAAAGATTTCCTTTTCTTGAAGAAATTCTACTGGGATTTCAGGAAAAACTGTGCCAAAGTCACCTGAAGGCTTTGGTGACCAGCCTAATTTCCAGACCTAAAGAAGTAAAATGAAAGTTTAATTACCCAAACCAGATCTAGTATTTATATCACAGCTCTAAATATACAGGCACCCTTCAAAGGCAACAAGACATCAGCAAACAAAAGTAGTTCTCCAAACAGAAAAATACTCAAAGGAAGATGGAACATCTAACAAAACTTATATACAGTGGATACCACAATTGTTATTTTAGGGCTTTTTCCATCATACTTCCCACTGTAAATTAATTATCCAGTTTTATGGTCCAAGTTTAGATATAGAAGCAAGTAAGTTCCTGTCACGTATTTCAGTTTAGAAATTGTGCAGAAATGATGCTGAAATGGAATTTAAGGAAAACAGTTCACATACTATTGATACCTGAAAAAGCACACTGATACCTCAGAGAGGGGGCAAAAAAGTTTCAACCAAAAAACTTATGTTTTTACATCCATTTAGAAACAGAGTGCTGAGAAACAGAGAAGTGGCCTTGCACATGTTGTTTGTTACTCAGTGTTCAAAGAGAAAACTGATTGATCAAACCAGCTGAAGGTTGAAGTCCTACTGTAGTAGAACTTCAGATGCAGCACCATGTTTGGTTTTCAAAGTTTTTCAATAACTTTTAAAGTCCTGAAAGCAAAGCATAATAAACATACCAAGGGAGGTACTCTGGTGTAGCTGTTCACTAGAGGCAGCCTTGCTAAACTGATGATGATGTTCTTGAGGACAGGAGTGAGAAATGCAGGGATGCTGCTGTTTCTTTTGTGCCCCAGTGATAAGACAGTCTGCAAGCATTCCACCATCTCAGCTATCATTTCACATGCTGCAATTATGTGTTTTGTTTCTTTGTTGGGAGAGAAAGAAATTCAGCTTTACAAATCCACTCAAAAGACAAATAATTTAAAAAGACAGAAACACAAAAAATTCTTAACAAAAGAGTATGTTAATTAAAAAGGATAGAACCACAATAAGGACACAAACAATTTTTTAAAATCCCACACTTTAAAAAGCTCAGTCTGTAGCATGCTGCACAGCTAACGAAAACCCCCAAAAGAAAAATCTGCATTAATGTATCACTTTCAAGAAAAAGTAACCATACCTGTAAAAATATGGCAACCTATATTTAATAGGCATTTACCAAATACAAATAAGGTCTCAGATGAACTTGCATTGTTAAAAATAGTAGTAATGGCAAGGGTACCAAAAAATATTTCTTCAGTGAAAGTTCAGGGTAGAAGCAAAATTCAGTGTTTACTTACTCTGTACATTTGAATCACTTTCCCCCTCACTTAAAGGTTTTGAAGTATTCTTTCTTTCAGGACTCAGAAGTTGATTACCAGGTTCCACAGCAACTGAATTGGAGAAAATATTTGAATGATACAGCTATTACCTATTTTATATTCCATTTTTTAATCAACACCATGTAGTAGTCAAACGTTTGACACACCCAAGGCATTTGCCAAGTTCAAAAGTAAACATTAAATTTTAAACAGAAAATTAAAGTAGCAAAAACTAAATGTGTCAAACTAATTATTAATAAGAACTCCAAGGAAATATTCCAGACACACAGCATTTGATCAATGATGACTGGCAATCTATTAACAAAACTTTTCTCCTAGCTGATCAAACAGCACTCACCTGCTTCTATGATGAATCTAATGCAGTTAATTAAGGAGCAAGCATATGTCACATGAGCTGCAGAAGACAGCAAATTCCAGAGACTAGGCTGCTGTAGTGTCAGACAGCAACAATCCAGACCAGCTTGAAGATCTACACTTAATGGAATCTGGTCATGCACTAAATGCCATGATAGTGCCTGCACAAAAAGATAAGTTCCCCATTAGCAGCAAATTCTCAAAACAGAACTTCTAACCGAGAGTGAATTTTTTTAACTCAGCAAAATGTAAAGTATTAGTAGCAAATAATATTGGGTTTTTTTTTCCTGAGAAAACACTATTTATTTTAAGTACAAGAAAATTATCTATATACTGTTCATTAAGTGTCCCAAAAATCAGTGCAAGACCCATTCTCCCAAATGCCAGCAGCAGTCCATCAGTCAATCAACCTCTCCTTGTATAAAGCTGTCCTTGTCCCACAACCCAAACCTGATTTACTAGCAAAAGTCAGACATAAACACTAAGAGGAAATTTCTACAGTTAAGACAAAAGAATTGCCCCAATCAAAATTACTCAGTGGCGATCAGTTTAAGACTTTTTCCCATCCTGAAATATATGTGACATAAACAATGCACACAAAGCACTGACTGCAACAGCAACACACCCTTCCTTCTCATCAGTCACATCAGAGTTGTTCCCTCTCCCAACATTTCATCACATCTTTAATTATGGTGTAGCTTCTTACCTCTACTGACATCACTACGAATTTCAGGATGTCACCCTCTTTGTCAGGAGGAACACGGAGACCAGCTGGTAGTTTTGAGAGTAACAACAAATACTGAGCCAGTGCACGACAAAGTGTCATCACAGACTGATACATCACCTCATCTCCTATAAAATAAGACTGGATGAAATCTAGCAGTTTGAATTTTTTTCCATTCAATAAACCTTTTTCAGAACTATTTCATAAGCACTTTTATGCCGGGTATCTTGAATTTTTTTTTTTAAATAATAAGTTCATGTATTCACAAGACATCTGTAAAGTATCTTTGCAGAGGAGAGAATAAACTTTAAAAGATCATTATTTCTATTACCAAAGATGTCGCTTAGTTTTTTCCAGTAGGCTGATGGCTCAGTTGGCAATAGTGGCTGGAAAACCTGGTGGTTGGCTGGAAGGTTTTGTACAGCAGAAGACACATGGTCCAGAGTTACCCTCCGAGCTGTTTCAAAGAGGCTGCTCTTCTGCTCCCTTGAGATCTCATTCATGCCAAGGCTTAAACAAGGTGCTAACAAGCTTAGGTTGAATTCCTGAAATCAAAGAGGAAATTTTAAAAATTGCTTTTAAAGTGAAACTAAGTAACTGGTGGTATTATTCTAACACACTAATGTGGAGGTAAATTTAGAGTTTATTGATTAACTAACTTATTATTAGCACTTCTGTTCTACTGTGGTGTAACAATATGGTTTAGCCCACACTGGCTCCAAATTTCAATTCCAACCAGTACCATTTTGGAAAGAAAAATCAATATGCTTATTCCAAATTTTCAGGACAGTGTGTGAATAAAGCTTAAGGATGACATATGTAAAGGAATCTTCAAGTAATAATTTTTCAAACAAATCAAGTATCTTTTTAGAAACAACTTTTTTACTATTATTTCTGCATACCAGCAGCAAATATCATGGTGATAATTTGAACAAAAGACATCCTTAGATACAAGTTGTCCTTTATGCCAGATTAACTGTCTGTGGCCTGTTACTAGCTTACTGCAAGTCATCCAGCACAGATATTGAAGAGGTGACAGAAACAGCTGGCCTTGGAAGAGACTGTATGGTAAATCAAGATTATGTAAAACTGTGAAATCGGATTTTTCTGATTGCAATACATAAATAAACCTTTGCTTCCACTCTACCTACTCAACCTGTACTACTAGTAAGTTACTATTAGCAACATTGCTAGACAGATATCCATTGTTTTACACAAATATCTACTATTTTAGTTTCTAAAATTAAGTGAATTAGTATTATCAGTATATATTGTCAGCATTATACAAATTTGAAATGTTTACATTTAAGAATCCAAACACTTCAGAATGTAATCTATTAATACTACCAATAGGAACACTTGAACTAATTTCATCATCTTCCTCTGACCAAGTTACCTTGCTGGTCATGAAGGAGTTGAGGTCAGGCTGAGGAATCCTATTTACCAGCTCTGCTCCTTCCAGAAGTGCTGAGTCAGACCTGATGTAACACTGTGACCGCACTAGGGACACATACCAGTCCTTCAACAATCAAAAAAGGAAATTTATTACATACTTGTTTCCAAAAAACAACACAGGATATGGAGGGAGAACTCCTCATTAGCATTGAATGTCTAAGACATTCATAGGCTACATTATTTAAAAAAATCAAAACCCTTAAATTAAAAAGCAAGGCAAAACAAACAAGTGGTGAATGGAAATGGAACATCTTAAACTGGATCAATGAATGTTCAGTGACAAGCTGTCTATTTCCATAAGGTCTGGACAGGAAATGAGGAAAAACTGATCTTAATATTGAGTGCAGGTACTTGTATTAGGATCCTAAACCTGACCAGACAATCTAGAAAAAAGGCATGGGACACTCAATAGTCACACAAATATAACACTAATTAGAGAAAAAACAATATTATAATGAAGGAAGAAAACTCTTCAAATAAAAAATATATATACATATAATAAATAAAAATAATAAATGTAAATTATTCTTTTTTTAGAGAATCAAATCAATTTGCTGACACTAATTAATTAGAACACAACTAAAGCTGTCAGAGTTCAAGGAGCATCAGGACAATGCTATTAGTGATTGGATTTATTTTTATGTAGCCCTGTGAGAAGTAGGGAGTTGGACTCATTGATCCTTATGAGTCCCTTCCAATGTAAGATATTCTATGATTCTGTGAACCATGCACAAGTTGTAGGGGAAGCACAAAAACTACTTTTGTTTAGAATTTACAGGGACAGACAAAGGAGATTTTGGGGTAATTTGAAGACAAAGCTATGGGTAAATGGTTTCTGGGCACAGCATTTTCTCCTGCTGTCCAAGTAGGTCTCAACATCTCCCCTAAGCCAGTGACTGCTCAGACTCATCCCAACTTTCAGCTAATCAAATAATTTTTGCCATCTCAGTTACACAAGTTTCCTATCACTGTGTATCACTATGGAACATGGAGAGATGAAAAGGAGAAATTATTTGTACCATGGGACAAACTAGAAAAAATGAAGGCAAAAGGCCCCAAGACTTGCTCTTAGCCTTCCAATTCTCTTGGAAATAAACATGTCTAAGTTCATGAAAGACAGAAACATTTCAGTATTCTTGATTGTTCTCTGAAGGTAATTTAAAGCTGAGAAGGACAAACTGAACAAGCAATGTTTAACTTCCAAGAGACAGCCAACAACTTTCAGCAAATGAATAAAACTAATAACTGTAGTAAAACACATCAAGAAAACAAAATTTATCTGTCTCTATTGAACTGTATATAAATCTTTCCATTAAAGTTGAACAAAGAAACCAAACTTGGTAAATTTTTCACAGCACTGTCAATATAACAAACATCTATTTTTGTGCTAATCATCCATCCTAAGTTCAACAGTCAGCCAATACACATGAAATTAATCACTGATCTATATTTGAGATACAATATGACAATCCTGAGAGCATTAACTGCACAGTAAAAATAAGCTGCATTTAAATATTTTGTAAAGAATAAAGCTTGTTTATAACCAAGGCAGTTCTAGTGACTCTTTCTGAACATAATCTTACTTTGTCTAGAACTACATTCTCTAAAGGTGGTTGATCTTCTCCATCCAGTGGGTGTGAGGTGACCAGAGGTGAGGGACTGGTTGTGTCTGGAGCTACCATGAGACGAAATCTATCCAGGAGTGAGTAGAGTCTTTGGTGTCTGAAAACAGAAGAACACATCAGCACAGGGCTGCCTCAGCTTTGTAAATAATTTAAAAATAGAAAGACATCCAGTGACTCAATTCCAATCCCAGGACAGAAAAGCAGCAGGGTCTTCAGCTTTTTGTTAGATACATGCAGTCACATGATGCAAACTTTCTTCAAGTATCAGAGGCCAAAATTAATAAACTCAGCATCATCAACAAATAAAGATTTAAATTTAATTTAGGGTTAAAATTAGTGATATACCTAAGCTTAAAATACAGCTTTCTTTATCCAGCACATCTTTTAATGAGTAAGAAGAGTCAAAGTTAGTGTACCAATTATTTGACTACAAGAAAATACATTTTAACAGATGCTAACCAATAATCCACTAAAACTATACTTCTATTAAAAAAAAATGATCCCTCACTGTACTAAAAACTCCAGTTTCTGGATTTTATATCAGTGTCAGAATTTTTTTTTTTTGTTCAGGTTTTTTTTGCGTTTTTTTTTCAAATTCAACTACTGCTATCAAGAACTTGTACAAAGTAATTTTTACCTTTTTTTTTCTTATTAAATTGAACATTACCTATGTAGGCACATTACTATTGATCTACTGCAGTCTCTCATTTTAGGTTCTTTCCCCCACTTATTTCAGTCAACAGATATTAACCTCAAACAGCAATGACAAGAAGAGTAAATAAGAATCTTTCCAACATCAAAAAGAAGTTTTTTAAAAAATTAGTAATTTGCTCCTTTTTATACAAGCAGTTTAAACAGCCAGAAGACTAAACAGCTAAAACTTTTAACACAGCATTCTGGGAGGAGAAAAACCAAACTAAAAAAACCCCAAGCCCATTTAGCTTGAACTGACAATATTTTGCAAGTTTGAGGAAAATAAAGTTCGATTTAGCAAAACACATTTTGTCAAGAAATTAATTTGCAGCTGCTGTCTCTCAAAAGTTAAATACTGAGTGGGATGCAGGAAAGAGAACCTGAAGCAACCCTGTAGAGCTTGCTTCAGTTCTTAAGTAGTTCTTATTGCAAATTCAACTCAGCCAGCACAACTGCCCCTTGGGCCAGAACACACCAGCATCTTATGAGAGGCTTTAATCCCAGTTTACTCCCAAAACCAACCCACTATCTGACCTCTAGGAAAAGAGCCAAAATGTGGGAAAACAGAATTAACACAATTTGTATTAGAACATTACTTAGTTTGACATTTTAATGGTATTGTTGGTATTTTTTACCTTGCTGCTAATCCACTGTTTTGAAGGTACTCCTGAATCCTATCCAGTTCTTCAACTGGTAACTGAGCAATGCTATTCTATATGAAAAAAAATCACAAGAATTTTACAGGACAGATAAAGGTAAAACCCCAAAAAGACTCTTACCAGATCAACAATAAAGAAAAATAAAGTAAATATTCATTCTCGGGTTTCTGTGCTTGAAATGGCTCCCAGGGTATTAGAAAGTCTCTTCTTTCTCAGCCCCATGACTGAAGAAGTCGAAATTCATCGGTTCTGTTTTCAAGGTTGTTTATTTTTTCTTATCTATTACATTCCTTCTCTGACCTGCTGAGATCTGTCTGGCAGGTCAGTTTGTGGCACACTGACCGCCCTTGGGGTGGTGTTAGCTTTTTATACTAAGAATTACGTGTACTTTATTTACAATAATTTTCCAATACCTATCATCTAACAGTCTATCTCTACTCTAAACCAATCTAGAAGTGTCACCATCACAGCAAAAGATGGAGGACAGGAAGAAGAAGGACAGGACATGCCCAGATTCCTCTACCTTGCCCCTTGAAGCCCCATTCTAAATCCCCAAAATTCTACTTTTTCGGTCTGTGATAAATTAACTATTATTCTACTCAAACTCTTGTGCCTTGTAACTCTTCACACAAAGTTGGTAATTGTTTCCATGGGCTAAAATCGAAGGCACAGGTGTTTTTGACTCTGTGCCAAGGTCTCTGAGGCCCTTGCCAGGGTCTCAAGCCATCCAGGGCAGTTAGAGGAATGTCCTGCGTTCTGACAATTCATGCATCTCTATACAAAATAAAAAACTTTGTCAAATGAAATCACTTAATCATATTTTGATGTCCTTTAAACCATTGCTCTTGACAAGCCTGGTAGCACCCAAAGTGCCTCCCAGGGCAGGCAGGGATTGCTGTGTACCTGCAGAGTTGCTGCCAGCAGCATCTCCACGCGGCGGCAGGCCAGGGTGTCCACCATGCGCGCCAGCACGCGGAAGGGCGTGCACAGCAGCTTGTCCACGTACAGCGTCAGCACTGCCCCCGACTGGCTCAGGTGGATTCCCTCCAAGCACTGCAAGGTCTTCTTCAGGGTTGTGGGCTTCATGTTCAGCATGGAACAGAGAAACACACAAAAAAATTACAATCAGTTTGGAATATAAAGATATTAGAGGGAAAGACACTCAGAAAAAACTACCTGATCAATATAATCGTCTTTGTGTGAATGAGTTACTGGGTCATTTAATTAATATGAACAATAAGTTTTTTGATGTGTAACTGTAAAAGCTCACTCTTATACAAGTAAACAAAACATAGGGAGCAAAACTTTTAGGGGAAAGAAGTTACAGATTTAAGTGAAATTGCAAAAAGCTTCAAATAGAGTGAGAAGATTCATCTCTTTCTGGAAGAAGGCAGGAACATGTGCATAGTCAAGACATGTGACAGTACAGAAATCCAGACAATCCTTGGGGGGTTTTCTGAGCATATGTTAAGAATATGTTTTGATCCTGCAGCAGCAACTCACGATCAAAAGGACGTGCAAACAACTTTTTTCATTTCTTTTTTTTTTAAATATAAGCACCAATTCAGCATTAATATTCTAAAGGGAGAAACACAGAGACAAACTAGTTTGACTCATGAAACCAATCTGGGTTTAGAGCAGTGTGTTAATACCAGCTATTTTAATTTTACTGTCTTTCCTGATAATCACTAAGCATTTCACATAGTGACTACCTCTTCCACTAAAACATATTCAGTTTCATTCATTCTGCTGATTCTCAGCTAGTGAAGCCCAGGCTAATATCACATAACTTTAAAGCTGCCCAAGATTTGCACAGAGACAATGGAAAGATAGGAAACAGCACTGAAGCTACTCAGGGCGCAGGTGGCACAATTATCTCTAGATTATTATCACATTAATCACAATTATCTCTAGAGAAAGTCCAGCAAATGAAATTTCCCATGATTAAGAGAGATGCATACAACCTTATATCCCTACAAAATATCATCCCCTCCTTTTAATTTGAAAACTACAATGATCAACACAAACAATACCCTGAATTTCTTGCTGATTTTCCCTCACCAAGTGGCTACAACTTTCAGAACAGATCAATGGGGAAGGCATGAGCTCACAAACCATTTTCATATTGCTAGGACCTATGAAGATGAACTGCTTCCTATTCCTGCCTATATAGTTAGTTTGCTATTTACAGTACTAAGGTACTGAAGTCAAAGTTGAAAGTTACAGCTTTAATTTACCCATCAGATATTGATTATGTGGGAAAATAACCATTAAGGAAGAAAAGCAGCTTAACCATCTCCACCTGAATTCATAGATTTGATGGACTGGAATACATCTAATGCTGAAGTTGCTAATATAAGGTTTGCTGCTTGCATTTTTAAGTAAGTGACTTTAAAAATAAAATTACAAGTTGATAAATGACCCAGAAATGTCAAACTTTGCATACTTATCAGTTAAACTTATGCTGACATGAAGTGACTTTATTCTTTACAAGAAGTCAAGAAGTTAAACTTACAGCTGCAAGATTCTCACAGCGTGACTGAATGGCCTGGATGAAGAGACCACTGGCTGCTGAATTCCTGTGAACAGCACTGATAAAATCTTGCACTGGAGGCTCATGGGACAGATGAATCAAGTCTTGAACATGATTCACAATAAGCCAGGTCAGGTGTTCCGAATCATGTAGGTTTTGACACTGAAGGGGAAAAAATTAAAATTTGATTGCAGAAATTAAAATTAAGATTTTAATTACTAAACATGACACAACATAAAGTTTCTCATATATAATTCTGGTAGCTACTTTGAAATAGAGTGGTATTAAGATGGTATCTCATTACCACCATCATTATTTTTACATGATAAATTTTCCATATGTTTTGCTCTTGTTGCAAATTAAGCTATTTACCATGAATATGCAGCTTATTTTTCTAAAAACACTAAAAAACAGGTTAGAAATAAGTAAATTGAGAAGGCTGATTCAAAGATGCTGCTTTCAATGAAATGGGTTTGAATTAAACATACACACAACTGTCTTGCAAAATGTGATTTTCATTTAGGCTTCTTAAAAATTTCTTGTCACTACTGGCCTTTAACACAAAATGAAGAATTTCTGGAAAGTAAATCCAAAGACATCTATCAATAATTAATGTCAAACCTCTAAAGGCTTGTGTATATCAACAAGCAGTGGAATACAACACAAAAATATCTGTAGAGTTATCCAGGCGATGCTGAAAGCTTGTACAGTACCTCAGTAAAGAAGTTTTGGAGGATTTTACATTGGATGACCTCTAATCTGACCCTAGTGACTGTCCATTAGTACTTGAAGTGATTCCTAAACAAAGCTTTCTATTCAGTTGAACCTGGAAGGAATGCAGTTTCCTTACCTCAAAACTGATCTGAGGTGCAAAGCCAAGTGCAATACCTCCTACTACTGAAAATTCACTTCAGAAGTTCCCAGTGAACTAAAACTCTCATACTGAGGCAGCAAAAGTCCAAAGCCACAGAAATTTTTGCTTTACTGGAGAACCAAAATGGAAGTTAAAATGTTAATGTAAAACCTCTTTTCTTACGGTGTAGAGATGGAAATTTGTTGTCTCTCTGACACTGCACTGCTACTGATGTTGGGAAGTCTGAACTACTTAGTGTGCCTCAAGCACCTCCCAAGTAAGGGATGTGATACCCAGAAGGTAATTCTATTGCCCACCAGCAAGAGAAGAGAAGCCAAGAGAACTCTCAGCTCAGAACAGAAAACAATGCCAAATGAGGTCACATCTAAGCTTACAGAAGCACCATCTGAAAATGAAATAACTAGTTTCACAGATCTTCATTTTTCACTTAACATACTTCACTCTTCAGTTAACACATATCAGTAATAAATGACTGTCAGCATCCTAAAATAACTCAAAACTATAGTTATAAAAGTCATAATTCAAAACTTACAACATAGTCACAGAAGAGAATGAGTGCTCCTCTTCTCACTATCTCACGATTGCACATGCCACGCTTGGATTCCAGGTCAGATTCATCACTGTCTCCAGATATATGAGGGCTCAGCAATTTTGTAGTAGAAAGGCTGTGTCTCCTGCAAAAAGTACATTATATGGTGTTATTATTTTCTTGGTATGGCTAGTGAAACATGAAGAAAGTGCTTGGAGTATCCTACCTATGCCCTTACATGACATATCTTTCCCTGTAAACTTCATTCAAATGTTACACGTCCTTGAAGCAGACACTTTGTTTTCCATCATATTTTTATTTTTTTAACAATTGCAGCATTGCTTATTACTTTTTCAGACAATCTAAAGAACCAAATGAACTATTTAAAAGAAAAACACGGGCTGTTGCAACTCTGGTAGGATAATAGAACCTAACACTGTATTTTCTTCTCAAACCAAACCAGTGTTCTTGAGCACTTATTCTAGTGTCAGATTAAAAGTGATGCCCAACCCAGAAAAGAGATGATACTGGTAAATAAAAAAAAAAATGTACTACTATTTTAGCTCATAGAATCATCAAAGTTGCCTGTAAGATCATCAAATCCTACCTTTAACCTAGCACCACATCATGGCTCACCACCAAGCCATATACTGAAGTGCCACATGCACACACCTTTTCAACACTTCCAGGGATGGTAATTCCACCCTTCCCCAGACAGCTTTTCCCAATGCCTGAGAAGTTGCCCTGTTTTGCTCATAATCCTGGTAATTCTATGTTTCCACAAATCAGAATAATATATTTTCAATACATAAGGTTGAACTGAAGCAAGAATCTCACATTTGTGACAGTTTTTATGCACTTCAGTTGTAGAGCAAGATGAGACTGCCCAACACTCACTGCACAAGCACCAGAAATGTCCCTCAAGTCACTTGTTCACCTCCCTCTACAATTAGCACAGAGAAACACCCATCCTCACAAAAGGTCCCTTCCTTATCCACTGAGGACAAATCATTCCAACGCCTGACTGGTGGGATAAACTAACCTCAGACAAAGAGAATACCCATTTTAGAACCAATCTCCAAAATTCACACAACCAGTGTTAAGTGAGGTTGTTACCGTTCTCAATGCTAATGAACCAGCAGGGTACTAATACCATGTTTTGACAGCATTTAGCAAGAGACCCACTGAGAACAGATAATCCTGTAGCTACAGTTACAGTTATATGATCAGATTGTATTATCACAAACACAACAGTGTCCATCAATTCCACTGGCTGGTTATTGCCTAGAAAGTGAAATATATACTCCATGAAACACTGAGTATTTTGCTATAGTTATTTCCATAGTTTCAATAAAAAGTAGCACAAAGATGAAGTTTTCTTGCTGTAGAAGTGGAGAGATTACCTGGCAGCTCTTCTGAGGAGCAACTGAGTGCAGGACACATTTCCTTAGTTTGGAAGTCACACCAATACCAGAACAGACAATATGTACACACATGAAGTAAATGCAGAACTACATTTCATAATCCAAGCAGCACCATTCAGTGGGCTGACAGGCTTGGCAGAAAGCAGCTTGATTGTTTTAATATCATTTTAGAAAATATAATTATATGAAACACACTACTAGAGAACAAAACCAAAACTTACTTTGGGGTTTGATGCACTTCTGACCACCAGTTGTAGTTGGTATAATTGACAAGAAGCAAAATGTGACACCAGAGGAGAACTAAAGAAGGATGAGTGGGAATCATGGACTGAACAAGGTCACTCAGACTTTCAAGTGTGTAGAAACTACCATCAGATCCATCTCCTGTAAAAAGTCTGGTGGCTGCAGCTGTGATTCTTCTAAACATCCCTGAAAAGAATAAAACCATGTTAGAGTAACAAAGCTGTAGTCTGAATTCTGAAGTTTTAAAATTATTCAGGGTAGAATTTCTGCAAGAAAGGCAAATTCTAAGCAGTTTTACAAATTTAAGGTAAGTGATGAAGTTTGCCAAAAGGCAGTGTGTAAAGCAGTAATTACCAGTGTCAGACTCAATAATATGTTTACATAGGTTTCATGGCAATTCTCATTTACCTGATACATGAAAACCTTCATTAAACTTAAAACTGTCACCTGTGGACCAGGGTTAGTTTGTTTGTAAATTAAAACACAGATGCTCTACTTAAGAACCATGAGGTAACTACTACCTGCATGTTAAGGAAGAACACCTATGAGTATCCTCCTTCAAAGAATGGCTTTCCAAACATACTTAGCTAAAACTAAATTTATTCTCTTTCATCCAATTATCCAATTTCTAAAGTGCAAAAATAAGGTATTTCTGCCATTACCCTGAAAATGGAACACTCAGCAAAAAAGCAGAATTTTGCTTTTTGAATGGCTGGTTCTGTGTTTGTATGCCAAAACAAAAGTTGGGAAAAAAGAAATTAGAAAATGGTGGGAAAACAAGGAAAGTTGTCTAAAAAGGTATAAGGTAGTCCTAAGGTATAGGACTTTTGAGTTTCTATGAGAAGATAAGATCAGGGGGGGAAAAAAAATCTTCAGAGTCAGTTAGGAACCAAGAGCTAATGAGAATAATGAAGGAAATCTGCAGTGTTAGTTGCTTTCTTTGCCAGACACACAGAAGAATGAAGCTGTAAATTCCACAGCCATGTGGACCAATTTAAGCTGCCCCCAGGAGTGACAAACACACAATGTAAATAGCAAAGAATGGGAAAAATAGCTGAGTCTCAAATCACTGGTTCCACTTATTAGCAAAGCAGTGCTAACCCCATTCCAGCTCCCTGCATTTGCAGAAACTACACCATCTAGTGACTTCCTACAGTCATAAAAAACATTGCATGCTCATCCTTTTACTTTGTTCATGCCTTTTATTTCTAACTTCAGAGGAACAGATTGAGAATGTTCATTTATTATCTAGTAGCTTCCTACAGTTGGAAACAGGAGTCAGCAATGCTCACATTTTGAAAAAAAACTGCAATGGGTGAGAAGAAAAAACATCCAAGTAGAACGGTGGTTAGAAATTACAGAATACAGCTAATGTTTCACACACAAATTGCTGTAAGCTACACCCATAGTTAGGAGAATGTAACTTAAAGAGAAAATAATTGTGGAGGTTCTAACTGAACAAAAGAAAAGCATTACAAATTCAGGCAGTTAGTTAATCCTCAACCTAAATAAATATGTTATGACATGAAAATACAGCCCAGATGTCTGAACAACTTTTCTTTTACCCTATTACACCATACTGGTACTAGTGGTAGTAATATACCTTAAGTTATTGGTAGTTTTACATTAAATTAATTTCTAGAGATCATCTAATCCACATATCCCAGTGTTCTGCATGAGTATTTTAATATTTAATTTTAATTTTGCATGAAAATTTCTACATAATTCCTGGCAAGACTCCCAGAGCAGCCTGGCAGCCAGTCACAGCAGCAGAACTAGCTGAACCTTCCTTTCAATTATCCCCAGCTCCCACTGTGGAAGAACCCACTGCCCCAATTTCAATCACCAGCTTCACTTTCAGACCTCATTGCTCCTGGCTTGACACCATTTAATCACTTTATGCCAAAACACCCTGGTGTAAGTTATTTGTAAAATATTTGATTCAAACATTTTTCCTAAACATAGATTAATATATAATGAAAATATACACTATTATAATTACATAATTTTATATAATAAAATAGTATAAAAACATAATAAAATTATTACTGTAACAGACACATGGGAAGAGAACTGTCACTCTGTCCAGAGTTCTGGGCCCTAAAGCACACCTAAAACAAAGATTAATTTTGTGTTTCTTCACACACACTCCTGGAGCCTTTGCACCAAGAACCTCAGTTTTGAAGACTCCCATTTTACAATCCAAGGCAACAGAACACAGAGTTCCTTGTCCCATGTCGCCAAGGAAGCCTATGAAGAACCAGGGACTTGTACCAAGACCTTTTAAATTGCAGACAACTAAGAGTAAACCAAGGCTGCATTTCAGCTGCAAGCTGAAAATCAGAAGGCAAAAGGGGCAGTCATAGCAAAGAAAGAATAAAGAAACAAGAAAGTCACACTAGTTCCACTATTCAGAAAATAAGACTAAGGAATCGAGCTAGGGACTAAGGAATTACCAAAGGGGAAGGCATTGGGTATCCAGCAGAAGAAATCTAAGGGAAAATTTCCAAACCTGAAGAAAGGAACTCAAGACTGGCTAGCTAGAAAAGTGCCACCTTTCCTGGTTTTCTGGGGTGTTTTTTTGGTTTTGGTTGGTTAGCTTTTTGTTTGGTTTGTTGGTTTTTGGTTTTTTTGCTTGTTTGTTTTATATATTTTTATTAAATATGGCAAAAATCAGGAATCTCCCTTGTCATGAGCCTGAGTTAATGGTCAGTGACTCAGTATTTTAAGCCAGATTTACCAACCAACCTCTAAACTAAGATAAAACATGAGAATTACAACTACAAATTTGGACTGCTTTGTGTTTTCTGGACTGAAAAATTTTAGACAGTTACAAGGAGAGACGGAGAATCACTACTTACATTTTGTTCCACAAAGACAGAAGAAATGTGCAAAATGTGCCCTGTGTGCATAAGCACCATGTTTGGCAAGTTCTCTACATGAAGTAAAATGTAACATCTTCAGCACTTACATATTCCTTCTCAGTAGTTCAATGCATTTATGAGTTGTCTTGGAACTTAAAAACCACTGCATGCTATGACCTGGGCAACATTTCAAGTATTACCTGATTTGAAGATGTGTATTAAGCACATAAGCAGTGTTCCCAGCTCCTGGCAGTAGAAAGTGTGCTGCTGCTCATTCATGTCCACTTTTAATTGCTTGGTGACAATATCTTCCAGTAGAATGCCAACCAGTTGTAGTAAGAATCTTGAAAGAAACACATACAATCAATAGGAAAATTATCAATCTTTCAGAAAAAGATGAGGTTAGCCAATGAAACTTGGGATTGAAAAATAAAATACAAAGCTCTTGTCCACCCATCCTAAATAACATACTAAATGAAATGCTACAGAACAGGTTAACCTAAAACAAATAGCATGCTATATGATCACAAGCATGTCAATAATTACATATTAAATCCAGATTATCTCTCATCAGCTACAGTCACAGTAGCATTGGCCCAATTCACTTACAAAGCAAATATTCAGAATGCAGTGGTGTCTTTATAGTGATTTGCTTAAAGTGATTGAGTTAAATCAAACTAAAACCAATCTGTGACAGGGACCACAGCTCAGCTGAACAGGGGTAATTCAGCAAGGCACAGTAATTCACCTGTTCACCTCACCTCACCGATCCACATTCTACTACACAGGTTCTTTATCAAACCTCCAGCTGGAACAACATGTGGTGTCAAAAGAAGCACCAAAAGAGGGCATTTGAGGAAAGCCATACTTGCTCCTAGCCATGACCATGACTCCATTACTCACATTCACTGCTGTGAATCCAGGATTCACTCATTTTGTCAGCTCTATTAGGTCTTTCATTTGGCTTGAGAAGATGTACCAAAACAATTCAAAGTTCTACTAAAATCTGCTCAACTTCTCCATCTCAATATTCCTCCCTACACACACACTTGTCGCATGTCAACTTATTAACAGACTTGATTCCATTTACACAGAAGTTTTATACATGTTAAATATTGCCCAATGTACTGTGATTTCTCAGAACTCTTTACATTTCCCCAGGTTACTCAAAAGACAATGTACCTGGAAAATGTCTCTTCAGGTGGGTGTTTCACCTGTTTGACCTCAGTGCGATCCTCTGGTGTGGACATGTTATTTTCTCCACATCTCAGCCTGTTGATTACTTGACATGAAATCAAGTATGGTGAGAAGGAAAGCTCTTGTATGCGGGACAGAACGATGTCTTCTGTTGACTGTGAAATCAGAACTCTAAGGATAGCTAAAATTCCAGAAATCCACAGCTGGACAGTGCTCACTGATGCCTAACACAAACACAGAAATACAGAAGACAGAATACTTTTGAAGTTAAATGACACAACATAGAAAGGCATTAAAAAATTAGCATTTTCATTCACTTGTAAAAAATCAGACCCTTTTAAGAATGGAGCAAACCAGAAGTAAATTTTAAGTTCAGATCTTACAAAATGCTACTCCTGTGGTAACGGTCAAGCTCATATTCACTGGTAAACAATCTCTCAGCTATAAAAGCATTACTAATACTTGTGTAAGAAAAATGTAATTTACCTATAAAATTGCATTTTATTTTATTATAACAGCACCTTCCTTTACATTCCTGATCCTCAACATACAAAATGAAGGAAAGTAATTCATAAGCAGAACACTTCAGTATCAAGTGCTCTCAGCTGGCAAATCACATTAGTTCTGGCCGATTTGTTCCCAAATTCTGCTGCTGGTACTTTAACATCACTTAGCAAATTATTAAAGAGAAACACATTCTCTTTAGTTTTGCATGAAAGATATCAGAAAAGATTTCTCTTTTCTGAAAACAGTAGCTTACCATTGTTTTAGGAGTAACAAACATGCTCCTTAAAAGCATGTCCACAGGGCGAAGGGATGAAGGGGCCAAAATTTCAAACAAAGTGTTCAGTACTCCCAAAGCATCATGAGAGTCTATATGCATCTGTGAAAGAAAAAACACAAAACTCATTTCTAACTGTCCACTAAAGGTAACTTCAACACAAAATTTACACTCTGTGTTTTAAACATTTCTGTAACAACCTGTAAGAAAGCGGTTCTTTACAGTACAAAATTCAGAGCAACCAAAGGCTATAAAAGATAACTTTTAAGTTCCATTGCAGGCCTTCCTAGACATGAGTTTTAAGAACATGGACAAAAATCTGTCATATGAAATCCAGTGTGCATGCCAGATGTATTTCATTTGGAGAAATAGGCCTTATTCAGAGAATGAGACCAAAAGACTGATTTGTCACAAAATTTAGAGACTTTTCTCTCACTGCACATCCTACCAGGTTTATTTACAGACTGCAATGCTGGTCACGATTAAACTTAAGCAGGCAACTAGGAGAAAAGAAACCTAATTATCAGAAAAGTGAACAGCTACAGTGGCAGGACAGCTTATTTGAACAGTTTTCTAGATAAATTATAAAGTAATCAACTGCAAAAAGCAAAGGACTGGCCTACAAATCTGGATGACCCTATCCTTGCTTAAATAATTTGGAAGATGATCATGTGCAGTCACACAAAACAACAGCAATTTCACTTTGTCAGCATTTCAGCTCGCTCTAAAACTGTTGTCTGATCCTACCCACTCTCCCCAGACATGAAATCTCCTCGCAGGATTGGGGAACTGCCATCATGGAGCAAAGAATATCTGGGGCTAGAGCACCTCTGCTATGGAGACAGCTGGGAGAGCTGGGGTTGTTCAGTCTGGAGAAGGTTCTTCCAGTACCTACAGGGGCTACAAGAGAACTGGAAAGGGACTTGGTGCACAGGCAGATGGACAAAGGTGCACAGAGGACAAGGGGGAATGGCTTTACACTGAAAGTGTGTGGATTTATATCAGGAAGAAATTCTTTACTGTGAAGGCGGTGGAGCACTGGAATAGGCTGCCCAGAGAAGGGATGGCTGTCCCACTCATGGAAGTGCTCAAGGCCAGGTTGGATGGGGCTTTGAGTAATCTGGTCTGCAGTTGAACCCACTGCAGCCATAAAAAAAGTCATTCTGACATTGTATGAACATGGGACCATCTTCACACCCTTTAGGAAGTGTTCTGATATAACCATGTACCTTAGAGAAACAGAATGACCTTCCTCTAGAGACAGTCTTGATCATACTGCATATACCTCATGCATTTTAATATGAACTTCATCACTTCAAAGACTTAAGTTTACCTTGCAGCAGTTGTTTTTTCCATATATGGCAACCACAATTTCAATAAAATTTGTCTTCATACAAAAATAAAAGGAAAAATCAAATACTCAAAGCCACTACTGATAAATATATTACAGCAATTATTTAAGGTGTTTGTAGAATTAAAACAATGATAGAACCACCTGTTGTTTTGCAAGCATTGGGAGAATGATGTCAGCTATTTGCCGAGACAATCTCTTCCATTTGTCTTCATTTTCTTTATGACACTGCTGTAATACCAAGATGAACATTTCTAGCACCTAAGGAAAAGTAAAGAAAAAAGTAAGTAAACACCAATACTAACAGAAAACATTCCAGTAATATCATAGTAGGAAAGAATATTCATTTCAACCACCTACCAAAAAGACAAAAAGAGAAAAAAAAACCCACATGAGAGAATTGTACATTTTTAAAACCCATTTTCAGATTAAAAGTCTGTTCTTAGTAACAAATTTTTTGGTGGTGGTTTTTAAAGAATTTTCCAGTCTTTTTTTTAAGCTAGAAAAATGTTTCCTTTGTACTTTTAAAAATAGTATTTGTCAAAGACTACTCAAACAACTGGGAAAAAAAATCATAAATCTAAATACCACACCACTTATTCAACAAAAAGGGCAGGAAGAAAGAGAGCAATTTTACACGTGTATATTCTGTCTTGACTCTAGCTTCAATAAAATTTAAATTTGGTCAAGGAAACAAAACAGACATTTTTATGAGGCTCATTCACCTGAGACATGTCAGTTTCATAAAAAAGTTTTAAGAGACAACATAATGGAGCACACCAAGCAAGGAGCACTTCTGGTAGCTGGATGTGTTATAGGTTTGGGGGTAACAGAGATCACACGTTGAAGGACAGGCAGACAAGAGACACGGCAAGCAAGAATGTTAATGTATGAACTGGCAAGGGGGACAAAAGAATCTGTTTCAGGAAACAAGTTAGAGCATTTGTAAAAGCAAATTCAGGTAGTTCAGATTAGAGAGAGGGAGATTCCCAGGTGACTTTCTTCCCAAAAGATTTTCTCAGGAGAGGAGATAGGAGCAATTCCAGGCTACAAAACTTAACTCTGGAGCTCCATGGGTGGCAGCTCCAGTTGCAACAGAAAAAAGTTGGAAGGCTGCAGCTCTGGGACCCTCTCAAATGTCCAGGGAAACCAGTGCAGACCATCCCAGCCACAGCCAGGGAACAACAGAATAGCCCAGGGTTGGTTTAGACATATTGCAGCAGCAGAACAGGGCAGAATAAGAACTACAAATGGGATGGTGTGGGAAGAGCAGTGCATGGGTGGCCTTTAATAGGTTAAGTGTGTCAGAAGGAGATCTGCCAGCAATTGCAGTACCTTATATAACAAAGTTATTCACTATTTCACATCATGTGTCTACAGAGTGTCATTTCATACAGTTATATTAGTCATTTTATGATTATAAAACTACAAATTCAAAAGAAAATGTGGATACACAAAATTACCCCAATCTGAACACGCAGTTCTAACAAATTATTTTGACAAGATGTACTGACTTTTTTCAGAAAATACAGTGCTTCCATTAGCATACACCAGAACTGCATTTTCACATTATGAAAGAAAGGCACATTAGGTTTGTTAAGCACCTGAATAAGCAGTAAGATCCCATGTTGATCATGACACTTCTCTCAAAATTACTTTTATGTTTTTCTTTAAAACAAAGTGTATTGACAAAAGTCATTGTTACACTCCTACAAAGCAGAAACATGTTTTCCAAGTCTGGGTCAAAGTAGTAAGACATAATAAATACCTAATTACCAGTGTCATTACCTTGTTCAAGTAAGTGTTATTCAAGATACTGTTACAGCACAGCAATACCTAAATCATCTCCATGCAGCATCTTTCCTAATTTTAAACTTGTCTCCTTCTCCATTTTACTCCCATTCTTTTAAGTTTCTTCTCTTCACCAACCTTCTGTTTATTCTGTCTGCAACACAGCCAAGATCATGATCCTAACTGGAGCTTTTTAGTTTTTTGTTTTCTAGGCTTGACTAGGAAATTCTACATGTATGTTACTTGACCTCAAATACTAATTTGTAGTGCAGAACCTTTCCCATACCCTTAAAAAATCTTTGCATATTCTCTATATAAGGAAAGATATCACACAGAGTCCAGCTATTCCAGCTTTGTAGAGAAAATGATTAATACTGCCTGAAGCACTTTTAGCAGTCACAGCAATGTTACCCTTTCACAGACCACAAAGGGAGACCCTTCATCCTCCTCCCCTACCTGATGGTACTGGATAAGTCTCAGCAGCATTGACACTACAACCTCCTTCTGAGTTTCCAGCTCTTTTCCAGCATCAGCTTTATTTGTTCCTCTTAACACAAAGAGATCATGAACAATCGGTTGCAGAGCTGGTATTGCTGAAATGAGATGTATTTGTTTTAGTATGAGACAAATCACTCCTGAACAGCGATTTCTTGAACTAACAGGTCAGTTACTAATAGTAAGCTGGGTTCTAGTTCATTAAAGGTTTTACCCATACCTAAAACCCCACAAACCCTATAATTATCATGCATAATGATGGATACTTTTTTACTTGTTAAAAAATTATGGACACATTTGCCCATTCTCACAGAACTAAAAAAAAGTTATTTTTACACAGTATTCCTCTACAGAATCACTGGAAAGTATGAGAGAGATGCTTCTTCTTAAAGGCTGAAAGTAGAAGGAAAGGGAAGTGGACAAAAAATTAAAATCAAAGCTTTGCACATACTGCTAAGTTGTGAACTTATTACTGAATAAAGTTTCAAATAAAAGCTTTGTTGCAATTATGAACAATGCAGAATGTAGGGCAGCAGTGTTAATGTGATATAATAAATTTCCTGAGGGAATTAAGTGAAAAGAATTGCATGTCTTAAAAGTTAGGGTCTTCTGGAACATTGAGTATGACAACAGTTTTCTATAGCTAGTAGTCAGCATTGGATTTATTGCTGAACTATTACTAATAAGTGTTGATGCCTTTTTTCTGTCTTTTTTTTTTATAGTTTTTTTTTGTTGTTCTGTTTTTGAATTACCATGTGTAACAGCTTTCCTCCCACTGGCCATGATACCATCACACAGCTGAATGATCTTGGGAATTCCAATTATTTGTTTGGAATGATATCGCTCATAAGACAGCAACACCAGGAAAAAGAAGATATTAGGAATAATTGCTTCAGACTCCCTGAAAACAAAACAAAACAAAAAATTCAAGTGTCAAGTTTGAATTGCACAGCTTTGTTCAAGAAAACCTATCTTTTTACAGTCCAGGTTTCTTTGCAGAATATGTTGCTCTGGTTTCATACAGTACTTCTGTAATTTTTGTGCCCTGTTCTGTACAATGGGATTTTTCCCCAGGGATTTCTTTCAATCTTTGACGATTACAGTTACTAATATTATAACATACTGTCTAATGCACATTAGATTATTTCTGTAGAAGATCCACAGAGCAAAAGAACAACTTCTCTCTTCATTAAAACTCAAGTGTGAGAAAAAACAGAAATAACTGACAGTAAAAATTTCACTAATTTCCTTATGATCTATTAGATCCTACACAATGTGTACCAGGTGACCAGAGAACATAGGGATTCACTCCGAATCCACAATAGGAAAAAGCAGCTCTCCCTTAAGCAATTGCATCTAGCAATGAAATGCTAGAAATTTCTGGAAGCATAGCTTTGGCAGGGGGGCCCAAAGGAACAGGTTTACAATACCAAAACAGAGAAACAAAACAACACAGTTGTAGATTATTATTATTATTATTATTATTATTATTATTATTATTATTATTATTATTATTATTATTATTATTATTATTATTTTCCATTTTGCTTCCTGACTTGTTCAGTCACATGGAACCTAAAATATCTGGAAGAGTTACCATTAGAGCCAGAGAATAAACCAGCACATTGCCCAGAAGAAAACTCTCACTTTCTCATAAGGCTGAAATAACCAGCAGATCTAATCCCTACTTGTAACACATCATTGATCTGTCTTTCAGAACAAGACAGTTTCAAACCCTCATTGTTCAAAGACTCTTTGCCAATTCCATACCTGAACTGTCCTACTTCAATGTATTCAAACTGCTTTAGCACAAATCCAATAAACACCTAAAGAGAGAAAAAAGTGTGCATCAGAACAGAGACATTCATTTTCATTTGAAACCATTTTGACAGTTATAGACAGGCACTGAAAATAATTTGCACCACGTTATGAAATGTTCCCTCTGCAGTTATAGAAGATGGAGAAACCTGTTGAAGCTTAATTACAGCTTGCATGAACTTAAGCCACATTTAACCTGTAGTCTGTATATTTTTAAGTATAACTTCATCTTTCACTCATGAAATACAATATTTGAGGTATTACAGTCAAGAAATTAAGAATCAGCCAAAAATCTAAACTGAGATAAAATCCAAAATCCACTTATGCATTTAGAAGAATTATCTCTTCATGAATTTACAGAAAACTTAAGTATTGCAAGTCACATTTTCAGGTTTATAAATGAACAACTGTACTAAATAAAACACTTCTAAGTAAACCATTTAAATTTTATATTACAAATTCCCTGCTTCTAGGGACAACTACACAGACTACTGTATTTGCCACAAGCTCCCCTCACTGCCATTAACATCAAACAGTTGTCAGCCACGTGCTCATTACAGTGATAAGGAAGTCCATACTCTTAGTATGGAAGAAGGTATTTCCATTTGTAAATGAAGTTTTATTAAATAAAAGTGACTGTATTGTCCACATCACTTTACTCCTAAAGTCCATCTCACAAGCAGCTCTTAAATAGTTGTTGCAGAACTCAAAAAGTCATTTACATGCAAAAAAACCCCAGAGGTCTGAAGCTATTTGTGGCTGAGGGCTGGGAAATTGAGTCTCACCCTCCTGCAAGTCTTCACTTTTAGTACAATGAATGGACTGCTGGAAATATTTTTGCTGCAGATGTTAATTGAGCCTGCTGGTGAGATGTGTATGACAATTTGCCAATGTGGTGAGGTACCAACCTGATCTGAATCCAGAAGACAGTAGTTAACTCGCAGCTGAACCAGTTGAGCAAGCAAGTCTAGAACTTGTCTCTGCAGCTGTACCGATGTTGTTGTTGTGTATTGTTTCAATGCTTTTATGACAAGGGGTTCAAATAAACGAATGTGATTGTGAATAGCATTCTGTAATAGAGAGATTTTAAAGTAATCTAACATCTGAACATGTCTCTGATTCAAAGCCAAATTAGTTTTGAAAGGAGGAAAAATGTTTTAAATCTAAGGCACAGCTCTTTCAGGAGAACACAGATACAAGTACCTTATCAGCACGATGTTTTGCTGCACTGGAAATGCTAGTTTTCAGCTGTGTAGAAACTTTCTGCAGCACATCAAACCATCTGTTACAAAAAAAATACAAAAAACCCCCACACACATTAAAAAAATACAACAAATACACTGTTCTTAGATGCATTTTACTGTGCCAATGCCAACTTCTCTTAATCTACTTGACTGCTTCAAGAATTTTAGTAAAAACAAAGGGCAGAGACAACCTACAATACACTTTGATCAGAGAAAGATTTTCTAGTCTTTGCTCAGCTATCCTTCTGCCTTTCCTTTAACACATTGACTATTTGCTGTTTATAAATTAATAATACACTTTTGAATACAAGCATTTAAAATTATTATGCTAAAAACTTCAATGATATTCATTTTAATGACTTAATTTTGCTTTGGAAAACACTTTAGTGGTAATTGCATCCAGGATGTGCTCACCAAGACAAGTTCTTCTGCTTAACTCTGTATCTCCAAGTTACACAGCACCCCAATGATACATTAATGAAAACCACTAAGAACAGACTCTAGTTCAAGTGAACATTATGATGTAAGGGAAGGAATTACCCTGAAGCATCGTGCTCCTGCTCAGCCTGCACCATGTTCCTCAGACTGGCATCAGCAAGGGCCTGTGTGAAGTGTGTGTAGGGTGCCATGAAGCAATAGTGGTAGAGGCCAGGCCTGAGGTTGGAGGAACCCAAGCGCTGAGCTTTGCCTTGAGCTTTGTTGGGGTTTGAAGATGAGCCATCATACTGAGAAGCCAGATTTGTCCCAAACAATGTTTTCAATAACTAGAGAAGAAAATTGGAAGAAAAAGAAGAAAAGTTAACTCTCGGGGCTTTAGCTGCTCAGAGTGACCCTGAGATGCATTACGAAGTCTCTTTTCCCAGCCCAGCAACCAAAGAAGGAGTCAGAACTCTTCAGTTCTCAGTCTCAAGGTTGTTTATTGTTTCTTATCTATAAAATTCTTTCTCCTGTCCAGCCGAGCTCTGCTCAGCAGGACAGTCAGAGGCACTCTGCCTGCCCCTGGGGCGGTGTTGTCTTTTTAAACCAAAAACCACGTGTACAATATTTACAATTACTTTTCAATACCTATCACCTATGTTAGACAGTGAGCTTCTACTCTAAACCAATCTAAAAGTGCCACCATCACAGCAGAAGATGAAGGCCAAGAAGAAGGAGAAAGGCTGGACATGCTCAGATTCCTCCATCTTGCCCCCCTAAACCCTCACTCTAAAAATCCCCCAAAAAATCTACTTTTCACCCTGTGACAAACTGATTATTATTCTACTTATACTTTTGTGGTTTGCACATCCTCATATAAGGTTGGTAACTTGCTCCATGGGTCATAATCAAAACCACAGGTGTCTTGGGCTCTGTGCCAGGGTCTCAGAGCCTGGCAGGGGTCCTGGCCGTCCTGGACAGCCAGAGGGATGTCCTGAATTCCGACAGGTAACATTCCAGGAACAAAAAACCTTGACTTGTCTCTCACTGTAATTGGAGGACTTAAACCTAAATATTTAATTGGAAGCCTGCAAGAAATCCATCACTAAGGCAGTCAGTTCTTTGCTTTCTAGGGTTTTTTGATACAGTTAACTGGCTGAAGAACACTTTTGCTAAGGTAGGAAACAAGCTTGTTTTCTGAACATCAGCTAAAATAGTTCTGTGAACTGGAAGCAGTTCAAGAGGGAACCAATATCAACTCACCAAACAAACAGTGAAAATGAAATAAAATATGCTCTCTTTGCTCCACCTGGGCAAATGTTTCTACATACCACTTCCCTTACAAGCATGGCCATCCTTAGCATCCAATTGACAAAAGGACATCACAATTAACAAACACACAACACATAAAAAAAAAACTCCTTACCTGCTGTACACACACTGTTGCCATTGTTGGTTCTCTGTTGAAACATGATTTTAGATATCCCAAAATTTCTTCTACACACTAGAATATCAGAAAAACAAGTGCACTAAATTGATGTTTTTTTCATTATACAAAACATTATAGTGAAAAACTGTAAGTAGCATAGGTTTTTGTACTAAGTAAAACTACATTAATTTAAAGGAAATCAAGGAATTACAGAAAGAAATAAGAATTCAACATTTTCCTCCTAATCTTAAAATACTACAATGTCTAACACCACAGTTAAGGAGAAAAAAATAGCAAAACACAGGAGAGGAAGGAGGGCAATAGGTCTTCTGACATTTTGTATATTTAGACATATGAATATAGGGAATGACTGAAGGCAAATGATTTGGCTGGAAAGAAAAATCCCCAAGCAAAATTTAAAAAGCAAAAAATTATTCCAGTTTTCAACAGCAGCAATTTAACCTGGAGAATCTGCTTTAGCCCTTTATTCAACTTTGTGGAAGCACAGCATTTGCAAAACTACTGCCCCTTGGAAGAGTAGCAATTTGAAATCAGTGATACGTGTTTTCTCCCAGTAAGGACCACAGATACTGGACAAGTTAACTATAAAATACAAAACAAACCAATCTTATACCTTTCCAATGTCCTGAAGAGTAGCAAGTTCCAAGATTTGAGAGAGAACATCTAAGGCAGACCGCAAGAAACATCCAAACTTCTCATTTGTGTTCTGGAGATCCAAAGTAACCTGTTCCCAGAAAATAAAACCACATTACTTGAGAAAGCGACAAATTACTGGAAGAAGTGGGTATTGACACAAAATGATCTTTTGTATAAAATTTCACTGACAGCTTAGACTTGCTGATGCATTGCTGGAAAGGCAGGACTCCATTTTGACTAAGGGAAAAAAAAAAGGATCTTCTTGCTTGAGGATGGCCTAGGGCATTGACAAGCCAGGGAGCTGGATGATGCATTTCTGATAAACACAGCAGGTGTAATAAGAACAGAGTCCTTGAAGTGTACATATCAGATGACCAACTCTCTAGGGAATGCATCTTCTGTCACCCGAACTAATGAGGAAAAAGCTTCCCCATCTTGGAATAAAATGCAGAGAGAACAGACATGGGGATTTATTTGGGATTTCCAAACCAGCAAAGAATCCTTTGGTACCAGCAATAATGACAGCAGAGAAACAACAGGGTGACAGTGCCTATCATGGGTTGTTATTTGGCCACTTTGTTTTTATTTGAGGTAGTTGTGATCTATAATTTTTTTGTGTGTGTGTGTGTACCAACTGTTTATACAGGTAAACCAGTGAGATGACAGAGACAGAGCCTGTTTGAAAGAAATAAAGTGATTATCCAACCCCAGTGCAGTCCAATAAAACAATATCATGCAGTACCTTATAATTAGCATGGGTTGCTTTCAAGACATCATATAACTTCAGGTATGATGGAAGATGATAAAAGCTTCCTACTGAAGATGATTTACTTATAGGAACAGGTCCTGTAGCATCAGTTTGCCTAGAAGCTTAAAAGAATATCATAGATTAGCACAATATGCCTTTTCTAGGCTGCTCATGACAAGTACACAATATAATTTCCTACATCTGCATTATTAAAGAGCATGCGTTTTTCAATCCATATGTATATTCCAAACTGCAGACACAAACTGTGCACAACTGGAAAATGAGCACTCCAACCATCCAGCCTGCTGTGGAGAGAGAAATTAACCCAGAGGGCTTAATACTGAAGTGCATGTACAATTAACAAAACAGAATTAACATGTTTCCTTCATTCATTACTAATGAAAGAAAAGGTTTCAAGATTCAGAATCTCATTTCCAAAAGCAATATAAGTCACTCCTGCCAAAAGCTGGAAAGCAACTTTCGAATTTCTTTTAAGTAACATGCAAAAATTATTTTAGTCAATAGCTGAGGAGATTCATAAAAAGTGAGGAAAAGGATTCAGCATTGCTTTGGTTCTGAAAAGTACAATTAATTTTCAGCTTACAGTCAATAAAAACCAAAACAGTAAAGAAGCCCCCACCCACAGCTGCCTTCCCACCAATGCAGTACCCTGCCAGCCTCTTGAACTGAAACTCCAGAAAAGTTACTCAGTTTTCTCTCTTCTCTCTCTGCCATAACCACGTGGTGTGGGGCAGGCAGATGGAAGGGTTAACAGAAGTGATGTGCCTACCTGGACTTGCTTCACCACTCTTCTTAGGGCTCATGGGCACAGATGCCTGCTCCACAGACTCCCTCTCCTTCCCCTTTCTCCGAATCGGACTAAGAGAAGGTGGGTTTGTGAGAGAAGGTAATGCTGCCTAGAATTAAAAGAACCTTTATTAGTTTTGTGAGCAAGTAGTTTTTTTTTTCTATAAAAATACAAGCATATTCCTCTTTTGTTTAAACTCCCCTTCATTTGACTGTCAGTTAAATTGGAATGTTTCAGGTTCAGGACATGAATTTCCTGTGTGAAAAGGAAATAGTTTAATATATTCTCCACTTTATTTTCAACTTCAGCATAGGCCAATGAGATTAAATTTTCAGCTTCAGCATAAACCAATGAGATGAAATTAGAGTTCAATGACTACACTTCCTTTTGATTCCAAATAAAGGAGTGTCAAAATTATATTCAAACATTTTTAAAATATGAAGAAATGACTGATCTTAACAATACTGTCTTACAGTTTCTAAATCAGTCTCTAAATGCATATGCCTCAAAAAAATCTCAAAAATCCCCGAGCCTGGAAGTACCTGATACAAGCTCTTTAAAAGTCAAAATATTTTACAGGATATTCAGAAGATAAAAGTTATTTTTAGCCCCTAAAGGAGCTGAGTGCATTACAACCAGCCAACCAACCCAAAAGTCAACACACTTCCCAGAGTATGCCATCCAATACTTCACGTACTCTATATACTCCTCAGTGAATTAATGTTTAAAGTGAAGTCAGCAGGAATGAAAGACTCAAAATTTAGGGTAATATTTTAAACACTGCAGAACTAAAGAAAAAGCTCTTATGTGAAGAAAAATATGCATTTTTTTCATGGTACTTGTTTTACTATACAGAGTGGAGTCATCAAGGAATTAGATACTTACCTATATCAAGTCTAAAATGTGAAGAGGTCTATAGCACAACAGTATTTAAGTCACATCATTTTATTTTTTATTTTTAATATATACCTTTACTGCTGGACCAGGAGCAACATCATCCATCACATGTGCACAAATATTGATGACCTTCAGCAGATGAGAAAAGAGCTGTTCTACTAAAGTGACCAGAGCTCGATCTGACAGAGCTGGCCAGGGCTCCTCCTGCTTTGCAGCACCTTGGTTTGCATCTTCTTCAGCACTCCAGGGATTCTTTAAGCACTTGGGAGCACTTGCTGCAATTTCAGGAAAGGAAAGACAAAACTTGGAATTAAGCACCAGAAAATTTTGAAGGCAGATATGGTTATCATCTCTGTATGAACAGAAGTTCAATCAGAATTTCAAAGCCAGGAGTAGCTGCACAGTTTAAAACAAAACCAACAAAATCTGAGCTCTTTGTATCCAGCTTGTACTAAGCATGCCCTTTGGCAACTGGAGGAAATTTGCAACTTAGCTACAAAGAGGCAGTTTCTTGTCAAACCTCCTGGGCGCAAGTTCCTTCTTTATTTCTTCTGCTTAATCTTGGAAGTTTTTCATGGCATACAATCAGAATAGAGTGAGATATGGACCTTCTAATCATAATGGTAAAAATATTAGGACAACCCTACTTTTTCTTATCCTGCCTTACCTGCAAGCAAGTTTCCAGTCAAAATCAAAGCATCCTGATGTGCTGAGAGGTCCAGTGGGAACCAAGCTGATGAAAGCAGAGACAGGACCAAGCCAGCCATACCAATGGTGCAGCCCTTCTGAGCTTCATCTGAAGAACTTGGCTGGGAAACACTGCAAGTTTAATTTTGGAATGTCATGACTTTTTATCTCCCTTTTGGCAAATTAAAAGTCTTGAGAAAACCAACTCAAGAAGATGGCTAATCTAATTAAATTATATCTGTGCTATAGAAATACACATTTAACACTCAAATACAACTTCAAAAAACAATTTGCAGCAGAGACCTGACAATACTCTGGTTTCTTGATGAGCCATTACCTTCCTTTTAGTAGCAAATATCAAGGTTATAGTGACATCTACTGATAAACTGAAGAATTCTGTATTTATTTGCTACCCACTACAGTCCTGAACTATCTTCAGTTAAGTCTTGTGCACATGCAAGGTAAGGACAGGAGGCATTAGCTGTAGTATTTTAACATAACAAGACAGTGCTTTAAAGTGACAAGAAATTAATTAAACAATTGCATTCCATCACATCTTCTATATTTTTGAGTGAACACAATCCAAGATGGTAGTTTTCTGCTGCATTCTGTATTTTCCTTGACAAGAATTATAAAATCAAATTTTCCCATGGAAGTCAAGTTTAAGAAAGGGCAGGCAGAGATCACAGTAAGATGTTTGGTGATACTCTGTGAATTACACACATCACTTCAAAGCTGTAAGACCTAAATACTTCAGTTTCTTTCAGGAGAAGATCTTACATAATCTCTAAATAAAGGGAATCTGGAAATCCTTCAAAATATTTTTAAATTTGAAATAATTAAAATCTTCTAATACAGTTACTCTAGTCTCACACAACAGGAATTTCTGAAAATTAACCTGATACTAAGTATAGCTATAATTTTGATAAAGCTTCAGAGGTAATTACAGTGCCTTTCTTTGGTTTCTGTAAAGTATTTTCACAGGCAACTGTTATTTATTTCACATCCAGCCAGATGTCCATTACTTAATCCATGTTGACCTGTACAGAGTTGGAATGCAGCAGTTCCAGCAACTTGTTAATCATAAGAACAACAACACTTAAGATAGGAAGGAATTTTTGGCAAAATTCTCATGTTACTATCCATGTTATTATATTCTTATTATCCAGAACAAAAAATGTCCATATCATTCCACAAAAATAAAATTACAGTCTAAATTCATATAAACACTGGCCAAAAATTTGTGAAGAAGGAATGAGAGGAAAGGGCAAAGGCTATGCCATTGGATCATTTGTAAATATTACATGCATCTTTGAAACAACATTTTTAAGCTAGGTAGAAGAGAAGATATATTGATTTTATTTTTCAGCTAAGTACTGCTCACATCCTAAATTACTTCATTTGTTACCACTGGACCACATTTTTTATTCTACATATACAGAGCACACCACAGTTAGGGCCAGCAAGGGAAGCAAGGGCCTGCTGACAAGAAAAGCATCTGAGGAATGCTCATTTTGTGTTTGGGATTTGGTTTTAAAATAAGACAAAATTTTCCAACTGAACAGAGTAAGAGACACAATGTCAGCAACAAAGAAAATCAACACAAATTATATTAAACCTATTTAAAAACCCAACAGGTGTCCAGGTGCATATATCTCCAGTAGCTACTTTTGCTGCTCATATGGCACAGCACTAATAATCAGAGGCAAAATCAAAACTTTTAGGCTACCAGCTGTACATTTTCATCTCAAGAAACTCTTCAGAATGTAAGTAATTTGGGCCTATCATGTATTACCTAGATTAACAATGAAGTATTACAGATACCCAATTTGCTGTTCCCACTCAGTGTGCCAAATCAGAACAATTTAAATGCATCTGACACTATTATAGCAGCCAAGATAAACCAGCTTCCTTGACCCACCATTTTTCAACACGGACATGAAATCAAAATGAAAATTTCAATGTTCAAATTTTAGAGAGATACTACAAAATATAATATCCCAAAGATAAACATCCTTTCAAAAGTTCTTAAGCATGGAATATTTCATAGATGCTGCCTATATCTATCTTTCTGTAAGAGCAGCTACAGCTAATCCCTGTGAATCCCTGCTTCCAGAGGTGACAAATGCTGGCACTTAATACCCTGACAACATGAAGTTATCATGTTCTGTATTCTGTACAAAGTTCTTAAAGAACTGCTAAGATAAATCAGGACTTCAATGCCTAAGCAAGTCCACTTCTGTTTCATAAATGTGACTTCCAGAAGCTTGATTAACAAAAGAGGGAACATACCCACAGTGCCATCCCACACTCCAAGTGCACACTGGAAATGTTGTGGAGAGAAGACACAAAGCTTCACAGCAGCCAAACTGAAAAGCAGACACCAAGAATCAAATTAGTTTCACCACAGGAAGAGTTAGCAACACAATATCTTAAGAGTGAGAATTAAATCTATTACTACTGCCATTGTCACAGTACAAAGGCCTCAAATACAAATACAGTCAGGAGATCATAAAAAAAAAGCAAGCATGTAAAACAGGAAAAAGTCAGCCACCACAGCAAGAAAACTCAAAGAAACTCATATGTAGAAAACTCACTGTAAGTGCTCTTGTAGTGGATATTGTCAGCGCATGGGAAATTGCTGCAATAACCCTTGAAAGGTTGTTTTCCATAGTGACATCTGTTGGACTTTGCAGCATATTGTAACCTCTGTATGCTCTGAAACAAAACCATTTATACCCACTAAAACACATCCTTAAAAAAACCCATCCCAATCAAAATTTAATTTTATAACTTAATATTTAAGCTTAAATTACTAGCATGTATTTCACAGACTGCTTGTAACACACAAAACCAGAGAACAGTCTAAATACCATCTTATATTGTTGTATTTTTAGGGTTGTGCTAAATGCTATTTGGTTTATAAATAAATCCTCTTTGTTAGCAAACAGAAGGAGTAGATCAACTGTCAGTTTCTAACTAGATACTTGAGAAATGACCACCCAATTAACTTTGCTGTGGTCTTTGCTGTAGCTCAAATGGATTCAACATTTTTGCACGTTCACAAAGTTTGGATTATTGCTGTATAAACTCCATTTTCTATGCAGAATAACACTAGATCCACAAAGTACTATTGCTTCCATAGAGAGGATCAAGACCATATACCAAAAGATATATAATTAAAAACTTTTATGACAAACTGATAGAATCCAACAACCCCTACAAATATATACAACTCATACTGTCTTAAGACAGAAAAAGTACAACTGGCAGCAAAAATACAACATCACACTATCAAAACTAGAATTTATTTTTCAGTTATAAAGGGAGTACAGCCTTCTGCAACTACAATCATTAAACAGAATGTGGAGAGTTATAAACCTGGATGAACACACCTGAAGAACAGTAACATACATACAATTAGCTTGAAAAGCTGGATCTGGTTTTATGATTTAATGGGCAAGTAAGGTGACTTCAGGATGGAGGGAAGAAACTATTCAAAACAAGGACTCTCAATGTGTGAGCACTCACCAGTAACTCACAACATATTCTTTGAACATGAGTCAGTTTCTGCAGAGCTTAAACCTACTACAGGTGCTCCTACAGACTAGACAAGGAATTCATAAGCACATGGATTTGCAGGATTTAACTACAGTCCTAGACCTTGCAAAGTGAAATTTGGGTCTCCATTCCTTTGGAAGCAAGGCCAGGCAGGAAACACACCTGGTGATAGTGCTCACTGCAAAGTGAGATGGGGGCTGTGTTTCGTGCATGAGGAGTTTCAGGTAGACACTGCTTTGGTCTCGTGCCACTGCCACCACTGGGTCAGCCTGTCCTTGATCACAGTTATAAAACAGCTTTGGAACAAGCCTGAAAGAAAATTAGACATCAAAAAGAAAAGTTATTATTCAGATATTATTTAACACCCAGTTTAAATACATTTAATATACAGTTCAGCAAGCTATATATGTTAATTACACATATCAAATTGTAAACAGCTATTACCTAAATTCATTAAGCTGAATTTATTTTTATATAAAAAAAAACTCTCTTCATTACAATCAAGGAGCTCAAGTCAGGACCAAGCAACTGCTCTAGACATACAGTCATTTAAAAAAAAAAGTCTTTTCCAGAGATACCTCCCCATATACACCACAACAAACACAAAGATTACTTCTCTCTTGCTGTTTCCTGATCTCCCCAGATATTTTCCCCATGAGTATCTGTATCAACTGAAAACTCATTTTTACTGAAAAAAAAATTTCCATCTGATTTCTATGCAGCAAAACCAAAATATAAAATCAAATCCAGTCTTCTTGAACAACAATATTTTCAACTTATGTAAAATGAAAAGCTATTTTACACATGTTTTGTAATCTCAGTGAGGGTACTCCCAATGAATGTCCTTACTGGATGTTTCAAGGGGTTTCTACAAGCCTGTAGTAGCTTTCTGGGACAGGTTAAGTCTTTTCCAATCTTAACACACCTCCTGTCACTATGTCAGCATGAAGACAGAAAAAACTTCAACTTGTTACCACCCAGTTAATAAAATAACTCTATTTCAGAATCAAGTCCCTTAAGAAAAGCCACAAGCTCTATGATGCAACAGTTCATGACTCCTCTGCTGAGCTGCTTTGGCAATATAAACACTTTTAAATGTCAGAACTTTAAAAGTTTAGTTGTCCTTTATTTGTTATTAGGAATGGATGGCAATTAACACTATGAAAAAATAGGAAAGAAAACTCCTCTGATAATAAAATATACCAGGAATTCAGTATTACATGCTCCCAACTTCTTTAAACATAAAATTTAGATCTTAGAATTCCAGCAAATAAACTACCAACTAATCCTTACCCTTTGGTGCATTTATCTGTACAGCAACTATAACTGTAGCAGGTTACAGCAAACATCTGCTTTGCAAACAAAATTAGCTGCTGCACTGTGATCAGTGAGCACAAAAGTTTTAAGATACACTGTGTATGACCATGTGAAAACTACAGTGCTTGGGAGTTGGGACAAATCTGTAGAACTGTAACATTTTAAGTCAGTCAGCCACTGCCAGGATACTGAACAAACCACTTCAGCATGAAAAAAAAAATATTCTGAAGAAGTTGAAACTGAAAGTGACCCTCAGAATGTAATACAATGTAATACCCTCAGAATGTAATTTAATGTAAATGGATTGCTAATAGAAAGCAAAGTACAATTACCTGATCAGTCAGAATGATGCAGGTCCCAGGTACCACAAAGATGCATTTATTTCCCATCTCTCTTTTGAAGAAATATATATACATGCATGTAGAGATATATATATATATGTATTTTAAAAACACCCAAGTGATTATTTTAGTTATAGGTACACATCAACATGCAAGTATCTTCCTAAACTACTTTTTCTTTTCCTATAAATGAAAATGTCACATGTACCTCGTTAAAGAAGCTGCAGCCACATGTCTCACTCTTGGATCTTCATCTCCAAGCAGACTTATTACAACATTTTCAAGTACTCTCTCCTGAAGCTTTAATAGCTAGAAAATAAATGAGCACAGTAAATAAAGTTCACTAACCATTTTCATCATTTGACCATATTGTGAAAGGAGAGTTCACAAGTGAGATTTCATCTGTCATACAAGCCTGCAAGACCATCTTTACCTCAACATTGTCAACCACATTCTCTGACTACACAAATGTCAATTTTTTTTAAGTTAAAAGAGAACAAGCTACAAAACACACAAACATACCAGAGAAAACAAAGATATCTGAATCACCATAGTAAATGTATTCCCAACTGTAGTAAGTTTTAGAATGTGAATTATTTACACAAAAAGCACAGCAGCCATCAGTGTTGACAGAACTTAAAAATAAAGTGATGACATTGCACTGGTACCTTAATCCAGAAACACAATATACTGATTAAATAATTTACTTACACCAGTATAATGATGAATACCTCTGTGCAAGCTCTCAGTTTTTCCTTCCAAGAAGTTGACTAGCCTATGACAAAATAGAATTTATAGTACATTAGTGAACATTGTGTGTTATTCCTCCCTTCACTGCTCTGAGGGTTCTTTTTTTTTTTTTTTTAACCACTATAAGGAAAATGTAAATAGTAAACACTTTTTGCAAGCTTTAGAAAAGATAAGTTATTTGCTAGCCTACTATCTGGCTAGTGTAACTGAAGAAAAATAGTCCTTCCATTTAAAAAAACCCATTATTTAAAGACCATGATTTTAATTGTATTTTTTCCCATGCACAGAATCATCAGACTAGTTTGAAAAGACAGTAACACATTCCAAACATCACTATTCACAAGGAGTCCACTTTTGTACTACTAAGAATTTTCATATAAACATCTTCTGTCTTTCAGCTTGGAAGAATCAATACAGGATGAGAGAATGCAAGAAAAAGAACAAGTCACATTTATTTCAGTATTAAAAGAAACTGAGTGACTACAGAGAGCTGATAACAGAGTACATGTCAGGGACTTTCTCTTTAAAAAACACATGAAACTGGATGGAAAAACTAAGTTGGATTCCAAATGATGTGGTCCCTCTCTGATCACACATTTAGAGAAGACTTGATACAACAGACTAATGAACAATAAACTTCAATACAGTGTTACTAGGATTGGGCTTGGTTGTGCAGTCAGTGGTAACTTTACAAAGGAATTCATACAGGATTGACCGATCTGAATTAGTTTTATGAAACTCATTAATGCTTCAGAAGAAATTGTGCCATTACCGTTTCAGTTTCCTGTACGTCCCTGCACTTCAGCTACCACACCCATGGAAAAATAGGAACACTCACCGAAAATCCACCTCTGCAAGTGTTTCCAGAAGTTCTGTCCTTACAAGCCAATATGAGCTGTTCTTCAGAGCAAGGAGGTCAACAATCAATTGCAAACCTAGCTCACTGTAACTGCTGCTGCATAAGCTCATGATGCAATGCTGAGAAGAAAAAACAACTTTCAGTTATATTACAGAAGAGGTTCTCTGAAAAGCAGAATGAAAGTCATCAAAAAAACCCCTGTTTTCTTTAGAATACTTGAAAAAAATTATTTCATAAGAGCTAGGATAAGCACCAGAGCTAGGTACCCTACAAGGCCAGAAAACCATCTCTATGTGAACTGCTAAAACCTGCTGATAAAATTAACCTCTGGAGAGGAATGCAGGCCACACAGATCAGAGGGCAATCCTCTAAAGGAGGACTCACAAGGCTTAAACACCACAAACACTATATTGTCATCTGTTCAAAAACAGTCTCCCAATTTCCACAGGGTACTTTGAGACACCTGGTTCTGGTTTCCAAAATCTTGGATAAAGTCATATCTCCATATCTGGATGTTCAACTACAGGCATAATGTGTGACCTTTAGAAAAAGTTATAGAACTCCACATTTCCATGTCTTATTTAACTACACAAAATGTACCTTCTTGTTTGAGGATTAACAACCAAACAGGCTTAGAACATTTCTGCCAAAATGTCAGACCATACTTATACTGAGAAAAAGCAAGAGCCAAAGTACTAAGTTGCCTGAACTGAACAATTCCAGTGGTCTTCTGAAAAGCCATTATGACAAGTGTAGTCACACATTAAACCACTACACACAAACATGAAGATTGCTGAACAGAAAGTAAAAAAAAATCCAGCATTTACCTGGATTTCCTCCCCCAGTTGTATCACAAGCCCCTCCTCTTTGCATACAAAACCATAATTCCCATACACAAACTATGCATGTTTTACTCAAATTTATGCTTTGCCTCATAGGTTTTTAAGTCTCTGATTTGTCTGTGTTCTACTTTATTGGAAAAACTCTCAAAGAAAGCTCACTCCTTCACCCCTCTGCTTTTTCATCAAACATTTTCCACAGATTTTATTCAAGAAATAAAATTCATATCCTCTAAATTCCACTCGCCAATTCAGCTGTCATCTCTGTTTTAACAATTGCCTGAGGGATCTTTCACCCAATTTTAACCTCTTGTTTCATGACAGCTTTCCACTTTTAAAAATTACTGTTTCAGAAAATAATCACTATTTTAGTTGTCATTTCTCACATTTAATTTTTATTCTCCAAACACAGGCTACAGCCAGGTGTTATATGTTCACACTCCCCTGTTTAGCCTAGATAGCCTTTCTATCTAATGTACTCATCCTACTGTCGGTTAATGTAACATTAAAGCTCATATCAGTACATTTCTCATGAGAAACAAAATTATTAGATTACAATGATCTAACCACATAATTATTTTCAGTGCCAATAAAGTTCTTCAGGAAGAAATCAGTTTATGCTGGATGTTTACACATCTGCACATAGCAGCATCCCAGAAATGAATCACAACCTTGTGATCTGTGTGGTGCAAATAAATTCCTACTGCTTACCCTCACAGCTGTACAAGCCAGTTTGCATGTAACAGAGGACTCATCTTTCAATGTTTTCTGTAACAGAGGTATGCAGTCTATTAAGGAAAAGAGATTTCCTAAAAAACAGAAAAAAACCAATTTTGAGCAATGAAACATTGCAATCTTAGATTAAAAGACAAAAAGACACCCATAAAATAAATTGTTACCTGTTGAGCTTCTGACATTTATTAGCCATTTTTCCACATCAAAGCGGGATTTAATCAGAATGGAGTTGACAATTGTTCCACAGAGAATGGCAGTAGCTCCTCTGATCTGGGGATCCCCATGGTCAATATAGTTCAGAACGTCCGACACATATTGCTCCTCTAAGAAAATAAGTTACAACTACTTTATTTTAAAAACACTAGTATTAGACTTCACTGATTCATAAAAATGTTACAATGGAGGTCTCAACTATTAGACAATCAACATCAGCACATCCAAAACACGCCCACCATAGCTCTCCCCTCTTGAGATCCCTTCCTGTGCATGCAATCTACAGATCAATCACACCATTCAGACCAATCATCACCTATTTAAAAACACTAGTGATTTATTTCAACTGTACACAAAATGCTCCAGGGAAAAAGAAGAAGCATTTTGGTCAATGTATCAAACCAGTTGCACACTCCAGGTCCCTGTGATTCATTTGTAAAAGTGAACCTAATGACTTAGAAACAATCTGTAAGATGGACTAAATTAAATCAGAAGAAAACATTTGTAAAATAAACAACCCCTTCCACATACTCATTGTTTCAAAACAGCTTCAACTTGTCAGAAGCTCTACAAGGTCATCCACTGAAACTTAAATCTTGCTACAAAAAATATACCTCATCACATGCACAGCACATTCAATCCAATTTGTGCAATATTTGTGCACAAATATCAAACTGGGTTTGGAGTTTTCAGGGTAGATGCTGCCTCACTTATTTGAAAACCCAAACAACACTATTAAAATGGTATATGTGAACTGCAACATACCATACTCTTCTCCCATTGCCTCCAGAGGTGTTTTATACAGTTTGCTGAAGAAAGACTCAGGGTGAAGTGCAACAGCTGCTCCAACACAACTTACTGCCAAGGCTTTTACACTGACTCTCACATCTCTATCAGGAACTAAAGCTGCAGGGAAGAAACAAAAATTATTAAAAGGAAGGTATTTAAAGGTTGCTGAATTTAATTTTAAATTTAATTAGTAACATTATATAAAATAAAATAGCTTAGCCTGCACAAAAATACGAAGGCAGAGCAAGCAGTTGCACTTTGTCAGAGGCAGCAGTGATATATGAGCTGTTTGCTTTTCTCAAATGAGCTGTGTTTGAAATATACTTGAATACTCAAATACAGCCAGCCATAACATACCTCCAGCTCACCTCCTTCAAAATACAATACATTACATGGGCATGTGGGCAAGTAAGAGTTTAGAAAAGGGAAAAATGAACAAACACCTTAAATCAGTCATCTACCACGACAGGAATGTATGTATTGGATGTATTTTTAAAAAATGGAAATGTGGTGCTTAGGGACTGCCACAGAAAAACATCCAATATTTCTAATAAAGCGACATCAAAACCAAGACAGAGCAAAGTGATCACATTTCCAACTTTGTGCAGAGAACCAATGAAGCTCAAAGACAAGCATACCTCCTTTGTCCCCAGTGAGCAGGAAGGAGGCCGAGAGCAGCCTGACGCAGTGCACCAAAGGAGCACAGTCTCTGTCAGTGTAGTGCCCGATGTCCCCCTTTACCCTGGAGGGCTATTGAAGGCAAATCACAGTGTTTATACAGAGAAAAATTTATCTTCACTTGAAAAAAATACTAGCACAAGATTTAGAAATACTGCACATCCTCAAATGTCTAAAGGTTTAATACAAAATGAATATATAACATTCATATGTAGTTTAATATATATTCAAAAAAAGGCCTCAAAGTGCAATGCTTTGGAGAAGCTTATATCTTGTATCAGAACTGGTTCAATTTTATTACAGAAATATTTTATTGTAGATTTTTCTAAACTATCTAGACTTGCTGTTTGCATGTGAAGAGCATGCTAAAGCATTTGTTGCCATCGAACTTTGGAAACTTTATTATTTCTAAGTTGTTTTCTGCAGTTTTACATTTAGAATTCCCCAATAGTCCAAGCTGATCTAATTCTGCCTGCCACAAATGAAACTTTCACCCCAGCTCAGAACAAGGTCCAAAGATAAAGTCAAAAAAATGTAAAGAAGAAATGAGTAACTTGTAGTTAGAATGGCACCAGGCTCAAAGACTAACCTCTGAGGAGATCATGAAGTTACCCACACAGGTAGCAATCAGCACAAAGATATTTCAAGTAAGAAAGTATCAGTCTAGCCTACTAATGCACAGAAAAAAAGGGTTTGTGCTCTCAGCAGAGTGTTCTAGTATGGCTTTGCTTCAATTCTTATGTATTCACCTTATGTTAAATGAAATTCAGGCTGTAACTCAAGATTCCCTACGCAACCTGAGTTACTTTGACCTATAACAAGGTACATCATATATACATGTTTCCCACATTTACCACTTCATCATAACTGTAATTTAATTTTTTTAGAATTTCATTGTTTTGAACTTTAAATCTGACCACTGTGATGACTTCTCACCTTGTTCTCATGTTCACCAGCATCTGCTGCATCCTCTTTGGATGTAAATCGATCCACGCTGCTATCAGAGGGCTGCCTGCTATGGCTCATGGTTTTCAGCAGGTGAGACTGTTGAAGAGCTTTAGAAAAAGGCAATTCATGAAATACCATTTCAGATGCAAACTAAAAGCACTTTAATTACACTAATTATACAAACATGAAAAACAAATTAGCAGTGATCAAAATAAGTAATTGATCGCAAGTGTTGAAATATATTCCTTATTGCATATATCCATCTAGTTATTTGTTTTTCATATCCATTAAATGAGTCTTCACTCCCCTGCAGTGCAGATGCACCTGAACACCTGTCTAATCGTGTCCCCAGTCTGGCCCACTCCCGTATTTATCCACATACCAAGAGAAGAATTTCTGAAGGACTCTGACGAATCATCTTGGAGAATATTTGCAGCTTCATCTTCCTCATCCTGCAGCTGCCCAATCTGCATTCCAGAATACTGTCCTTCAGCACCCTCCAAAACCTATGCAGTGCAAGGACAGGGCTTAAAATAATTTATCTTTACACAGAGTATTAAATTTGAAACATGCAGCGTTAGTAATCTACAAATAGTCTGAAAGCAAACATGAGCCTGATAAATATTAGTGCCCAGCTGCATGTAAGCCCCAAAGCACTTCCCCTCCTCCTGCAGCTCTGGGGCTATTGGAGGCCATAGTTCCATCTGAGAGTCTCTCAGCTGAGCTATGAACTTGGCTACCAACAGGAACCAAGTAAAACTCAGTCCACTGCTCCCCTGCAGCTCCCCTTGCTCCCTCATCACAAATGTTTCTCTCTCAGCAGTTACAAATCACAACCAACACCTTTACTGCCACAAACTGAAGTTAGCCCTTGCAGTTAAAATCCCCCATAACCTCACTTGTCCTGGATATGTGAAATCAAACCGAGAACACACTGTATAGGACAAGAAAGGACAAAGAAGTTTAAAGTATTCCAATTTCTTCACTCAAAACCAGAGACTACTAAAATGGACTCATCTGGAAAAGAGTTTGACCCTTGGAACCAAGGCAATATATAGGCAGTAGGTATATGAAAAAATAACCATGAAAGTTAATCATAATGATCAATTACAGTAAAGTAAAAAAACCAATTTCACTAATTTTATCAGAAAACAGTACACTTCTTCAGTTACTTCCTGTCTTCAAAAGCACCTGGAAATTGTTCATTAAAAAGCTTGTGTGTCAGTAATTTGGACAACCACTTAGTCTCAATTATGAATGCATAATTTTACACATAATTACTGCTTGTAAACAGTATGCCAACTTACAAGAATTTGCATAAACACATCATGCCAATAAATACATCTTGTCAATAAATGCCTGCTCACTTTGGCCTCTGCACTGCCTTAATTTAATTCAGAGAGCAATTATCATCACTCCTTTGGTTCTTGAATTCTCACACTTGCAGAAGTATTTTCTTAGCATGATTATAAATTTACTATTTTTTATAGTGCTAAGAGACTATTACTCTTCCAAATTACTATCAGAAAACGAGAGCCAAAAGTTTGATATGTTTGAAAAGCTCTGAACTTGTTCTAAATTTTTGCCCTTTTGAATTTTCTCCTCTGGTTCCCAGTAATTGTATTTTTGTGTTTTTATTACCACCTCACAATACACTTGCCCAAGAGAGACAAATGTCTTAAAATAGATATAGTGTATGCACATTTCAGGTGTTTATTAGATATGTAACTGCTACATTTGTAAATCATGCAGCGTTTGCCCATTATACGAGAAATCCTTAAGATGGAATAAAAAGGCAAAAAAAAAAAGAGTTGTGCTGCCAAGTGTAAAAGCACAGGCAGAAGGCAGCGTGAAGCATTGTGCTCCAAAAATATTTCTTTATCATTCCAAAAAAACTGCTCACCCTTTAACACTTCCATTAACCCTCCTGCACCAAAACAATTATTAATATATATATATACACAAAATTAAGGATACTAAGAGAAGATATTTATGGCAAGACTTTGATAATTGCCATTCTTCCAGTGAGCGACATCTGTAATGCCTTCACATGACCTACCCAGAGAACACACTGATTCCAGCTTTGTAGCTTTTCATTATTGCTGAAGTGAAAGTGTTAAAAGGAGGTCAAGCTCTCCAATAGAGGTGTGAGCTGCTGACCTTTCCACTGTTACTAGCTGAGGATTGAAAAGTAGAAGATGAGTAAGGAGACGAATCCAAGTCTGGGCCCTCCATGGAAGAGCTCTGAGATATGTCGGGCCCCTCAGTAGAAGGAGATCCCCCCTCTGCCCGCTGCACACTTACAATTTCAGAGCTGTCTGAAGGGGTTACAGCAGAGTCTGGACCTTCTGTAGTGGTCTGAGAGCTATCACTAATTGGTGAGGAAGCCTGCGTGCCATCATTCAAATCCATAGTGGCATCTGACTGGACAGCACTGATCTGGCTGGAGCTTCGACTGAGCATTTCCTCCTCCTCCCCGTCAGCAGCTGCACTGGTCAGCTCACAGCTGGGCAGCTCCACGGGCTCCGACTGCAGCGTGTGCTGCGAGCGCGGCTGCTCCGTGATGATGTCGTGGCCCGTGGCGTCCGCAGCTGAGCTCCCCACCGAGCCAGCTGTCGACACTCCTGAGGAAGAAGCCAGCTCACTGGTTATCTCACCCTTCACAGAAGCTGCAAAACACAGGCATTTATCAGTCAGCCCAGTGCTTGAATTTGTGTTTCACTCTTGACATGAAAACGCAGGCTAAGCCACATCTTAAACTAGGCTAAGGAAAGTGTGTAATGGAACAGTTAAACTACAGGTAGGAAAACAGGCATCTTATAAAGATTCCACCCCATCTCTTTAAAAAAAGAATGCACTCAATTTCCTTATGTTTTACACTCCACAGTATTTATGGTTTTTGTTTACCATGTCTTTTGAATGCCCAAAAACTTCCTTACCACCATAACACATCACTTGGACATTTTGCATAGAGCAATAACAGAATGTATTTGCTGACTGCACTGCTAAAGAGAAAGGCAGGTACCTGCAAATGATGCAGAGCTGACATCAGATCGGGTTTCAGAATCATCATCCAAGCCTTCTTCTTCACCAAGAAGTACTTTACCTGAGAAGTGATACAAGAAAAACCTTTAGCTGTCAAAAATTATAGTCAGTTTGAAATGTTGAACAGCTGAAGTCAGATGTGAAATCTATTTTTAGTAAGTTTATCCAAATAATTTTTCATAGCTATGACAGGTAACAGGTGAAAGGAATGAATAAAGTACACATCCAGTCCCTCACTAATTCATCAGGAAAGAAAGAGGCAGCAGTGACAAGAAAACAGAGTTAAGCAATTTTATTTACCAGTGCAACCATTCAGGAAACAACCTACAATCTTATTACTTCTAGCTTATTTTTGTGGACAACATTTAGGATCCCACTAATTTCATCAAGTATGTGCTATTCCTAAGGACTGAATATCTAGCATCTGGAGGTCTGCCCTCAACTCTAAAGGCATTAATGCACCACAAGTAATAGAATAAATGACCTCTTCCTCCTTAAGGCTATAAAAATTATCAAAGGCTGCTCAGAACTCCAAAGATGACAGTACAGAAAAAGCCCAGGGAGAAGAGCAGTGCAGAGTAGAAGCACAAGGCAACACAGGTGGGAGAGGGTGATGAACCATGGACAACCATGGAGAGCTAAGGATTACTAAGGCAAAAAATCTTCAGAGATGCTTTTGCCATAAGAAACTTGAGAACCACTTCTAATATAACCCAACCACCACTGAGTTCTCTTACTCACAGAGCATTATCTACTTATATTACAGGCAGTAGAAAGAGAAAGATACCTGCAGATGCACACTGCCTGGAAGGCAACCAAGGACACAACTGCACTGCAAATCTGTCCCTGGGACAGCACAGGGAGTGCAGAGGGAGCTGCTAAGCTCATCCTTCTACAGGTTGCAAGTCCCTTGCTGAGACGGAGGGACTCACACTAAGCGCTCTGAGAAGGATTTTGCTTAGACTACCAAGCTGCACTGGTAGTCTAAGTTCCATAATGCAAGAAACTAATGTTTGGAAAACTCTGGGTGAATATCTTTGTACCTTATTCACGTTAACTGGGGGTAAAAGAGCATTAATACACTTTTGTATTTTGTGGTTTTTTGTATTTCTTTTTCTCCACTGCTTTCATACATAGCAGTACCACTGCAGAATTCCCTTCCTCTGAAAAGCATGATTTATGATACTCAAAACTGTAAGTAAGGCAGAAAAGTAAACATGGCATTTCCATACACCTTCCATGTAAAATGATAGTAATTGAGAACTACACCCTCCTATGAATGAATGAGTAAAATCCTGCTAGGAGTTCCCAACAAAAAGCACAAAATATAATATATTCTTCTGTATTATTTTGCACATTTACATCCATTTCACTGAAACAAACCAGGATGTTCTTCTGCTTTCCATGGCTGTCCACCTCTAAAAGTAAGTGAAAGAATAAGAACACTGAAAAAGTCATTAGGCACATTAGGTTTTGTATGCTTAAATGTATTAATGAGTATATAACACACACAGCAGGATACTTTTCCTCTATTTGACAAGAAAAAATTCCAGTTAAGTTGCTTTCAAAACATAGGCTTTGATTTCAAAAGGAATTTTCAGCCTTTTTTGCAAATAAACTTCTGAAGTTGAAACATAAATGAACCAATGCAGGCCAGCTGCTCAGAACTGAAGTTGATCTGATACAGCAAGATTGCAAAGATGTGAAACAGAGAATTCTGTAGATCTGCCTCACTTCACACCTCTACACACAAAGGAGCATTACAGCTTGAGAAGTCCCATCCATTGCCCACTACTCTGTATGACTGCAGAATGACTTCAAGGAGGAAGTGGGAATAGGCTTGGATTTTCCCTCTTTTCTACAATGGAGAGCAACAGGAAATGAACAATTCACAATTTGAAAATAAACCTGTACAAAGCACAAAATTGTGAAGGGATTTCTTCAAATTGTTTATGCCACTGTTTAGACCTCAAAATCTTCATGCCATAATCTTGAAAAAGGATAAAAGCTGATGACTCATACACGTTTTCTCACCAAGTGAAAGATTAGTATTTTAAGAAGTACTTTAACTGCATTTACTCTATTATTAGTACTTCAAAATTACACTGAAGACTACCAACAAGACAAAGATCCTAAAGGACAATTTACTATTTTTTATTTACATGTGATATATGTAGTTATTCTGATTTGTTGCATTCTGTCTCACCTTTGAATGCTGCAGCAATATCTACTTTCAGATACCCATTCTTTCAATATGACCTTTCTAAACTAGAAATGATGGTGCTTACAGATGCAGTTATTTCATTCAGCTTTAACCACTAATTTACATTTTTTGTACACTCTTAAAGCATACAGATGAGGTTATTTAGGAACACTTAAATAATCTTATCTGTATGCTTTAAGAGTACACCAAAATGTAAAGCAGTGGTTAAAGAGTGGTTAATGAGATTCCTTGTACACGAACATTGAAGGACATATTTGGAAAAAGTATAAGCTGTAATGGTGCTTCCAGTTTATATAATCTCACTTAGTTTTAATCTACTTTTCCTTGAAGTTTTTCTCTTCAGCATTGTACATCTCTTGCTTACGAATTCTTGCAGTGACTACACTACACTCACACAGTTTCACTGCAGCATTTTGCTCATCTGACTCAGGTGATGAAAGTGTTACACAGCTGTACCTAGACTGAGCCTGTCATAGTGATATGACTGGTTTATATCAAAACATACAACTAAATATTAAGTACTGTCATGCACAAACTGGGAAAAGAATACTTCAGAGCAAACTATATTCTTTAAAATCCTGCTACATGAACAACTTATTGAAGAAAGAAAATCTACACAGGCAAGACAAAAATGTATAATCATTAAGAACAGAAAAAGAAATAAAAAAACCATCATATTGAAGCATGCAAACATACACATGCATTAGTGAATTGCAGAGAAAAAAACAGGCCTAACAAAACCAGGAAAGTTAACTGTTTAGCAAGTTACATTAATGGTTAAGTATTACCATGAAAAAGAAGAATGCCCTGTTCAGAGAGATTATTTTTCCATGTGCTCTTAAGAAGTTAAAACTGCATCATAATCATCAACATAACTTTGACAGTGAACTACAGTAAAAATAAAATTATACTGCTTTAAATTATTGCAGAATATCTTGATTGCAATATCAGATATTGCATCGGAATCTTTTCACTATTTATAATGATAAAGCTCAGCTGATAACACAGGCAATTGTGAATGAAGACCCAAGTTCAGCAAGACAATGAAGTGGGGAGGGGGAAAAAAAACAACCCCAAAAAAATCAGGAAGGAATGCAATTAAAGATTGGTTTTCAAAAATAATCACCTTTATGCTTTCTTGCAAGAACAGGGCTGCATGAAGACCCCCCTCCAGCTGCAAATCACAGAAAGTAACACATCAGGGCAAAGACAGAGCTAATGAAATCATGAAGGAATTCTAATAGCCACAAGTGGAAAACAAAACAAACAAAAAAAACCAACAAAGCAAAACAAAAAACCCACAAAACCAAAACAAAAACAAAACCCAAAGCCAGGAAGAAATAGCAAACTTGTTGCTTTTGAAGTCTGAGGTTTTTTGATCATTTGACACCAAATTACTTTTAATATTCTGTGCCACTTGTGTGTAGTTTGCTTTCAAAAATGTGTTCTAAATTTCCATGCTATGATTGCTTCCAGCTAATAATTTACCTTCCAGAAGCAGCAATATTGGCTGACTCATTAGTTCAATACAGACTCCTTACAAAAACCCAATCAGAGACTGATTCTTTTGAAACAGGTATGTAGCAGCTAAAGAGAATTTCAAGAACATGCACTCCACAGACAAGAAAGCTGATTTTAATAGTTAAGGATAAGCTTAAGTCATGCTTTAATTTCGTGCTGGTTTTGGTATTCAGCAAGGAACTCTCAGTTAATACAAACTCTGATTAGAACTGCTTTTATGAATCACAGTTGTCAGATGATTGGTAAGAACATTCATTTTGTGAGGTTAAAAAAAAGTCAGCATATTAAACTTGCTTTGTGTAATTAAAAAAAAAAAATCATCAACACAAACTGTAAAAAAACCCTCGGAAGTTTGTAATGAATCAATGAATGTATACCCACTTAAAAGGAGGGAAGGAATTTCATTTAACCCTCATGCTTTACTAACATTGAGAACTAGAGCTGATGACGTATGCTCATTTCCTTGTACTCCAACTGCCAAGAGCAGAGCTCACCTATAAGTTCCACAATGCTCCCGCTGCGGCTCCTGCTGGCAGGTTCATCTTTGGATACACTGACCTGAGCAATGCCCCCACAGGCAGTCAGGGCATGGAGCAGTTCAGGGGGGGGAGTTCTAAAGAGCTGCTGCAGCAATTCTAAAGCTCCAGTCACAACGTTATGGTCCTGATGCTGGGTATAGTGCAGAGTCAGTTCATAAACCTGAAAGCCAGCAGAGTACTGGGGTAAGTCTCCATGAAGACAGAACATACTACGTGTGTTACCCTATACAACATCAAATTTCAGCAATGAATTAAGAATAACACATGTTTGGTATATATGATCTTCACCACAATCTTCCAAGGGGGAAATGTCAATCAATTGTAGCCACTTAAATGCCTTTTTGGTAGAAGTCTGGTCATTACTTATCAATAATTCCACTCACTGGACCAACTATCACTCATCAAGATAAACAGGAATTTGAGAAGTCAGAGTGTTCAGTATCAAACTAATCTATTTATTTAGATCACTATTTATTTATCTCCCTCCCAATTAGTACTCCACAGGTAAGGGTTATTATTCATATTTTACCTGTATAAGTTGTTCTGGTGAAGGTGAAATCTCTGTTTCTTTCCTTGTTACACCAAAACTGCCTTTCAGGCTGGTATCTTTTACTTGTTGTTGCAACAAAGGTATGAGATACCTTAGTGTAAGTAAAACACCCAGAATTAAAAGAGTAGGACGATCATCTTCTACAGGAACCAACAAGCCTGAGGGGAGAAACAAAGTGGCCAAATAGCTTATTGACAGTGGCTAGTTTCAACACAAATGTTATTTCATGTAGTCCATATAATAGTTTCTTAAAATAAAAAAAAAAAAAAAAAGCAACAACAGAAACCTAGCAGCCACTTAGGAGTGTTTTCCAAATGTAGAAACATTTGTAAATATGCATTTTATACTACTAACAATCAATTAAGCAGCATGGGAGAATGATCAGAGGGCCCTGTCTCACCTTCCCTGTTTCCCACCTCTTTTTACTCCATAAAAGCACAAGTTGTTTTGGGTTTTTTTTGTAATAGCTGATGCTGTCGTGAGATGATCTAGAGATTCTTGCTCCTCTCACCTGCCTCCTCTCTCCACTTGACAGCTTACATCCAAGTGTAATTCCCTTGCTCACAGATGCACTGCTATCCTAATGGAAGATATCTGCACTTTGCCCTGTTTTGGGAACTTTCTTCCATATACCTACCTGCTAATCACAACCAATCCCAAAGCATATTACAAACTAATGTAAGTTACAGAAGAAAACACAGTCTTCCATCCAGGGAGGAGAAAAAAATTCAGAATCAATTCTTGGAGTTCCCATTCATGTTTCTGTTTGAATTCTGCATCATTGCCAAGGACATTATCACACATCACTTTAGAGGGAGGAAAGTCACAATGTAACTGTTGAATTTTTCACACTTCTTGAAAGCAGCAAGGCTAACATGATAACACCTTATGTATCTGCTGGTCTTCCTCATCTCTCCTTTTGCAAGACAGTCTACATAGTAAAGAACCCCTTGTCGAAGACAAAACTGAGGCAAGTTTCCACTGAAAGCCAGAGATGCCTCTTGCCATGACTCGCAAAACAACCAGAAGACCATGCAAACTTCCCAGCTGAAGAAATAAGGAATCAATATCTGATACAAAGTTGTGCACTTTAAATTTAAAAAAAAATCTTCAATTTCTGCTCTAAGTTATAACAGAACCTATGCAGTGATCCTCTAAGAAAGGTCACGGGGTATGTGATCGTGGCCCAGAGCACAGCAGGGTGCTCTGCACCTCAGACCTGCTGCACTAGCAACCAAGCTGATGGACCACGCAAGTCTTCAGACTCCCGAAGTTCACCCAGAATCCTTAGACCTCATTTTCCAGCAAGCTACTTGTTTCCCAAGCCTCCGCTACTTCTTTTTAATATTACTTACTAGGACTGCAGCACAGAGAGAGAGACAAATAGCAGCACAGAGAGAGAGACAAATAGCTTTAGAAGTATCTTCCTCTAACTTAACACCAGATAGACAAAGTATCAGCAGTTTTCAGTCAAAGTATCCTTCCTTTACCTGAAAACCTTTCACATATTCAAAGTGATACATATTCTTACATGTAATGTTACTTGCACAAAAAGCCAATTAATTTTTTTGCCCTGAATCTTACCTAAAAGCACATTCAATAACCAGGCATAAAAATACTGTGTTCTTCGTGAATGTTGGCAGATGCTTACTGCTGATCCTGCAGCTGTTCGACGGATAGTGGGGGAACTGGACTTAAGATTAGCTATGAAAGCCTTCAACAAAACCTAAAAACAAAGACACCTTACTTAACTTTTAATCAGAAGTGAACTAAGAAGCCAGCAAATGTATTTTTCATTTATTCAAAGCATTACTTCATGCACATCAAGCAAAGGCAACTACTGCCTTAATTCAGACGTGCAGCTGTAACACTGCTTTCTGTACCATGGGATGGTAATGCTGGTAACTCACCATGCTTTGGGATTTAACAGGGAGCACTAATAGGGTAAAGAAAGGTACCTTAATCTCATTGTCATTTGCAAAATTGCCAAAGGCTGCCATGATTTTGGGTATTGCTGCAGCCAGCGTCTCCTGCACCGATTCCTCGGGTCTCTTACTGATCCGTGTCAGACAGGGCAAAAGGTTCACCAGGTATGGCCTAAGTGCGGCACAGGAGAAAAACTGATTTGAGAGCAGAACTACTGAGCCCTTCTAAGTATTTTTAATTCATACTCCAGTTCTGTGGTACTACTAAATCATACAAAAATGTACCTGTTAGCTACACAGAACATAGGAAAAAAAGAAGAATCTTCTGAATGCAAGAGAAGAATACACTTAAAAAATATACAAGTCATTATCTTCACAAGTTTTCCCCCCCTACAGTAATGTATAGCATAGAACTAAAACTCTATTAAATAAACACACTGATGAAATAAACTCAGAGAGAATACGGTAATAGCAATTCCTCCAACCTCCTAATTACATACTTCAAACTTCCAAACAGTAACATTCTGTTAACATCTGTATTTCTTTAAAGGTTCTTTGGAAAGTTCATTATTAGAATGTGTTTACCTGCACTTCTGAGGCCGCACTAGATGGGCAAGCTCAGCAAATCTCCAGAGTGCAGCACGCAGACTTCTTGAAGCACCATTCTAGACAGAGTATATAACTATCACATTTCATCATGCAAAACCATTTCCTACAAAAAATTGCCTACAACATACAATATTGTATATTTTACTTAAACAGATAAAAATATAAGGTGTCTGGAAATCATAAATTTCCTTTAGCCAAAAGGAAGTCAAGTCAGTTCCATGACTACCTTCGTTTTTCTAGCTCGCATTAGGAGTTTTCTGAGTAATCTAAAAGGAATAATAAGGAACACCACAACAGAAAAGGAAGTGTCTGAGTTCTCTGCTCTGCTGAAATCTGCTTAAAATACCACAGAGAAAGGCATCAGCCAACAAAGAAACACTGATGAGAGTCTGAAAATCACTGTAACACTTTGCAGAGATATAAATACAGCACAAAATTGACAGCAGAGAAGATATGCAAATAAACAACATTCAGCTTTTCTGAGTGCACCAAAGGAAAAATCAATATATTGATCTGTAGCACTTCATAATGGATTGACTGCTGAAGTTTAGTATCTATTTGCCTGGACTGACATCTTCCATTGTGCACCTGACTTGAACCAGAATGCCCTTACATTAGTGTCCAGGGATGTAGCACAATTCCTTAGTGTTGTTGGAAATACAGAGAAATGTGGAAGTCAGGATGCCTAGGAGGGTGTCTACCTAATGTAGTTCAAACCCAACCAAAATGCTTCTCAAATTGAGTCCCCTGAAGATAAAGCTGAGATGTTTGAAAACTGTCATTTCTTTATTACTTTCTTCAGCTGGTATATCAAAGGCTTGCAGCCTTGTTAGCATGACAAGTAAAAAATACTTGCATCTGAATTACAAGACATGCATTTCCCAGGTTCACAGCCAAACAACAGATTCTGGCATGGTTTCTGAAGTGATCCTGATGCACAAACAAAATTCAGTCTGCTGGGTGCTCCTGTTGCATATGCTACCTCTCTCTCACCTGTCATGAATCCAAGAGCACCTTTCAAGAAGTACACGCCAACTGAACAACAAAATATTTCCTCCTACCCCCAGTTAAAAACATGCAGAAACTTTGGAGCGTTTTGTATGTTGGCTGCTTTCTGTTAATTAAGTAATGTCCATTTCCAAACTCTCAAAAATATTGCATGACATAAAGGTACAGCAATACAGTAAAATATCCACACATGGCCCTACATCTAACACAAGAAAGGCTATGCATATTGGTTTTGTGACTTATCTTCTAGAGTTCTATTATTCCCTCCACAAACAAAAAAAACCCAGTATCATGACAGTCTGACAAGTAACACCTTTATTTTCAGTCTGTACAAGCCTGACCACATGTTTATAGATGCAAGAGACACAATTTCAGTGATACTGTTCTAAACATGGTATTTCTCTCCTGCAGTCACAAACTTCAAAAAGGCTATTACTAAATTCATTCCTGTGGACATAACTGAATTGTAGCTTTTGATACCTACAGAGATGCCTCAGTATTTTTCCCTATGCCTCTGTAAGAAACTCTAAGTACACATCATACATTCATAAAGTAGTTGCAGCAGGTTACTTCAAGCCTTAATTCTCCATGAGGTTGTGTCAATTAAGAATGCCACTGTCCTCTATCTACTTTCCATCACCCTCTTGGTTTGAGTTATTCTTTCCAGCTTAGTCAGTGGAGGAAACATCATGAATTATTCCTTTGGGTGGGGAGTCACTAAGGCTAACTCAAACTGCCATTCAAACCAAATGCTCACATTTTCTGCCAGATAAACTTTCAGGAGTGGTTAAATCCAAACAATGGGGACAGCAGTGAGGAATTCAGTAGAATAATACTTTAAAACAGTCACAAATCCTTCTAAAAATGAAGATTTGACCTTGATCTTAAAAGACAAACTACTAATTTACACTAATACTACATTCCAATATACTAGAACACAGACTGAATACATTTTTAGAAGAAAGAACACAAAGGAAAAATCACTCACCTTTTTAATCTCTTTATAGAGTTCTAACTGTAACCTGGGAAGATTGGAATCCATCAAAGCCTGCAATAAAATGCATTGAGAACATACTGTATCAGAGGGGAGGTGCTTTAGAGGAAAAATGTTACACTTGCAGTGAAACAGCTTCAAACAAGGCACAGAACTATCTAATGGTCCCTATATTTGATGTGTAACTGAGGAAGTGATAAATATTGAGAGGAGACACCTTTATCCTTCACACAAATGTGGACAAACTCCACAAACTCTAACAGTTATTTGCAGTAAATATTGACTGTTTTACTGACTCTACCTGCAAAAGGCCATATGGGATCAGCCTACAAGCAGAGCTGACCTCTTGTGCTTTCTGGCAATCACCAGAAACAGCTACTCATGAACAGAACATTAAACCACAAGAACAGCATTCACAAGCAGGAAAAAGGCACTCCCTGCTACACGCCCCCACTGTCAAGCTGGCTTCTACTATTTCTCAAACTGAAGCTGTATTTGTACCATTACCTTTAACAGCCCCTGAAAACCCTTTGTTTCATGAATCAGCCAATTTTCTGCATCCAGTTAGTACACACACCACAAGGAGCTCTGCACACCAGAAGTGCCACATCTCAGGATCCAATCAAGCATACAGCAACAGGGTTCAAACCTGCAGCCTGGCTAAAACTCAGTGCACACGACATGAAAGCAAGCACATAGAAGTAGAAATTTTCTGTTCACCCCAACAATTCTCTGCCTTCAAAGTATCAGAGAATAAGAAGATATGAAAATATAATCTTTTTATAGAGAACAATTTGTACATATATGATTACCCTTCCTCCACTTTTTTCCCTAGTGTATACTACAATTTATGAACATTTCCATCAGCTCATCCTCTGAGGAGATGAGACCCTCATACAATCTGAAAGTGCCTACACTGTGAATTCATACAGTGCTATATTGTGGAGTATTTAATTTTTTATTCCTTGCCCAATAATTTCTCCATTTCTAATTTTCTAACTGCCTGCCTAGCCACCACCATTAAACTCCCATCTTCACAGGATTACTCATCATGACTACAAAATCTTATGGTACCCACTGAGCTAGAAGCCACAACTGCTTCAGCACAGTGAGTGGAGTGCCTGTGGCTCCTCCAGAGCCTGATCTCCCCAGCTAAAATTGTATGCTACAAAACTCCATTCACCCCAATTACACCTGTTACAATACAATACAATGGCATTGCCTTCCCCAGAAAAATCTTAGCTGGGTTGGATCTTTATATTAACATAAGCACCCCAACTATAGATGGAAGGTGCCAGGATGACAGCAGGTAGGATTTACTTGACAAAACTTTGTTTTTATGAGAAGTTCACTGCCTATATATATATGAGATATCAAGCAACACAAAAAGGCCCCAGCTATTATTTGGCCTTGAGGCTAAGTTGTCCTTATAACACACCCAACTACAGGAACTCTTTTTGTTAGTGTACAGCTGTATTTTTAGCAGACTGGAATCTATAATGTCATCACTGGAAAAAAAGCATAGTAAGCTCTAAACTGCTACAAGAATAAACTGCAATTACTGAGGCCAATTGTACTGCAATCTGTGTGAACAGTCCCACCAGTATCATTAGCACAGAGAATACTACAACATCATGCATCAGCTTTAGAGACAAGGCAGCTTGACCTTATCCACAGAAACCCGCAAGTCCCAACTTGGTGTTTTTTCTTTTAAATGTATCACCACAGTTATTTGAATTTTGAGCCATTTACACTGTCTTTGAGGTACTGACAGGTAGGTATCGTTATGCTTGAAGATGACTTACAGTGTTTATCTAAAGTTAAGTGCTCAGCCTTGTCTGCACAGAAGAGTTCATTTTCTAGTTACAGTAATGAGCATAAACTCCAGACAGACACATGGTTACACGAGTAATGCTTACATCTATAGTCTTTCATTTCAACAGAAGCTACAAAGTATCTTTGCTAACCAGCAAAAGAATTAGCCTCTAAAAAGCCTGAGATACTAAAAAATGCTGAAATTTGACTAAAATGCAAGCTTAGGAGTCCAACAGCTCTGTTCTACTTACCACAAGCATCACTGGCACTCGCACAACCAAAAAGTAAAACTGGACAGCTTTTTGTTTCTGCATTTATACACAAGTGTCTGCCCAAGTTTTTAAACTGCTTCCACACAAGATAAAGCACAGAAACAGAATACAAAGTACACCCAGCCTCCATAACAGCCTGATACATCCATGTGTTTAGAATATCACAAATGTTACCACTTAAGAGCTGAGACCAACTGCCAAGCTTAATGGCTGACAGAAAATGCCAGCATTTAAAACCATTTTAATCTTGAAAACAAAACAAACTACCATACAAACATTTGGGAACAAAAACTAGGTTTTTCAAGTTACTCTGAAACATGCCAGAAAGCAAAAATATTAAACAGTTTAAAGAATTTATGAGGTAAATTTTATACAAGTCCACATAAGTGTTTCATGGAAAGAAAGAAATAAGCTTATATTCTTTAGGACTGTTTCAAAGTAGCTTTTAAAGCAAATTGAGTTAAATAATAATGCATGCATTTCATAGAGTGCACTCCCTCCAATAGAAAAACAGTCAAATCAGAGTGAAAAGAGCAAAGTGCTATTGGGCCGAACAAAAAAGCAAGGAACCCACACTTGCTCATTCCCTATCATTATGGAACACACTACATAATCTGTAAGCTTCTCCATACAACTTCCAGCCACAAGCTTAATCCCCAAAACTTACTTCATTCAGATATGAATGTTCCGTTTTCTTGCTTCTGCACACCTCTCCATATGAAAGAAAATTATTATTTGCATCTTTCTAAAGCACTTTGCATCAACTAGATTATTTATGTAGGTACATAACAGTGTCTTAAAGTTCAAGTATTTCAGAAAAAAAACAAACCCAAAAAAAGGGAAGTGAACACAAGCCCCTCCTTGAAGCAGCAGCTACACATTACTCATAAGGTTCATTTTAAGATACTTTGCATCAAGATTTAGACCTTGCATGACCTCCGGTGAATGCCCATCTGCTGTTCTCCAACAAGCTCTTCATTCTTGATCACAGCAGGGGAACAAACAATCTCCAGAATACTATATTTATTCTAATTTCTGCCTGAAATCTCCTCCTCCAAGTCTCAGCAAACCACACTATCTTTCAATCAGCTTTTAAACAATATTTTTACTTTTCCTCATGCTAAGTGTCTTTATGTTTACAGAACAATAATAGGAGTATTCCTCCCACACAGGATGATTTTAGAAAAGCCCACATTCCTGTTTTGGTTAACTTGAAGAGAACAAAGTTAATGAACAACTGAAGACAAGAATAGATCAGAACAATGAATTACATAAGACAAGTTAAATATGTTTATCTGGGCATAGAAACCTCTCCTAAGAGAGAAAGAGCACACACAGAATTTAGTACAGAAACTTACTTAGCCTCTTACATTGAGATGTTATCAACAGTAAGAAAGGCAACTAAAGGAACATCAGTGGGAATTCATACAGGACACTGCATCAAGAAGAGACAAAACGTGATAGTAAAAGCTCTTACTTTAATAACTTTATTAAGGCATTCATCTGCAACCATCCGGACATCAGATTCTGCATCCTCACTGCAGAGGAGAAAGAGCTCCATAGCAATGCCCAGCAGCTTCTGAAATTCTGGGGAATTCCTAAATAAACAAACATTAGAAAATTACAATGTGCACCATGAAAATGAACACCAATGATGTTTTTGAAAGGGTTTCATAATCCAACTACATATATACCATACACACATATGCAAGAGGAGAAGACATTTAGTGTACTAGAGCACTTCATTATGAGTTGGGAGATCATTTCCCAACTCTTTCCTACATAACCTGGTAAGGTATTTGATCTCTGTGCCTAAATTTTTCTGTCTGCAGTAGAAGGAAAGTGCCCACTCCACCAAGAGGTAAACAAAAGTCCTTCTGAGATTTTGAGTTAGTTTAAAAAAAACCCCACACCATTTCAGTTTTAAATAGAAGCTCAGCATTTAAACCAAGCAATTATAAGGAATCCTCCCAACAACTAACACTCTAAAGTTGTTATTCATCCTAATGAATTAAAGACATTAATAAATAATCAATAAATGAAAGACACTGCCTTACCTTAATGACTGAGCAACTATGTTTTCACATATTGTTAGACAGTGATTCACCCGATCTTTCTTGGTAGCTGCAAGTTCTTTCTTTCTAAAGGAAGAACACAATGATGATGTGTGTGAGTTCAACAGTGACCATTCAAACACTTGCTAAAGTAGTGTCTAATCATTGCTCAAGAAAAAGCTGCATTTGCACTCTCTGGTCACTCCATAAACAGCTCTACACCAACTACCTGCAGAGCCAGGACTTCATCTGCAGCTGCTGCTGAGAGCACATGGGCACACAAGCAAAGGAGAAATATAAACTTAGAAAAAGAATGAAGAATGAATCATTTAACAGGGAATATCACATTAATTCCATAACTTTCACTGAGAAAATGCTTGGGAATGAAAATTGAAGAATGAAGAGTAAAGGGAAAGGACAGAAAAAATGATGCAGTCCTAGAAGAAAGCAAAAATAAAAGAAATTGATAGAAGAAGGTTGGAGAAAATAAGCCATGATAACAAAAAATAGCTCTTTGAAAAAGACCCTCCTCCTACATAGCATCACCTTAGCCTTTTTTGTCTGCCAATGTCTTGAAATTTCAAGTTGTATTAAATGGACCACTTTGAATGTGAAGTGCAAAGGATGACAAAGCAATGCCATCACACACTGCATTCCTCCAAAGGTAACCACAAAAACAGCAAAGCTCAAGGCACAATCTGCCCATTGAGAATAACATCCCTACAGTAACACTTGGTATAGCCCAGGAAAGGCCAAGCTGAGTGCACAATAAAGAGAACAAAACACAGAAACAAAGAATGTGTATCTACAAACAATAGAGAGTACAATATGAAATGCTTCTCCTTTGCAAAATATGTTTAACATTCACTTCCACATGATACAAGCTCTTGGAATAGCAACTCTTTCCTGCTCCACCCCCAATAAAGGAACTGAAAAGAGAGTGAGACAGATCCCAATTCTGACTGGGAAATGTTATTCAAGTCTGCAGTCTCTCCTACTCCTAACTTTACTGGCACAGAATCACTTCTAGGAAAGCAGTTGTTACTTTTAAATAATTAACCAGTAGCAATACCGGAGCAAAACCACCCACCCAAAGATACCTCTGCTGAGTGTTTCACAATAAAGAATTACCAGATTTTCACTCACATTCACAGAGAATCTTCCCTTTTGCTTTCCAAATGAAAATTGATAATTTTTAGTATTTCATTCTCTCAGTAAAAATTAGCAAAAATCATGAAATAGCAAAATAGTGTTTCTGAATTAGAAGTTGGAAAACAATGTGAACAGCCTTGAGTTACATTAATAGCAGTACCACAACATCAAGGGCCAACAGCAAGTAGCCAATAAGCACATTAAATTCAGTTAACTCAAAATACAGAGTTAGACAAGTGTTTTTAAAGAACTACACTGCATTATTTAGGAACTTCAGCTCAAATAATAGAAGAGGTTTTCAAAAAAATTCATTAATACACCAGTATCCCTGTCCCTGGAACTGAGGGGTTCAAAAGTCTGTGTTCCCAAGATTTCAATTTTTCTCACAAAAAAATCTCATCTCATCCCAGAAATAATTTCTACTTTTTTAAGTTTAAGGAATAGCTCTGAACAAAGCCATTTTTTCTGTTTTAGTTTGGCAGCATTTTATTTAGGCAAGCTAAACAGCCAAGAGGATCTCTTCTTGGACTTAAAACACTGGCAGAATATGAGCAGACAACCTGAATTTGCTCAAGATACACAATGTCTTTCTTTCTCTCCATCTTGAAAAAGTGTCAGAGTCCTTAGGAGCATTTCAGATCATCTCTAACAAAAAACAAATACTGTCCAACATGTCCAACTGATTTTGCAACATCAGCACCACTGATGTGAACAGGCACCTCAGAAAATGATTCAATAATTTCAACTTTCATGCTAATTTTACCCAGCAGTCCCAATCTCTTATGAGCACCATTTTCAGTACATATTCAACCCAAAACCAGAACAGGCACATCTGAACTTGCCCATAAGCTCAGTATTTCAGATACAAGACACATTGAAAATCCTGCTGACAAAGGCTACTTCCAGAATAAAGTTCTCTATTATCTACACATAACACAGCCCTGAGCAAGGCAGGCAGTGTCTGAGTTCAATGCTGCTCAGACTAGCAGAGATCGATCTCTTGGGCCAATTTCTGTAAACAGAGAGCACCACTAATACAAAATCTAGACCTTGCTGAAATTAGTAACTTCAAAACTTAAAAAGGCCCAGCTGGAGAAAATATAACTTCCAAAAAGATAACTTAAAGAAATGAAAGGTAGAAGGAAAATGCTTAATGTATATTATGTACGTGCACATATTTTCCATTACCTCCTCTCCCTCTGTATGCACAGAACAGTATCCAGAGAGAAAACACATTATATTTTTTAGATCAAAAAAACAAATAAAGCTCTATTCAGAAGTATCATGAAGTCCACAAACTGCTGATGAGCATACCCAGGGGGCCAACAACAGCATCACACATTTGATGAATCAATCACACACATCTGATGAGTAACAGAAGGCAGGAGATATGGAAGCAGCAGTTATCTACAGGAAAGCTCCATCTCACACAGGAGTTTAATCCCCTGTGTACTTCTACACACCAGGAAGAGTAACAAACAATGTAAGAAAACCAGCAAGCCCAGATAATTTTGTCCTGAGTTCAGATGAGCTGACTACAAGGAGTTGCAGCTCCAATGCTCATTTTTATGACACCTTGAAATTAAGAATATGTGAAGAGTACAGAAGTTCTAAAGCTCAGCCAGTGATAAGAAAAAAGGGCCAAACCAAATAGCTTGACATTAATCTTGACAAAAGTAAAAAACCTAAAACCTGTTTTTCAATAACAAACAGAAATATGAGTGGATCAAGAAATAACTCAGTCCAAATATAGGGGACACTGGAAACAAGGTGCAGTAATACAGGATTGTAGTGATGGATTGTCAAATTAGCCAGAACTGCTCTACTACACACCCTAGACATGGTAATGCCAAAAAACCATCAAGGAGCCACTTCTGACAAGCAGGGCAATAAGTAATATCCATGCAGTTCATGTGATCTTCAGTAAAACAACAAATTCATGCTAAGCCTCCATATAGCACTGACCAAACCAATCCCTGACCACAGCTCCAGGCAAACATAAAAGACACAGAAAAATTGAAGAGTATAGAGGAAAGCATATTCCTTGGGCTTTTACAGCACCCTTTGCTGTAAAGGTAATGGTTAGAATCAAATGTAAAAAATAAAATTGAAAACAATTACAGTAAGTGACTATTAGAATAAATTGACAAGAGAAAATGTAAAGAATCCACTTTTGGATTCACAAATCAATTACACCATATTAGTAAATAAACCTTTAAGTTAATGGGAGCTTTGTGATCCAAAACAAAACATCCAATTTCTAACAAAATGTCAGAGTCTGCAAAAGCTGAAAAAATATAAGGAAGAAAATTAGTTGCCTCAGCAGAAGTGTAGAGAAGCAATAATGACAGAGAACTCAAGTTAAGTTTACATAGAAGGGAAAAATCCCAACAAGAGATAAGAAAGAGAGGGCCAGAGACTGACATCTGACTGTAAGGCATGATGTAAGCACAACACATGATTACTGCTGATTAAAATCTCTTGAAACAGAAAAAGGTCCTATCTTCTTGGTAAAAGCTTGGATTTAATTAAGATTTTATTTAAAAAGAAGAGGATATCAGTATTATAAAAGTTCTGGAGTCGTCTTACAATAAAGTGAAGAAAGACGTAGACACCTGCTGGGTAAACAATTAATTCTTCTCAACTCCAATCTCTCTGATCTTAAAACATTTCATAGGAGGAAACAGTCCTCAGTAGGATGGTAGGAACTTACTACACAGAATTACAAGAGATTTACCAGTTATTTACAGAGAACCACAACAAAGATGAACACCCCAAACACAGAGACAATTTTCCTTTCCAGTCTACTACAAACAAGAAAAAATAAATGCAGATAATGTTGTGAATTACATTCAATATGTCACCTGCTATTTCACTAAAAGTCTGGGAGGCCTCAGCAGAGGCTGCCACAACAGCTTTTCACTGGCTTTTCTGAGGCTCAGTGTTGTCACTGAGTTTGTCCAGTTCCTGGGGGCATACAGTCCCATTAGCTTTCTGAAAACAGCCTATTTTTAAACACAAAGCAAAGTCAACGAGGACAACTGCAACAATAATTTTTTAATGTTTACAGTAGAATATACCTAAATTTAGACCACCACACCAAGCATATCATCACGAGCATCACAAATGATTCTAAAGATTTTCTCTTGCAATGCCATGACCTCTCTCACCAGTAACTTTCAAGACAGAAATTTGAACAGCACCTAGGAAAGACTGGAAATAGATGTTCATCCATGCCACATAAAGTACTAGCAAAAAAAAAAAAAAAAAAAAAGGAAAAAAAGCACAAAACAGAACAATTTGTCCCTGCAGACCATTAAGGCACCTAAGAACAACTAGCTCATGATGAAGATGAGTTTTCTCACCTATTAAGCATCAGAAGTGTGGAAATGCACCGTGATTGTTTGAGACAACACTCTCCAGAGACAAACAGCACCAACCGTGATAATTTAGTTGGCAAACGTGTCAGAAAGTGCAGAGGGAGCAGGTGGCCAAGAGCCCAGAGCCACTGCTCTGTTTCTCTGCCAGCTCCACAGCAAAGTGCCAAGGGAGAAGTTACCTGCTCCTCAACCCTGCTGCTTCTCCCTTCTCCCCAACAGCAGGAGAAAAAGTATTAGTGTGACTCGTGTTTATCCCTGAAAAGCTCCCTGCCCTCACACGGGCTCGGTAAAAGGCGGCGGCGGAGGGTGCAAACGCAAGGGGCAGCACCGCGGCACTGAACAGCTCCTTGCCCTGCTCCACCCAGTAATGCCCCCCAACGGGAAAGCTGAGCATCTCATCGACCGAACACATTTATCCCTCACATTTAAGAAAGAAAAAAGATATTAGGAATATTTAAACGAACTTCTCTTAGGTGTCTGTGCAGTACATCTCAGCACGAGACTTGAAATGAACTTTGTCACAAACAGACATCCTTCTGAAAGCATCAGAGCTCAGACTTCAACTCTAAACTTTCAATTCACAAATATCAAAACTTGTTTTTAACTTCAACATGAACTTTCAGAGCACTGCTCTTACAGGAAAGAAGAAATCCGACTGATAAACAACCAATACTTAAAGATATGAAAAGTGAATAACAGAGTGGAAGAAATTTCTCTTGCTCAGCCTTGAATTCCCATTTCAAGGAAGCTGCACAGTCAGCTGGAGAGTTCAGAGAAAAGACACTCATGCAGAAAGCATCAAGCACAGAAAAGCAAGGTCTCACAAAAAGCGCTTCAGCAGTTATCAGAAGAGAAAATGCTGAAAGTAGTGCTTCATTCAAGTTATGCTAAGTTTTTGTCTTTTTTGCAGCAGTGCACTAGGGAAAAAAAAAGCTTTTCCTTCCTAGAACCAGCCTGTGAAACGCACACAGCATCGCTGTGCGCCCCGCTCATCTCCCGCACTGGGGACTTTTCAAACGCACACGCCCCAAAAGTTACTCCAGATGTGAACTTGGGCAGAGAGCGGGCAGAGCACCGCGACACTGCGGTGTGTGTGTGTGTGCGGGAGCCGCCAGCTGCCAGGGACCGGGCAGCGCCGGGCCCGGCTCGGGGCGGTGCGCGGGACCAGAACCGGAGCAGAACCGGCTGGGGCGGGTGCCGGACGCGCGTGTGGGGAGCCCCCGAGTTCCGGGCGCGGGTCACTCACGGTCTCTGGAGCGGCTCCTCGGGGAGGGCAGCGGGGCCCTGCTGCTGCTGGAAGGAGCGCAGCGACTCGAAGGCCTTCGTCAGCTTCTCCATGGTGGCCATGTCCGCTCCGCCCGCGCCGGCGGCACCGGCCCGCGCTCCGACCCGCCCTGTCACGGGCGCCTAGCGGGTCCGAGTGCTGTCCCGCTACCGCTGGCGCTGCCCCCGGACTCGCTCCCGGCGCTCTGTCGGCGCTCCGGTGAGCCCCGGCCCGTCACAGCCGCGATGAATGGGGCAGGCGCCGCTCGGGGCCGCGGGCGCTTCCCGTCCGCCCCGCCGCCATCTTGATCCGTCCCGTCGGCCCCCGCGCGCGGGCCCCGCCCCCAGGGCTGCCCCGCCCCTCCTGGAGCTGCCCCGCGGTCCGGGGCTCGAGCGCGCATGCGCAAGCGGCACCCCCCGCCTGGCGTCACGCGCGCCTTTACGCAGGAACACACATGGGAACGCGGGCAGCGAAAAGGGCGGGGCAGCGGCGAGAGCGACAGGCGCCCTGACCAATCAGAAGGAGGCTCCGCCCCTCGCCCCGTGCCCGACCCGCCGTGCGCTGCTCTGCGGCGCCCCCTATCGGCAGCCGCCGCGGCAGCCGGGCGGCCGCGCGCGGCTCCGGGCAGGACCGGGCCGGGCAGGGCAGGGCAGAGCCGCGGGCGGGAAGCCGGCCCTGGGAGCCCATGGGAGCCCCTGGCACTGGCCCGCGGGGAGCCGCGTTTTCAGCGGCACCGCACGGACCCCCCCGGCAAGGCGGGAGCAGCCGCTCCGGGGCCGCGCGTCACGGGGCACAGCGGGTAACGCCGCAGCCCCCGCAGCACAAGCGGCGGCCAAAGGCGCTGCCGGCGCTCCGGTTTTATATTAGGCTGCGGAGACTCTTGCCGGAACAGGACTTAAAACTTGGCAGCGTACGTGCTGCCCTTTCAGCGCTCCTCTCCTGAGCGGGGACCTGCTTCATCAGAGGATATTTCTGCACACACATATTAAACATACAGGATACAAGAGAGACAGTATAGAATATTTAAATCATTAATTCCATTACTAAACATTTAGAAAAAAATCAACAGTATTGTGAAGTTTCCAATTGCGACCACTGATTTTAATATATCTACTTGTTCATACAGACATTAAATGGCAGCTGATAAGAACAGGCAATTCAACTTATCTCACACACATGAAACTGGTTCCAGCAATAAAAATGGAGAACAGCTCTTAGAAATTCTAAGAAAATAAATTTCCAGTAATTCAACTTGGTTGAATTAACATGAAGGAATGAAGCTCATGTCTCTGAATATTCAGGCCGACAGAAGTCATAGCTAACATTCTTGCCAAATATTCACTAGAACAGTGCTCTGCCAGTTAACTTTATTAGCATGTTAATAAAAGACAAACCATTTGAAACAGTCCTCTGAACAGAAACCTATCCTTAGTCCTGAAAGGAATTCAACTTAAAGCAAAGCCTTATTTCAATATAGAAGTGCTACAAAATGTGAACTTTTAAGGTAAAACCAGTATTTCTCCCGATTATTTTATGATAAAGCTTGCAGAAACATTTCTCTGGAACATGTGGATAATCATGAATTTTTTATGTAGCAAATGAGACAGGATAAGAGATGACAGCAGAGTTGGAACGCTGCACACTCTGTGCATGTGCCACTCCACACTTCGAAATACATTTAAGCACAGTAAGAAGAGCACAAGCTCTTATCAAAGATTAAACAAGGCACCAGCCAAGGCTGTTGCGAAGCTTTTGATCAGTGTGCCAGTCCCCGTGGGCTGCTGACTCACGGCAGGAGCCCAGGCAGTGCCTGCCCCCAAGCTCGCTGCTCTTTGTTCTCCCTGCCCGAGCGGCTCATTAGCGAGAGCGAACTGGGAGGTATCTCAGGGTATCAGGTTTTTCTTTGGTCAATACCTTATCAGTAAGTTCTCCTGGCCCAAACTGATCCGTGGTGTTTTTGCCTGGATCATGTCACTGATCTGCCCCACAACACCCACACTGGCAAAAATAAAGTGGTGTAAACCAGGCAAGGGGCAAGAAAAAACAAGGCAGGATTAGAGAACAAGCATTTTTGTAAAGTCGGTGTTGCCACAAAGAAAAATGAAGTTTCAATTAACAGTGCATAGCTAAAAGATTATCATCTGAAATTTAAGGGATGACAACTAATTAATCTCATCCTCCAGGAGAAAAAGAAACATGCTCTTACCTTTTCTCTTAAGTTACCTCCTGATTTAATATTTTAAGATGAGCATGTCAAGAGTATTTTTCACCTTATCCTGAAGTCTCACTTTGGCCAGCATTTCTGCGTTTCCATGAACAATTCAGCAGGTACTTGGTCCTACTCCATGAGATTTCAGGAGGAGTCTCAGTGGCCCACTGGTTTGGCATATGCACGGATTATCTGCAATATGTCACAGCCTGGCTGTGTCTTTTTAAGGTCATTTAATTTGAAGCCCTTTTGGAGAGCATTTGGGGGCTTTGTCTTTCAACTCATGTTATAAAATTACAATAAATGTGCAAATGAAAAACAGCGCATGCCAATAATTCTGTCTTTTCCCATGGAAATTTATGCAGAAATCTAGATCCAGACCATGAGATAAGGTATCAATTGAGCCAGTGCAGCAGAACTAGGGCATCTTTTCCTGGATTCGACTATCTTACATCGGTAAAAAGCTTTTACAATGCAGGAGACTTTCTGCTTCAATAAATTTGAAATTTATTTTAACTACAATGTTTTTTTTCTTTTTCTATCCCAGCTACCACAATAGACATGGTAAATAAATCACATTAGACAGTAATACATGTGGTTGAGATATGTGGCAGTGTTTTGCTTTTATTTCAGGAATTACAATGCTAGAATGTCCAGGAAAACAGCTCACACAAGAACAGTCAGTGGTTGGAGATGCTGGAAGTAACACATCACATTTAACAGTCAGCTTCCTATGCCTGGAAAGAATTCTGGTGGTTTGGACATATCTGAATCATGGAAAAAAGTTACCTACATCTCATGTGCAAAATTTAAGTTACACCACAAGAACAATTATGAAATAAAAAAGAATGTTTCATTCAACAGAAAATACATCATCATCACCGAATAAGCCAAGTGAGTAATTAAAATCAAAGTAAATATGATTTCAGCTTAAAGATGCTTTCCAATAATTCAAATTTCACCTCCTAAAGAGAAGTGTTTTCTGAAAATCTACACTAAAATGAAGATGATAATTCCAATGTTAAATTCATATAATGATAAAGTGTAAACCATAGGAAAATATAACTTTTGTTGTCATATTTTAGTAACTTGTAAACAAGTATTCTCCATTCACACAAATGGCAATGAGGAAATTCTTACATCAGTGTAGTCTGAAAAATAATTGAAGTGCATTCTAAGAATGGATTGTTAGTTGGTTTTTTTAATTGCATTTATATTATATTTGCTTATATATTTGATTTATAAACCAGATGATTTTATTCTGATTTTTCTCTAGAGATAGATCTCTAGGAGATAATTCTCTTTCACACTCAAAACCATTCAGGACTACTGTTTTAAGAATGATTTGGGGGAAAAAAAAAAAAAGAGACACATGAGATTTTAAAAGCTAAGGTTTGTCAATAACACTCTTGTTACAGACATACCACAGGGGTTTTTTCCCTATTTACTATTAGTTTTAAGTGCTCCTTTTTTTCAGCTGAGACTGTTCTGTTGTTTTTATAATCCAGAAACAACACCATCTCTATATTTTGAACACACCTCGGGGGGCAGGGAAAAGCTGACACCTTTCTTACTAGAAAAAACAACCCTGAGGCATGAAGATTCTATTCTTCTGGTCACAACATTGAAAAGCATTAAGTAAACCAATAAGACACTGGTACATTGTTGCACAGTTTCTGAATTTTGAGCTAAATAGAGAGGTTTGAGGTACTCACAAGCAAACATGAAGATTTACATACACAAATGCTTGGAAACACACACCACCAGGAAAGGAAGGTTGATCTCATGCAAATAACTCCATGGAATTCCATAGGTCTTTCCAAGTCTTGCACCAGTAGAACATTGGATTGGTAGAGCCTTCTAACGTATGGGTCTAGAGAATGCTGAATTACAAGAAGTTATGTTGGCTTCCCCCATCCCACCCCAACAGTTTCATGTAGTAAAAGGCTACATAATCTGTCAACACAACCTGCTATTTCCCCCCTTCGCTGTCCCAGTTTTGTCCTAAAAAAATCAAGAGCTAAGTTCATATTAAGTATCTTGCACCGTGATATTTTGTTTTCAGGTGTTCTCCCCTCTCCTTAGCCTTTCCCTGCTTTCAAGATGCACCTCCAAGCTCCTTATACTACAGAAAAGGCCTTTAACCAATGTAGTCACCTTAGATTAAACAGCATAACATCTTCCCCTCCATGTACTGTGTATGGAGACTTATGCTGATTGCTGATCCTTCCCAGTTCCTCGTTTTTTCTAATTTTCCAGGGGATTCACATCAGATAAGATGCAGTCATTATTACATGCTTGTATTTCTAGCCAAAAAGGATAAATTTATAGGACAATAATGCCATCTTGAGCCTATTGGGGAAGAACCGATCAACTAACCAAAAAAAACCAAACCCCAAACCCAATGGAATTAGGTCATAATCCTGCAAACATGTACTCACTCAAAACAATTCAATAGTAGTATTCTGAACTTAGTTTAATTCCAAAAGTTTTTTCTTAAGTAAAACTTTATAAAACCAAACAAATTCTCACTTTTTTACAAGGAGTTCCTTTTTCCAAAGAAGCAGACATGTAAATAACCACTTCTTAGGAACAATTTCCCTTTTCTTTTAGCCCTCTTTCTTCACAGATTCCTGGAAAATATATGTTAACCCTCAACACTCCAAAACAGAGAAGTGATTTTTAGGTTTTTTTAAGATTCCTCTCTATCCCATACAGAAAGAAAACTTGAAATACATGATCAATAGACTTTCAGATATTTTTTTTAATCTGTTAAAACCAATTTACTTCACAAAAATTTTTCTTCATAAAAAATATTCAGCTTGTGTCCGTGGTATTCTTGCCCAAATTTCAAGTTGCCCTACACAGACATTAAATCCAGACTGTCACCCTGCATGTCTGCTGTTTATACAGTCACCTTTGCCTCAGAACAGCAAACCTAAGATCTTAAAAATTCAAACCCCTTCATCAGGGAAACAATGACTTCTCCAACCATGTAGGTATTTATAAAACCCTTCTGTTCCTTCTCCATTTTTCCATTCCCCTCTTTTTAGAGTTCTTCTATTGCTGTGGTACAAAATAAAGAGGGTCAGGTCAGACTGCCAGCTCATTGTCTCACACATAATGGTTCTAGCCAACACCCTTACTTCAGATATTTCTGTCAAGTCTCCCATCCCTTCAGTATTACATCAGACCATCTTCCAGTTATTCATTCAAACTCTCTCCCTCTGCCAATTTCTCCCTTTGTACTCTCTAAAAGAGTAATTTTGCTGTCTTGTGTGCTGTTTTAGACTGGAGGAAAAATGCACTGAACACACAGGAAAATAGGCTCATTCCTCATTCCTGTGGCACAGTAGCCAAGAGGAACAATTTCAGAGAGACACCAGATGAGCCCCAGTAGGGTTCTGTAACACACTGGTTTTCCAATTTTTTCAAATTCTAATCCATTAAAACTTTGCCTTTAGAGACCAAATACCATTAATTAAAACCTGATGATGGGCTTGAATATCAAATATATCTTGTGAGTTTCTCAGAAGCAGCTGAAGTTTCTTCCAGTGGGTCTGCAGATCACAAGAGGGACCTTTTTGAGGTGGGGGTGCTATTCAGTTGCTATTCTGTGTGTACAATACATGTGTGGCCCAGTTGGTGCCCCAATGAATGCATGCACAGTTGAGACAAATCTTGAGAATACAGAACAAAATATGTAACTAAACTCATGTCTCCAACTCCATTGTATTTCAAGTATCCAACTCAATTTTGAAAACAGAAGAGGCTCTTAATGAAATGTGCTCTTTAAAGTGACTCTCATACCCAGATGAAGTTTTACTAGAAGTTTACATAATAAAGGGTCTGACCTACAGTGACTCCAGAAGAATGGAAGTTTGCCTAGCTTTCAAGCAGCTTTTGTCAGTTTTACTAATGGACATCAGGTAAACATAACAAATTTCAATACCAGTTCCATATCTGTATTAAGCAATCATTAAAAACATATTTTAATGTTTCTGTTTTAAAAGGCTATAAAAAATACTTACATAATTAAATTCAATACTTAATGCTAACTTGCTCTTCCCCCAGTGGCAGTGATCACTGTCAACCCTAGAACATTGCATATCACAACATAAGCAGAGAGGATGTTAGTAAGAAGAGCCAGGCTTTGTTTTTTAACCCATTATAAAAACATAACATTCTACATGGAGTTAAAAACAATTTCATTTACAGAAAATAAAATAAAACTGTGTCCCCACAGGTAAAAAGAAATAATTTCAGTAAAGACAACAAAGTTTTTAAAATATAGTTATAAAATTTTGGCATAGGTTGACTTGCATGGTTCATGCCAAGAAACTCTATGGAGAGGATGTGTAAGATGGGTAGGAAAGAGAAGATAGGATACTTCAGTTTGAGGATTAAGCTAAATGTTCAAAGTTCTCTTTATACAGAAATACAGAAAGAGATTCTACAGAGCCTGATAATAAAGAGCAATTCCTAATAGCTGGCCACAGTGCACTGAATTCCTTTTTTTCTCTTAGCAGTTGCTTGAGAGATACATTAGGTAATAGCACTGCCATGCTGCTGGATAATACCAGAATTATTAAATTTATCAGTACATCAATTTTACTGTTAAGAAAATTGCTAATAAAGATCCTAATGATCAAGAAGAGTTTTACCAGGAGCATACAAAGTCAAGTTACAGTGATGCCATAGATACTATCTCTGTGCTTTAAAATCCTTTTAGTATTCCTAGATTCATTCCACTGGGAAAAAAATAATCAAGATAAATCAAATACATACAGAAACACACTCACTCAAATGGCACTCATTGCTTTTTGTACAATTAAGCTTTAGTGAAAATATACATCTTAAAACAAATGAAGTACAAATGTACAAAAATCCTTAAACTCAGATAAAAAATATATATAATACAATTTGCTACAGAGATATAAAACATTTAATGCTTGCTCATCCTTTCTGATGAGCATAAAATGATTTAAAGTCTGGAGGACTCCTGCTCATCATCACTGCAATCAGACTTAAAGCAGACCTGCAAGAGAAGACAAACAGACAACTCAGCTGCAGAACTAATACTATTGTTCATTTGTGTGTTTTATGGGACACAGAAAGGCTGGGGGGGGTGGGTATTTTTCCAGCACATTTTACTCCATCCTAAGTAAATGCTTTGGGAAACTCAAAGGAATCCATAATCTCAACCCCAAATCTCAAATTGTTAGAATTGAATTAAAGTTCTTTCCTTCTTCTAACTTCACAAGACAATTAACTGCAATCCTATTAGTTCAAAACCAACTGAAAACTGTCAAACCATATTCATTTTTAGGACTTCTTCTCTATACATAGAACCATATCTTGGGACAGTACAAATCCTGCTGATTTTTGGTTGGAAATGACTACAGTAAGACACAAGCTTTAACTTTAGCTATGTGAGAATATTAGTACACTCAGCCATCCCTTCTATTCCATTAGTCAAAGTGGGGGGAAAGTGTATTTGAAAAGATGAACTAAAAATGACAGCACTATTATACATTCCATTAGCATTGTACCATTTTAGAAAGGTGAATTGCCAGCTGAAGACAAAAAATTTCTTCATGCAATTTTAATACACGGCCTTGCTGTGGCTACTTAACAATATGCACCTAGCAATTTTAAAATTCCATTTCTGCTTGAAAGCAAAATTAATTTCTACCCTCTTCACTATTGGAATATACTCAAGCTTCTCAAGATATTTCCTCTCTAGGTGCAGGCACACTGAGCAAGCACAATTGAATATAACATTTACAACTGCAAACCTTTACAAATAGTCTATTTCTTATATCCTGTAGACAATTACAATACATGATGTGTCTTCTAGGTGGTAAATACTCAATTCTCTGAACAGGAAATTCTTCTACTAAAGAGTAGAAGTCTGTGTGTAAGAAAAGGCTGTGCATTATCAGCTAGGTAAAGATCTATTATGTCATTGTTTTGGTGAAGGCATTAAACTGCCCAAGATATTTTAACATTTGTTTCATGGTGCCTCTCATTTATTTTGGGGATATTTCGACTTATTTACTTATTTATTGGATAGATACCTATTTTTGCTTCTAAACTTACTTATTTTTGCTTATAAATTTATTTATTACTAGTTTTTACACAGGGCCTCAATTATCTCTGAAGACATGTACACAGGTTTCATTAAAAATGGTAAAATATATAAGAACCAAGACCCAAACGAACCTCTTTAGCAAAGGTCTAGAGCACAGTTTTTAACAGAACCCAGGTAAGTAGAGGAGGACAGAATGCTGAGGCAGGAAAGCCTGCTGCAGTTATAGGGATTGCCATAATTTCTGAAATGTGGTGGAGAGGCAAAGCCATAACAAACCAGATTTCATTAGTTTCACAATGCAGTGAGCAACTTGGTTTTCCTATCACAAATTAACAATAATAAAAAAAATAATGGAAGTTAATTTAATGAAAGAAAATAAATGCCCTTACCTCTCCACTAAAAAGTCTGTGAAAGAAGCCTCTCTTTGGCTTAGGAGACTTCTCTCTGTCTGGTGACACAGTACCATCAGTTTCATATGCATTGATATCTTCAAAGCATCCCGTTTCAATCATCTTTGAAACACATGAAATATAAATGAAATATCCATAAAAGCCTCTCAAACAAGTTCCAGGTTGTTGTTGTTCCCTGGCTGGGTACTCCTAACACTTAAAAATTCATCAGCCAAATGATACCACTGTCTCCAAAAGGAAGCACAAAGCTTGTGCACTCAACCAACTAAAGAATAGCAATGAGAGCACTCTCACACAGGTGTCAGGTACTCTCTTGCTTTTTTTGCATTCTTGCCTTTCTTATACTTATGATGCAATAAAGAGAAGCTTCTAGAACCAGAAACAGATTTTAAGGTATTCTGTTCATTTTAGAGCAGGCCAGCCAAAAAAGAGAGATATCTCTATGCCCTTGACTGAACTTAATTAATAAACATGACATGGGAAGAAAAAAAAAGATATAACGAAGATGGGGATTTTGAAATAATCTTTGTCTGTGTGCACAGAAACAAAAGAAATAAAACCACAATTACTGGGTACAGAAAGGACAGCAGGAAGACTGAATGCCAAAATACAACCAACAGGCAGGGTCAGAAGGGGGGGAGTGGCTAATGGCCAAATCCAGCTGGCATTTACCAGTAAGTGCCACCAGTACACATCTGTCACAGCAGCTGGCAGCCAAAGGAATCACAGAATCACTGGGTTGGAAGAGACCTTCAAGATCATCGAGTCCAACCCAGCCCTAACACCTCAATTAACCATGGCACCAAGTGCCCCATCCAGGCCTTTTTTAAACACATCCAGGGATGGTGACTCCACCACCTCCTCAGGCAGACCATTCCAGTAATTTATCACTCTTCTGTAAAAAACTTTTTCCTATTATCCAACCTATATTTCCCTTGGTGCAGCTTAAAACTGTGAATATACCTTGTAGAGGGAGAGAGGGCATAAAGAGGAATAAGAAGAAATGCAGCCTGCTTTTGTTGTAAACCAGGACATTGGGTAAATTATGGAATGGTGAGAGAAAGTCTTGAGAGGCAAAAATTTGAGGGAAAGCTCAGTAACATGAATTAAAAGAAAAAAAAAGCACAAATGTACAATGAAATCTGCAGTTCTTCCTTGAAGAACAGGAATTGCCATCACAAGAATTCTACAACTACTTCCAACTTTAACCCTCTCTGCAGGGTTAGTTATTAAGCTGCAGTGCATTTTTTAATGTCTAGATCATATTCTGAAGTTTAGAATTACAACATAGTATAGGAAATACTTCTCTCTCCAAGACTCACTGTTTCTCAGTGAAAGCTCTCTATGTCAAATGACACCTTTTCAAATATCCTTAATGTAATGCAAAAAAAAACAAAAGGAAAACAGAGGGGAATGTACTTTTTCCTCCAAATTATTCAGAAATTTCTCATCTTTTGTGTTCAAGCTTTAAATAAAATGCAATCATACTGGGAGAGAAATGACATTGGTAGAACAAGACAACAGCAATTTCAGAAAGTCACGAATAAATTATAATGGGGACAAGGCATTCATAACAAGAACTACAATTTTAAGTAATTGTTACTAAGTGCTCTTGCTGAAACAGTAAATAGATTTGAATTGCATGCAGAGGCAGCAGAATTCTAGTACTCTATGCAGACTACTAGAATATTCATTCACTAAGCACACAAAACAAACTCTTAAGGGAAAGTCTGACTCAACTGATATTGAACTGTTTGTTTTGAAACCTTGAAAAAGGTGAGTCTGCAATTCTGTATTGCTGTCACTTGGATACTCTATTGATACACAGGCTATACACAAACAGCTTGCACTGCACCTATTTGCTTTTGAACACTTGGAATAGCATTCCATCCCTCTCCTGTGAACAGCAATACTGAATAACATGGGAATGAAGAACAAGGAAAGGGTGGTCTTACAGATACTAACACTGTTCTGTAATCTGTGCCTATGATGACAACATGCCAGACTTTGTTTATGCAAATTTACTATAAATCTCAGTTTTTAGCAAGTTTCTTATGTTTTTGGAAAAAAAGAATTTCTTAAGCCTCTCAGCAAAGAAGTCTAAAGCAGAAATGTCTTTACATCTAAATAATTATAATTATATATTTTATTAAATATTCTATACTGCTGTATTAAAGAAATAATCTTGTATGAAATGTGCATTACCTCATTTTGCCAAGGAATTGAGACACAACCCGTCACAAATTTGGAATAGAAGTCATCATCTGTGGTATCCAGGTTCACTCCTTTCACTGTTGAGAACTGCTCAATGTCCAGGACATCTTTACAATAAACTGCACGTGGCTGCAGTACAAGACAAGATTACTTCATTAAAGTTTTGGATCTGGGGACTTTTAGTTTGGTTTTATTTTCTCTAGATGAGCAAAAGAGAGCAAAATGTCTGCAATTTTACATTTCACACTGCTGATCAGCAAATTATATTATTCTATGGAACAGAAATACAAAGATGCTCTTCATAAGTAACCAGAGCAATTCTATCCATCCTGCAAGTAAGAGAAAAGAAATATCAAAGCCAGAAACAGCTTGTTTGGATCTCAGTGATTATCATAATTCACTCATCTTCTGTCACCTTTCTTTCAACTCTGGAATATTTTCTTCAAAGCTATTCCTAATTTCTTCTGCATCTGAGCAATGGAAGGGGACTTTTATGGGGTAAGAAATCAGCTACAAAGCTCCCTAGGGAAATACCACTATTGTAAATTGTTTTGTGATCTCAGATGAAACACCACAAAACAATTAGTTATCATCAATAGCCACAATGGCATTCTCCTACCAGTGTAACTAACTTTAAAGGTTTCTCTGGAGTTCATATGACTGCTAACAGAATTATGACAGTTCTTCCCTTTTTAGATACTAATCAAATCTGTCTCACCTACTTACATCTGGCAAGAATGGAGGTTCTAACATGTTAGCTTCCAGCCTCTTGAAGTTGATGTTCTTGAAAATAGGATGTTGCTTTACAACAGCAGCTCCTCCTTCAGTGCAGCCCAGTCGTTCCCCTGGATTTTTAGCAAGTAACTGCAGATACATGGAAAAAAGCTGATCCATGATACAATCCCACAAGTAAAAAAAAAATAATCTACATACAATGTCTTGCAATCAGTTTATTTTGCTACTTGGGCTTTTATTAAGTAAATTTATCATGTATCAATTGGAACTATACCTGGAAACCCAAACAACAACATTCTGGGAACAAATATATTTTCAACAGACAAAAGAACCCCTGAAAGCACATTATTTGAAGATTATGCCCGAAGTTATATGAAAATATTTTAATTGATGTCATATTAAGAAGACTTGACAGTATAGACTTTGCAGTAGGCTTTCCTTTCAGGAAAGAGACTTCTATTTTTTCCTATGGGCTTAAGTAATGCATATCTTGCATTAAATAGTACAGAAAACCTGTGAAGTTTTCTGTATAAATTTAAGAAGAAGCAAGATAGAAAAAAAAATGTCTTGTAGATAATGTTTTATGTGAAGAAACCGGTGTACTACTCAGCCACTTGTTCCTATGCAGTATCCTGTCTGAGCATGCTATTGCACTCCATCTACAATAACAAGTGGTCCAAGCAGTACTAGACCATTTCATTCATGTGATGAATAATTAATTTATGCAGCTTTCCTTCATCTTGAGAAAAGTTCTGAATTCTTGAAGTTTGATAACTGAACAGCTCATGAACAATCACAAACTTTCATATGAACTAAAGGAAGGTTTAGGAAATCCCGTTCTGAAAATTTTTCAAGATTTTAAAATAAAGTAGTTGGTCTCTTTAAAAGGATTAGAAATTTAATTTCCAAACCTCTATGTCTCTTCACCCACCATCCTGCAGATGGATTTTGCCTCCTCTGAAAACTTGTCTGAGTATGTTTCCTGGTCCTCCTTTACTCTGCGGTCAATCTCGTCGCGTTTAACTCTTTCCTTGTGCTTCCTGAACGGAGACTGCCCTTCAATCATCTCATAAATCAAACAGCCAAGGCCCCACCAATCCGGACTGAATGTATACTTCTCGTTTTTGAGCACTTCTGGAGCTACAAAACAAAAACAAACACACACCCACATCATTTCACTTTAAATTGACTAATTGTGTGTATTGGAAAAACTCTCAGGTACTCTCTCTGGGCCCTGTGCAGACATATTTGTGTGACTCTTCTGTACTTTGAAGAAACTTTAATTTCTACAGTGAGAACTCTGTTTATATTCAAGAGAAAAACTTGATTTCTTGAATGCTTAAAACCAGTATTCTTTAGAGAATGAAAAAAAAAAACCTGAGAATGAAGTTTTCCATAGCATGGAAAGAAATGTAGTATCACAGTAATTTCTCTGTTTACCTGTGACCATAAATCTCTTTGAATCCCAGAAAAAAATTAGGTGCTTTGTTAAAGTTCTGCCTAAAGCTGGAATTTTCAGTTAAGTTTTCAAGTTTATCAGTAGGCTTACAATTAAGTAACATCTACAAATGCATATTATAACCTTTCTTCTTCCCATAACATGTCTAGTAACTAATCCAGGTCCAATACAGTTCTTAAATTCACAGAAGCAAATTTTCTGGTAAAATGTAACTAGCAAAGGATGCTTTACATACCCATGTAACCAACAGTCCCAACACGTCCTCGGACAGTTTCACCTTCTGGAATCTGCACAGCTAATCCAAGATCTGAAATCCTGATATGTCCTATTTATGTCAAAATAAATTATACATAGTCAGCCAATTAATGAAGTAAAATAATGAAGTACTATCACTTTTAAAACAAAAAATTTCTATTGCACATCTCAGAAAAAACCCCACTGCAAAGTATCAAAAGATTCATATAGCCCTAAGTTTAACTTAACTTGAAAAGAGTGTTTTATTCAGCTCCTCCTTAAAAATGTGCAGAAACAGAGACACAGATATAACTGATTTTCTGAAGGTCAGACAAAAATAATTTGCTCGTAAGCACTCTAATTCCTAGCTTTGGCATAGGCTGCTGTTCTTGGACAAAGAGAAATGCTCATTTCAGATTCTGCATCTATGCATCAGACACTTGTGGTTTTCCATTCTGCATACCCACCACAAGCCCTTAGCTTTCTGAATCCTTAGTAAAACTTCAAAATTAATTTATTCCAAATGTGAGAAAACTGTAGCCTGTACTGAGAGAGCTCTTTTTCCTGTAATGAAGTGCCTCAATAATGCCAAACATGAGTACTTGGAATTGCTATCCCCACTCCCACCCCAAAACAAACCAAGAGCAGCCCAGTCAATAATCCACTCAGAATTATTTATATAGTAACATGTCAGTTCAATTCTGGGATTTCCTCTTCTCATGAATCACTCCTAAGTGGAAAACAGCTTTTATTGCACTTTATCAGCCAAATGTCTCAAGTTGACCTTCCCCTATCACACACAACCTTTAGAGCTGTATCTCTAACAGAAATCATCTGGCAATGGACTGGTTTGTCATGCACTGCTCAGTGGGGAACCAGTCCAAGCAGGGCAATGGGAATAAATCCACCCCACTCTCCTTTACATTCCCATGGATATTCCCATTCTTTGTTGGATAGACTCCTGAACTGTTTCAAGCACATTCAAGACATTTCAAGGCGAGAACTGTATGGACATTTTAAGGTAAAAACACATAAGATACTTTCTCAATAAAAATGTAAAAGTCTAGAGAGAAGAAAGAACAATTACATTTCCAATTCAATTCTAAAACAATTTTGTAGAAAGATTTGTGGCAAAAACGAAAAAAAAGAGCAAAACTCACACTTATTTCTAACACTGGTTATAAGGACAGGGATACTGTTGTTTACAGAAACACCACAGACTCACAGAATGATTCAGGCTGGAAGGGATTTCAGAAGGTCTCTAGTAAAACCTTCTGAGCAAGCAGGCAGCCCAAAGTGTCCCAGGCTTTTAAAATACTTATTTAGAAAGCCTCCAAGAGTGGACACTGCATCACCTCTCTGGGTAGCCCATTCCAATGCCCAATTAACCTTTGTGCATATATGCTGTGGCATTCAAAAAGCTCTACAGCATCAATATTGGTTAACAGCATATTAACTTCTTATGTACATGTGTTAGATAATCAGGGGATGGAGAGAAAGAGAGAGAGAGAGAGAGAGAGGAGAAAGTCAAGTTCGATTTTATATACTGGTTGGAAATAAGGTAATGCTCTGGAGCAGCAAATGCTATTTTAAATACATTCAGATGCTCCTGTGTTCCCTGACATCTGATGAACTCCTTTTCAAGTGCAAGATCTGAGCTCCTGAAGAGATTTTCTAATTAGTCTCCTGTGCTCTCTGGAACTAGATCAAAATATCCCTGGCAGAGAAGAAGCATTCTAGTGCAGTCCTGCAAGGCTACATTTTTCCTCAAAGAACCCTTCAGCTTTTCTAAGACATTGCTGGAGAGAAAAATTAAAGAATGCATTTGATGTCTAGCAAATGTCTTGGAAAGTGACTTCTCTCAAGCATCATTTTTTTTGAAAATTATCAGTCAGAACATGCTGACTTTAAAAAAAATAGTGTGCTAATGACTTCAAAAACAGTTTTTCCTCAACTAAAATGCTCAGCAGTTACAAGAACAAACTTGTAATATTAATCCACAGCTTAAAAGAGAATTCCTGCACATGTTCCACAGTCAATTCAAAAGATTCTGGTAATGACTTGCATACAAAGTCATTAAAGAGAATTAATTTGGCTTTTGACAAACAAAGGACTACAAACAGTTCTTCAATTTGCTTGTACTTCCTTGATTCCTTCCAGCCACATATGCATCAGAGACCATCAGACCTCTTTTAGTCAAAATGTTAAAACAGAAATACTTCAGATTTCTTCCCACTGTCTAAACAATCTGGTTTACTAAGTAAAATTCTGCCCCCCTCATCTAACAAATCATGTTTCCATAATTGAAGAAAAGACAAACAAAACAAATCCACGTAAAAATTTTAGTGATATTAAATCAAGAGGAGGAGGAAAATGAGGAGCAAAAGAGAAAAACTAGCCATTTGAAGGTAGAAAATTGACCCTTCATAAATATTAATGGTTGACTCCCAAAGTTTTCCCCTGCTTTCTAAAAAGCAAGGCAGTATTGTCTTTGGTAAATTAAGATTCACCAATGAGGTCTCTTTTATTATGAAGAAATCCCTTACATTTCTGGCTTGGTATTAGAGGTATAATTCCTGATTTCAAATTAATTTTAATTTTTACTTACCACAGTCATCAAGAAGTATATTCTCAGGCTTCAAGTCTCTACAAATTAAACATAGAAATGTGAATTAAGCAAAGACAAAACTATAAGCCTTCAAATGCAACAGATTCAACAGAAAACAACTTGGTTCTGACTGAAGCAATTTATCCAGTTCCACCTATAAACAAAAAAAAAAATCTGTGAAGCTGATGACCTATAATACAAATAGTTTAACCAGAGAACCAGATCCACTGTCCCTGAACTCTTTAGCCCTCTTTAATTGATATTACCATAACTATTTAATTTATATTAACAAAGGCAACACAACACTAAAGTCCTGATATAAAGAACCAGTATTTACACACAAATTTGTGCTCATAAGTGAAAAACCTTTCTCCTGAGGACTATCAGCTTTACAACTCCCCAGTGGTAAAATACAAGTGTTTGCTGCAGTTTGATGCTGACCCCTTGCTATATTTCACCCCAGGGCATCAGAATATCAAAGACTAATAATCCCAAGACTAAGCACAGGCTTAATATCATTGATTCCAACTCAATTTCTTTAATTTGGCCATGCAACTTCTAAAGCTTTCACTTCACCTAGTTAAGATTCTTTGCAATAACTTTCTAGAAGTTTCCTATTACTTTTCTGTAAACATCGAAGTTTCACAAACAACATTTTTTAACTATTAAATGATAGCAAGACTCAGGAAATACTAAAAGGGCAATAAATTCAGCATTGCGATTGCATCTTGTGCATTTTTACTTTGAGAACAAAAGAAAATATTGAATGGAATGTTTGAACTTTTCCCTGCTCAAGGAAAATTTGGGGAGTCATTCAAGCTGAATCAGAAGTTTTTCTAGGATTTATCCCTACCAGATTCTCCTGAGGATATACATACATATATAGATGCATGAAAATTTGTATAAAATGTATAATGTACATTATTATTTATAATAGTGCACTATAGATTGTTATAATATATATTGTTAATTTTTAATGGTTATTTTTTATATGTGTGTATTTGTGGTATGCATCAGTAAGCATGTGGACTGAGACGGTCTCTTAGATTTATTCCACCATAAATATAAGCCAGAAATAGACACATAAAACCCAGCAGTTGGCTAAAGAATCAGCTATTGAAATAGATTCTTAAAACAAATATGCATCTATACATATATACATACAGTTGTGGCAAGAAGAAGAATCTGAATAACATAAAAGAAAAAAAATTTAGGAAGAATGACTCTAGAGTTGCCATTCTAAATGAGAGAAAACTGTTCACCAACAAATCTAAGTAGGATTTTTCCCCCCATATATTGGTTAATTGATGTTCTGTAATATGTGTATTCATGGTAAAGTTTCATTATCTTATGAAATTAACTATATACAAAAGTCATAAAGATGCTCTGCTTCTCATGGTTTTAAGTCTCAACAATCCTTATAATGGTAATAAATGGATGTTAAATATAAGATTACAGAGAAACCAGGAGAGATCAGAGGTAAAAAACTGAAGAACACTAGGATTTGACATAAGTGTTTGAAGGTTGTCTTGTGGGCAAACAGCTAACAAGTTGGAGCTGTGGTTTGGGCTCTTTTGTTTTGTTTGGGCTTTTTTTGTTATTTTGTATTTTAAACAATCAGTTTTGTTTTCATTTGAACAATGTAAAATGACCTACTTGTAGCTGATGAAATGTCTCACCCCTGCTTCCCTCCTATGTGTATGCCTAAACCCAGTGTGTAATATTGCAAGACTGGCCAAATTCTCTAGGGAACCACATCCAACCACCAGCATAAACCTGATTCACTCTGCTTCTGCCACTTCCCACTCTGTGTGTCCGTGTGTGTGACACTTGGTGTTACACAGCACAAGTACAAAGAAAGCATTCTCGGTCCACCACTAAGTTTGTTTGCTTGTTCTGTAACATTAATGCATACCAGGGGTTAAATGATGTATGTACAGAGACAAAACAGAGCATTAAAATCATACAATCTCAATTGCAGTGCATAAAGCTTCTGATAGTTTCATTAATTCAAAGGCAATAATAATTTTATTGGAGGAATCTGAAACTAAAACAGAAGAAGGAGCTTTTCACAAGGGCTATGACTATCCTGTTACCTTTGGGAGTGTAACATGCAATGCAGCCAGGGACTTCTAGAGCCCTCTGTGAACTACTTTAGAGTGGGCAGGAATACAATGCCATACTCCTAAAACTTATGCATTAAAATTATAAATTAATTTGCTTTGTAAATAATAGTTTAATTTAATTTCATACTGTTTTAAAATATATCTGTTTTTAACACTGTTTTTAAAATATATCAAGCATCAAGACCTAAATCAACAGCAAGAAGACATAAGACATATATTCCTAGGGATATGCCATGAAAAGGACAACTAATTTTTTTTTATTCTTTTCCTACAAAATTAAAATACAAACTTGTTTTAGTAGGAAACAATTAATATGTTCAACACCGAAGAGATGTGGAAAAGTACAAGTAAGTGTAGATGACACTCACCTGTAAACAATTCTCTCCCTTTGCAAATCCTCCAGACCACAGCACAGTTCTGCAGCATAGAAAATAGCCCTTTCTTCATCAAAGCCAGGATTTCCCATGTTATATATGTGAAACTTCAGATCCCCTCCATTCATTATGGTTAACACTAAACACAGGGCATCTTTTGTCTCATATGTATAGGATAAACTAACCTAAAAATGGGCAGAGTGAGAACACAACCATTAATCATTCATAAACCCCAAAACAATTCACAGATCTTTTTTCCGATACAATCAACTTATGAATCCTTTTTTAAGGCAAAAAGAACAAAACATACAAGTGGAAAACCATTCCTGCAGATTACTGGTAGACACAAAGGAATTCAGACTAATTTGCCTGTGTACACAAACCAGACACACAACCCAAAAGCTTAGTGGCAGATCTGTTCATGTACCCAGAAAATACAGTTATTGATGATGCCCCTCAGCTGCATGGTACCTGTATTACTCTTTGTCCAGACAGCATGAGCATATTCCTGATTTTAGTAATATCTCATGAATTATGCACTGCCAAACCATCTTCCTGAACTACGAGACTCAAAACTGCCCTAGAGGAACTCAAATTATTTTAAATCAAATCTGTAGTTTCTATTCCTACCCCTGCCTCCCCCCAGGTAACTGCATATTTCCCTCATTTAGAACTTGCCAACAGTAAAGACTCAGTACAACTCCTTACAATCTTTCTTCTCACTGTACTTGAAATGTGGTGCTGATAGGCAAGGACAAAGCACCACATTTTTTTCAGGTTTTAGGTAAAAGTTTTTAAAGTGCATTTAAAGTTTTAAAGTAAACTTGTGAAATAAAACAAAACCCTCCCCACTTAACACAACATAATATATCACAAAATTTAACTGCTTAAGTTACAAATTCATTTTCAATAAAAAAAGTTATGCTATGCAGATGATCATCTGGTAGGATCTTCAAAATTACCTACCTTGTACTAAGAGCAAAGGAATTCAAACATACTTAGCTTACATTAGGTAAACTAGCTAGGTAAAAAAAAAAGTAGCGTGGGGTTTTTTTTAACTCAAAACATTTATTTTAAATGTGTACAAGTAAATGATTGTTTTAATTCAGTAACAGAACCAAATTCTTCCTTCAGAAGTATAAATACAATACTAAATAATAAAACTAAATACATACAGAAATCAGCTACTCAAATCAGCTACTCAAGGCATAGCTTCCCATTTGGTGGTTTTAACTGCCGTGTCCAGCTATTTATGACTGTACTTGTGACAGAGGCATGACAAGTTATCTGCCCACTTCAAAACCAGCATTACTGCAAATGCTAGACCTAGATCTTCTCTGCTGCATAAAAACCACCATTGGATAGCAAGAAGCAAATAATTAATCCTCAATTTTATAAAGCAATTTCAAATTCAACTTGGATCAATTATTAATTTACAGTGTTTACATATGCTGAAAAAAATGTTACTCAAAAATAGAAGTTTCACTGTTTTAGTAACTTATGGATCAATTCAGGTACTCCCTGGATTCAGTTTCAATCAATTTAAGCACAGAAGCCTTGTGCAAAAATAACATTAGCATATTTATACAAAACCATAATTTACAATAGTTTAAAATATTAATGTGTCTGGCCAGCAAGTTCTTAATTTTTCTTGTAGCTGGCAGTATTCTACAGTGGTTTTTCTAATACATAAAAAACTTATCAGAAAATGCATACATACATATTTTATACATATATATTTATAAATAACTTTCACTATCCTCTAAAACAGGTACTTTAAAATCCTCTGAACAGCAATACAAAATTTATAAGTAAATGGATTTCAAACCAAAGCAAAGTGTATTTGAAATTAACATTTAAATGACATTTCAATTAAAAAGTAAACATTACCTGGGGAAAGTTTTACTTGGTGTATCTTTGAACATTTTAACTTCTTATATTGCTTTGTAATTAGAGCTACTAACAGAGCATAATTTATATAAGTTACAAATGCTTAGGTATTAAAACTAAGATTTCCATTACATGGAAATTCCATTAAAAAGTTAATTGTTTCACATCCAAGATACTGCTTGAAGCCTTGGTACACAGCAAAGCAATATAACCTGAATCAATACAGTATTAAAATGTCATGTTTGCCTTAAAATACATCAGCAACGGAGTAACAAATGCTATAAAAATACCTCAGGATATAAAATTAAGCAGAGGACAAAGATTCAGTGGCATCAGCATGCTGAAACCCTGCCCTAATGTTCTGGCTGTCAGAAATAAAGCAGGTGGACCAAAAATAATCCTTGTGCACTGAACTATTCCCAATCACATACAAAATGCATTTATTATTGTATCAATCATTCCTCTCATGCACTCCTTAAATCAATTTTAAAAAGAGTTTTGTGCCCACAAGTTCCTGGAAGAGATAAATGAAGCAAACAAGATAAATTTCTGAAAATAGAAAGTAGATACTTACTACAAACCTACTATTCACTTTTTCTAGAATTCTTTTTTCATTTAGAGCCATTGATTCTCCTTTCCTCTTCTTTATTCTCTTTTTTTCTAGCTTTTTGCAAGCATACATTTTTCCTGTTGCCCGTACTTGACAGGCACACACCTACAAAAAGAAGGATAGTGTATCAGAGATGCTTGAGGCTTCTTAGAATTTTTATTTTAAAGAAAATTAAATTTAACTTTCTTTTTAAATTCTTTAATGCTGTCAGAAAATTATGGTCTGTAACTATCAATACAGAACTTTTGCTCATGAAACAACTTTAAAGGTTCACAAAAACTGCAACAGAAGTAGAAAAAGTGATTATACAGAGGCAAGTACATTTCTTTGGGGGTAGAATAGTTTAGCAAAACTGTGGATCCTGTGGTAGTGAAACGAGTGACTACAGTAACAGTGCTAAGTGTCCTAATATGTGTTAAGGACAAATATTCATATCACAATAAACCAGGAGAAAGATAATGGTAATTTAGTTGCACTCTCCTTCCATATAGGGCACTGGTTAAAATATGTACAGAGGCAGTTCAATAAATTATAAACAGAATTATTAAAATCTATATATTTTAAATTAGGTTCATGAATATTCTACATAATTAGCAAATTGCAACTAAATTCTCATTTCCAAATGAAATTTCTAAATAGAAGTGACTTTTGTCAGTCACTACAAGTTTTCTGCAGCTTTGTGCATGACCTACAATGCTTTAACACATTACAACAGTTTGCATTGACAACAGCTTGCCAGGTGATGTGTCAAATGTAGATTGACAGAGACAAGAGTTAAACAGACTCCCCTTTTTCTTTGATTCCTTAAGAAGCGCCTTGCAGAAAGATTCTTCTGTACTCACCTCTCCAAATCCACCTTTGCCTAGTACTCGGTAATGCCTAAATGTGTGTTTGGTTACTGGCTGCCTGATTAACAGAAACAATCAATTACTGCAACAGGAATTACAAACGTTAGCAATCCCTCCCCACCCTGAGGTCTGTCTTCATTTTCTCCTTTCTGTTCTGACATATTTCTGAACAGATGCTGCCTTAACCTCATGTAGAAGTACCATAATGAGCTGAATTTCAAACGAAAGGGGTGCTCTGCTAAGAAACGTGGGCTCCCTCATCTGGTCACCAGGCACTGCCAACAGCAGGAAGGAAAGCTGCCCAGGTCGGCCCTTTGCTGCCTCAGTCAGAGCCTGCAGTGCTCCCAGCACAGGCCATTGTCACCTCCTGCCGCCTCCTTTATTGGCTCGCTGACATGCAGACTGTATTTCAGTGCGATCATGCTGACAATGTGGCATTTAAAAGGTAAACCATCGCTGATTTCCCTTGGCTTTTTACTAAAGAAAGAGTTGTGGTATGCAAGAGCAGTTCAAGAGCCAATTTGTTAGGGTATTGATGCAGAGGAGGAGGAACAGATAACTGGAGGCAGTAGAGCTGTTGATCCCTCTATGCTAAAACTCTCCTGAATGTGTCAGAGCAGGGCTATCACAAGGGACTGGCTTTTCCTGTGTTTGCTTTAAATGAGCACTCACTGTTACTGCAGCTTTGCTCTTAGGACAACAGTGGAGGTTCATTTAGTAGAAAATTTGAGTGACTTCCCTAGTTCTCTTACTGGGTTTTGCAAACAATTCAGTAAAATAAAGACATTGGATAGTTGGAATTTACAACAAAATCAGTGCTCAAGCACCTTAATGTTTGAATGTGTGATCACAAGGGGCTGAATTTGAGTCAATTTGTAACAATTTCAGCCTTCTGAAAGAGTCTGGACACTCACCTAGTATTGATTTGAATGTACTACATTCTGATACATATATAATATGTAAATCTTGCTATCTTGTAATTACTAGATCTGTATCTGTACCACCCTAAAAAACCTAGTACCAATCCAATTACCCAGTGGGTTATAATACTAGATTAATCTGTTTATTAACCACTCATTAGACCAAATTTGAAACTAAAGGATGAGAGTACTCCCAAGAAAGATTGGTATTCCACTGCACACTTGACAGCAAAATATTTCTGAATTTGAATTTACCCTTAATACCACTTAAGACTTAAGATTTATCACTTAAAGGTTACAGACAGACAGTTCCATTGGAGTATTGGTTCTCCTGCTATCCATCAACATCATCCTTTACATCTTGTCTTTCAGATCATAATTTCTTAGACAGGCAGTCTCATTTAGCATTCAGCTCTACAGCATTTCCAGCATAAAAATCAAAATTTGCCAAAGCTAAATAATAATGCAAACATTATAAATAAACTTACTTTTCCAGCCATTTCCACTGTAAGAAACGGGAAAAATACACACTCTCCTGGTAAGCTTCAAAAGGTCTTTTGCTTAGGTATTCATGGACAATTCTAGCAGGAAAATAAACAGAAAAATAAAATCCATCTTATTCTGAAAAAGGCTGCTGAAGCAAGAGGTGCTATCAATCTACAGACATATATTTAAACATATCAATGAAGCTGTAGGCAGAAAAACATCACCACTGTGCTCTACAATGGTTTTGACCTAAATGTCTCACAAAGTGAGACAAAAACTGAAACAGAAAATTGTTCCTGTCAAAACACTTGTGAAGGCCAAACTACTGTTACTTATACAACTAGACACTTTGACCTCTGCATTTTCATTGTCTTCAAACCCTCTTAAACATCAGCTTCTCAGCAGCTTTTTATGTATGTATGACCCTGCAAATATGAACTCTGAAAGGATCTACAAGGTTTCATGTATTCTTTGGAGACTGGTAAATACATTTTTTTTCTAGGATTTGAAATTGAAGTTCTAAAAGCCGTATCCAAACCTTGAACACCAAGTACCTTAAAAGAACCACACCAAGATGGAGGTGGGGAGGGAAAGAAGTCATTCAAACTGTAGTCAGGTCTTTATTGGACAGGGGAAAGGGGATGATCTACATGAGACACTCCATTTGAGACATGTTTTATGAGCTGTTCTCACACAGCCCTTTCAATCTTATAATCTCAGCTTGTTACAAAGCATGCTTATTTCTGTTGCCAGGGAGATGACCCAAGCAGTGACAAAACCTGTAGTCATCCTTCAGACATGATCAAGCATGCCTTGAAGAACCAGAAATATTAGAAACATAAAGGCTTTAAAAAGACATGTAACACTCATAAACATGTACCATCCCTCCAAGACAAGCCTCCCCTGCTACTACTGTGTGAAATATCACTCCATGACTGCAGAACAAAACCAAGTTGTATTGTTTTGTGTTAGCTATTAAAAGTGATCCTCTAATCAGCCATCTTAATGGCACATAAGTGTTGGCCTCAGTTAAACCTGTTTTCAAGAACCTTAAATGTCTAAAGTTGTTCAGAAACCTTTCAAGCTTCAATTTATAATTTCATATTTTTCTGAGTACCTCCATAATGGAAGAGAGTCTCTCAAAAAGTAAGAATACAGTAAAGAGAAATATCATTTATCTTACAGAATTCTTGGTGTCAGACAACAGTGTGATTTTATGCAAAAGCAGCATTAAAAAAAAAGCTCTGCAAAAGTCAAACATCTAAATCACATCTGAAGGAAACCCAATCATCTAATAAATCTGTTCCAAGTTTCTTACTTTACTTACTCATTTTAGGGACTCAGTACTTCTGGGTATAACAACTTCATATTTCACTTTCCTTAGAAACACATAAATTTCTCTTGTAATTCTCAAACTTAGCACTAGGCATTTTTAACTTACCTAGTACAGTCCATGAAAAGATCCTTAGAAGGGTTCTTTTCCAGTCTTGCTTTACATTCATTTACTGTTTCCTGAGGTATTTCTGGCAAGTGTGCTGCAGACTTAACATAATAAAAAAGAAAGGAAAGCAACAATGAAAGCATGTAAATCAATACAAAAACTAAAAGTTTTGTATTCAAAGATAAATTAAATTTTTTAATACAGTTAAAGGAATGGAACAGTTTGACTAAAGAGAAAATCAAGAAAGTCGTATTTGAGCAAAATTTTTATTTCTTTCCTGTTACAGAACAATGCATTGAAAGTTATTTCAGTTATTTACTATTTCAGTATCTGGGGGAATAAACTTGGCAATAAGTCAAATTTCTTTTTCTTTCCATAAGTCTACCACCAAAAAAGCAAGTCATCTCTTTGGCTTGGCAGGATGGAAAGGAGAAAGAAACACAAACACAGGCTGGGAAACTATTTCAAACCAGGTCAAAGAAATCTGGAGTTTTTTGAAAAATGTATGTGAATTACGTTAGTCCCAAAGAAATTCTCAAAAAGATGTACAAATTAAGATTCCATCTGCTTATGAGGCATCCTCAAGGCCTTTTATATAAGATGACCAAAGCAAGAGAAGCAGAAGGAACATCTCTTCATAAAAAGCAAATATCGAATTATATACCCACAGAAAAGCTTCCACTGGATACCAAAGAAAAGACATTTGATAAATGTAAAAAATCAGCTACTAATGATTACCATGGAAAACAAAGTAACAGAATGCTTCAGAAGAAAACAGCATTTCACTTTGTGAAAACCTGCAGCAATTCTGAAAATTTACAGCAAACAACCAATGCCACACAGGAGTCTAAAAGACTTCAGATGACAATACACCAAGTTAATTCGGTTTTAAATTTTCTGTAGGTGTTAAATGGAGAATAAATTGTAATTGTAGTAGTTATTTAAAAGCAGAGATCACTCAAGGTTTCTACTCAAGTTGATTGAGCAGAATTTTAGAAGGCAGCACACCTCTCAGAAAGACAAAAATGGGATCAATGAAGTTTGAAAGTCAGTTTACTAAAAACAATGCAACCACTTATATCTCTCTATTTATCTGACACTTCCAAAGCACTTGAGGAAATTTTTGCAATATATTTACCCCATTAGTGAAGTATGTCTCTAAAACTTTGAGGCCACAGTCTATGCGCTTTTCATCTGAAGATACCTCATATTCTGCCTAGGGAAATGGAATTGAAAAGTTTATTATGCTCACAGTCACTTGGCATCTTTTACATGATGACAGGTAAATTTTATCATGAATAACACAATACTCCTAATATAAAAGAAACAGAAGGCTATAAGGTAAAACATGTATGAAGAACAGTCCTAAGGAAAAAAACAAAGCATATGGAATTTAATCTTTGGAAAACATACAAAATCTAGCAATTAGTCTAAAAGCAATTACAGAAACTGCATCCTAGAGGTTAAACTAGATCAACTACAATTAAATAGTATTTATGTAGTGTTGTAGGACAGAATGACCCAGATGGAAAATAATCAGGATAACAATAATCAGCTTTTTCTTCACTGTACTTTTTTCCCTTCATGTGTTATTCTTCGCCTCAGTTTTGGGTAAAACCAGGATAAAACTACTTTCTACAAGCTTATAAATGAGATCTAAACCAAACCCTACATCATTCTTTGAAAAATTAAATTGATTAGATACAAGTCTTAAAAGTTTTTTAACTTAGTAACATCTGGTACTGAGATGAAGAAAAAGAGAATTGTGTAACACAGTGCTTTTTGCAGATAAACAACTGGCAGCTGAACAGAGCTCCAGAAGTGGCTACTTATGGAAAAAATCCACAACCAACAAATCACCACACAGATACTACTACTGAAAAACTCCAAGGACTACTTACTATTAATAATGTTATGGAATAATCTAGAAGCAGACATCAGAAGTTACAAGATTTCAAGAGAACCCCAAATCTGGGGAAAGATAAATTAGAAAAGAGCAATCTCAAACAGCAACATGTATTAGGTTTGTTAGCTGGGCCAACTCAATCAAAGCTTATTTCATATTTCAGGATGTAAATGCATGCACCTAGGAACAAAGAATACATGGCAGACTTCCAGGATGGAGAACTGTATCAAACAAAACAACAGTGGGGCTTATTGAGACAACAATCATTAGAAACCTCATTGGAAATTACAAGTAATTGATGTAATCAGAAGTTACTTACCTTTATAAAGAAAACTAGAACACTAAAAAATGACAGTCCAAGAACCAAACACACACAATACTGGAAATAATGGAATTCCTGATTTCCAGTTCTGCCATTAATGACAACTAATCAACACTGACTCAAGTCATCAACATCTTTTTTTACTGCAACATTATGGTATCACCCACTTCAGCACACTACTCAAATCCATCAATCCAAATGCAAGCCATAATCTCTGCTGTTCAATTCCACAACAGCAAGTGGAAAGGAAATGGTGAGGAATTCTTCTGCAACTGCTAATCAACCTGAGCAAGTCAGAAAAGTTTATCAACCTAAAGTTCAGCAGTGTGCTTAGCATCTTTAACACTAATTTAATGCAATTAATTAGGCATACTGTTTTAAGTGGATAGTGTAATTTAAAAGGAATTTTGAGAGGTGGCCTTTCCAAATATTTCTGTTACTTACAGGGAAGTTTGAACTGTAACTGATTCCTTTTCATATGTGAGTAACCCTGTCCCTAGCTGGTGAAATGAGTCACTAGATTGGATAACTCATTCCTCATTTTAAGTTCTGTCACTTACATTCAATGATTTCACAACTCTTCTTTCTGTAAAGCCAAGCTGACTCCAGACTTTTAGGTCACGCCTTCCCAAGAACTGGACCTTACCAGACTCAGAATTCAGTACAGGCAGACAACACAGCATTGGTACCACCTTGATTTTGGACTCCAAAAATTATCACACTGCTGAAATCACATTGCTTCATGTAAAAGAGTCAGAAAACTCCATTAACTACGATGCAAGGTTTTTAAGGCTATGATATTTCATTTTGGGAATTTCTTTTTCCCCAAAAAAGTAAGCCTAGAATTTTTTTAACCTCTTAAAAAGCTAAGCTTGGCAAAAGCCAAGGAAAAAAGCACACAGCCTCAGCTTTTGCTTCCTGTATTGCCTTACAAAGAATACCAACGCAAGAAACCCCTCAACCCCTAAAAGATCAAATCTTGCTGAAGTCTGGTGCTGAAGTCCACAAAAGGGAATCAGGCTGACTCAGGAACCATCTCTAAGAGATAGCAGGTATTTTATCTCACATCCTTGATCAAGATAGGATGCTAGTTTCAGATCACGAGAGTCACCAAAGGCTATCTTGTTTCAATGATTCCCAAGAATAATTCTTGCCCCTGATTTTTCAAATGGAAGTTAAACAACAAATACAAAAAAGTAAATTGTGAAACCATCCCTTACATCAGATTATCTGAGCTATGCCAGTCTTCTTTCATTCACAGAAGTGTTGCAATCCCCAAAACATTATAGGGTTGCATATTTCAAAACAGTACAAATTTTTCAGTTAGTTACTTCTTAGAGACAGTTTTACCTGAAAATTACATCTCTAGAGCAAGGACACACCTGCCTTACAGTCATGCCTAAGATTCATTCTCTTTTGTGCTGCCAAAGATTCTGCTACTCCTTATCTAAGATAGAAGAATTAAAATGTGTGCAGAAGTTGTAACCATTAGGGGTAAATCCACAGTTGTCAGTGCATGGCACTCATTAAGGGCTCTGGTTTGTATTTATATTCACTTCAGGAATGAAAGCTCCACTGTTCTGGATTTCCATTCAATCCATTCAGTCTCCAATTGTCAATCCAATCTCTGCAATCTGGCGCTCAAACAGCTCCTGGGAGTCAGAAAAGTGAAACACACCTGGGGAATAAGCCCAATTGCACACAGGTTCTTTGACAAATATAAACAATTCCACCTCTTTGACACTTAAATTCTTTTTTAGCTGATCTAGTGCCTCAGTTTTTACTACCAAAGTGGAAGGAAGACACAGTGAAATAGGAGGCACAGCAATAATCCCATGTACATGGCTTACACCCTGCCTCTTCCAGAGCCATCTTACATTCCAGTATTGTAGTTTGGGATGCATGCAAGCAGCAGCATTACCCTACTTCTGTCTTCTTTGGTCATTTGTTCTCTGCATGTAAGAACAAAAATGGCTGGACTGAGAAAACCTGTTCTTTTGTCAGCACTCTCAGTTTGAGACTGTATCTTTTGCTCTTGGATTAACTGTGAGGGACAAAGAATCAAAAGCTCTGAGCTGTTCTTCTCTTAAGGGCTGTTTTGTGCCTGCCTAATCTCCTCACTACTTTCCCCCTCCTCAGGAGGATTTTGGGCTGAGGATTTTTTGCAAAATATAGCTGTGGGCACACTTCCTTCCTCCCTTGTTCTTCAGCATTAGATATCAAGATGTAAATATATCAAGATCTTCTCCCTTAGTCTCAAAAGAATTGTTTTTTCTCCTTCCTTAGATGGTTCTCTAAATTTCCATCTCCATTATACGGTTTTTAATTAGCACATGCTATGTAGCCTAGGGCTTCCATGCAAGTTGCAACATTTTTAAGTCTATGTTAATAACATTTTGAAGGCTGAGTATAGCAAGTAATATTCATAATGCAGACACGCTTTCAGGCTTTAGAAGCCTAGCACATCTTCCTAAAATTGCTTCTCTCTTTCCCATCATGCCCTTTTCTATAGCTGGGACCATATCAAGATGGCAGAGACTTCACAGTAAACACTAAACATTTTCCTTTAGTAACAGAGATGGTTTTTTGACATCCATCAGAAGTTACAGCTTTACAGCCAGCAAAGACTATGTTTTCACACTGTTTTCAAGTATACAGCATAAGGAAACAGAGGTGTATAGAGAAAATTAACAAAATGGTTGTGTCTTAAACAGGCAGGCAGCTAAACCCCCCACAGGCGCCCACTCACTTCCCCCCACTCATAACCAGAAGGGCAGAAGTGAGAAATCTTGCAGCTTGAAATAAAGACAGTTTGATAAAGCAAAGCTGCAGGTACAAGCAAAGCAAAGTAAGAAATTCATTCATTTCTTCCCATTGGCCATTCCCAGGAAGGCAGGGCTTCATTCCCATGTATAACAGCTAGCTGGCAAATTGTACCTTCCCCCCTTCCTCTTTCTTCCCCCAGCTTTTATTGCTGAGCACAGCACCATATGGTATGGGATATTCTTTGGGCTCAGCTATCCTGGCAGTGTCCACCCTGCAGATCAGCCTCCTCTCTTATAGGGCAGCATGAGGAACACAAAGGCTTTGACACTGTGGAATCCCTGTTCAGCAAGAACTAAAACATCCTTGTTCCCAACATTATCTTGGTCTAAAATCCAAAATAGAGCACTACATGAGATACAATGAAGAAAATTATCTCAGCAAAACCAGCACAAAAATCCAATATTAACATACAAGAATATATAAGACTCAGCCTACTGATAGCCATCATACATTTCTCACTACTTACCACTGCATCCAGAAATTCAATGCATCTTTTCAAATCTGGTCTAGAATCACAGAACTGTCTGAAGAGAAGTCTTCCTATTGGCTGTTTGTCACAAAGCTGGTTATAGTCTCTTTCTGGGAAAAAAATATAAATCTCTTTATTTATTTTTATTTTTGTAGTAGAATAGTCATTACTCCCATTTGAGGTCAGAAAAACATCACTCAAACATGAAGATTTTACATTAACATGTTTATCAAAGGTACCATAAATATGCAATTATTCCAAAGAATAGTGAAACACTCTTCAGTCACATCTGTATTCAACTGACTACCCCATTTACTAAAAGCACACTGAATTATATGCTTGAGGTGCACTTAGATTAGGGTGCAAAAAGCAACCATACTGTGAAACAGCAATACCAAAGCAAACAAAATTGTTTGGAAAGAGGGAATACAAGATTATAACACAAGGGTTAAAAAAACTATTACAAGGCATTAAGGAAAAGGGTAAAATATATTACCATCAATTTATAATGTGATTCCTTTTTCTAATTCAAGGTTTTGAAAAGCTATTCTTTAGGAACATTTTCCTTTAACAAACAAGGAGTTGTGATATACTTTTTATCATCTCATAAATTTTATTTTTTCCTCAGTTCTCCATCATATTACAAGTTTAATAGCTTTTTTTTTTTTTTTTTTTTTTTGCTATTTAGCATTTAGAAGCAAGCCAGAATCCTTTCCATTACCAGCACCAAACTCTTATCCTTCTGTCTCAAAGAAGAGGGTTTATTTTACAGGACACTCACCGATGGAGCACCGGATACCCTCACAGTGACTCACAGGGGGCAACTTCAGCATCTCTTTCCATTTTTTACTACGCCCACTCCGTTTGCCTAGAGGAAAATATGAATAATATAAAACACAGTACAGGATCAGAGTAAAATTGAACATACCATTAACAGCATAAAATTAGGTCAGTTCTACACAGATGTGTCAGACTACTTTTCATGCCTAGAAAGAAATCCATCTAGAAGGATATCCAAACCAATAACAAATGTGATACAGAAGAACTTTAATGCTTTTTTCATGTTTCATGTAAAGTCTTTTCCAAGACAAATCTTTCACATTTTGTCTGTGTGTGTAGAACATCTCTGCAAAGACAAATTCAAATAAGTACTTTGAAAATCACAAACAAAACTGAAACATCGAAGATGAAACAAAAAAAAATTTGAGAATTATCTCTCAACCATGATAAAGAATAGAAGAAAATAAAGTTGAGTAACAAAATACCAAGAACAAAGTTCTTAAACACATTTTTCAATAATAAAGTTGTACATAAATATTGTCTGTTTAAGGGCAGTGATAGTACTAAGAGCAGATCCCAGTAATAAATGTGAGGGCATAGCTCAAATACACACTATTTACTCTAGACCACACAAGGATACCAGGAAGAACTCAGCTGTTGTAACATTTAGATATTTTCAATGCTTCAGATTTCACAGCACTGGTGTTGAATTAGTATTGATTTTTTAAAACTACCACAATGTTTTTCTCAGTTTCTAAAAAAACAGATCTGTGCTACATTTGCCATGTTACATTAAAAACACATTTGTGTTTCAGCACATTACCCTGGCCAATTTCCTTTACAGAAGATATGCATACTTATCAACAAAGCAGCGACAGACAGGAACACATACACACTTTCAGATCCAAAACATTTCTGTGGAAGAGGAATTTAGTGCTGCAAAAGACTTTAGAAGATTTTACTAAGCTATATGATCAGATGCATTTGCACATGACAGAGCAGCAGCAAATCTGCACAGAGGCTTTCTCACTGTACCAAAGCAATACACACTGCTAACCACAATAGGAGAAAAAGGAAGGGAGTTACCCAATGTAACCTGAATAGAAACTAAGCAGCAAAGGGTACCAAACTCTTTCAGAAGTAAATTGTTAGGGTGAAAGGAGCTAAAACCTTCAGAATAACAAAACATGTATTTTTTTAAAGCCCTCTTTACTCAAACATACAGCTTCTTGAACCATTCCACCAATGCAGTTAGACCAGTTCCAGCTTGGTGGACCTTGGTTCATACCAAATTCACACCAAATTTTTTTGGTTCATACCAAATTTATCCTTGCTAACAGGAATATTGACATCTTACTCTGCTGCTGCAACAAAGCATTCTCAACTCTAGTGTCCCTAGAAAGGTAAAAAAATAAAGAATAAATAATCTATAAATGATGGCTTATGGACATTCTTTGAACTGACACCTACTTTCTAAAAAAATGCAAACTTCTTCTGCACTTCATTTTCTAATAATCACTTTGCAGGTCATTTGCCTTCCATAAAGTCTTAAAACACAAAATATGGAATTTATTCTCATCCTATATTTCAAGCAGTACCAGAACTAATAATGAGGCTGTATTTACCAGCATCATTAAAACAAACTGTGACTATTCTAACAATATATTTTTGAACTTAAAAAGAAGTTGAATATATGCTTGAAGAAAATCAAATCAAAACAAAACATAACACCCTTCTAACAGAAGTGAACACAAAGAAAATCAAGGAATATTAACAGGTAGCCAATACACATACATTGAATAACAAGGCCTGGGTATAGATTATGTGATCATGAAAACAATGGCTAGAAGTGTCAGGTTCAGCCATGTCACACTAACCTGCAAGGTGCACAAAGGTTAAACTGCTTCTGTTAGAAACAGCCCAGAAACACTCAATTGTGCATGACACCACACCATCAGTACTGATCAAGAATGAAAAACCTAACCCAAATTCATATCACACTGCTGTTTGTAAAATGTAAAACGGGATATATATCAAGAATACTACTTTCTGAAGCACTGTCAAGTTAAAAACCCAACTCATCAAAAAGGAGAGGATGACTAGTGCATTTTACTTCCAGTCCAACACAAAAAGGGCTGCATTTTGCCCAAATATTTGGTCAGTTACTTACAATGTGACCATTATGAACTTCATTTTACAAAAAGAGAACACATGCTAGAATGCAGCTGAATTCACCATCCTACAGAAGTCAATAAAGGCTACATATAATTTATTAATGATACACAAGAATCAAGTGCCTAGCAGTATCAACTAAATCAATGTGCTCTCACATCTCTCTGAACTGAATGTTCTTGTATTTACAGCAAATGCAACTGTACAAGTCTGTAGGTCCCAGTAATGTAAAGAGCCATTTCTGGTAAAAGTTATGGCAGGAGGCCAATTTCTTTATCACATTATTCCCTAATTGCAAAATCCTTTTCCATTTCTGAGGCAGTTTAAAAGAAATATCAAATCAAATTATAACACTTGTGGTTTGAAAGTGTCTTAATATTGATTTCAGAGCTTCTATTCTGAATCTCATTCTAAAACACTTCAGATAAAATTCTTCCAGAAAGACCAGGAGCTCCCTTTCCAACAGAAGAGCCAGAAAGCCATTAGGTTAAGGTGCTTTCTGGTTGACCTCTGTGGCTCAGATGAATTACTGATTTTTGCCTCTTTCAGAATGAATCATGGCTAAAAGCAATGTCCAGCTTGAAGTGAACTCATCTTGTAGAAAGAGAAGGGTGGGTGCAGCAATACACCATTACAGTGAGGAGAAACTTCAATTACATTTTCAGGTACACAAGAACCTTTTGCTTCTCCCCAAATTATCTCTTAGAGTTACAATTTCAACATTTAACTCTTTCCCATTTTTGCTTTTTAAAAAGATACATACTAAATTCAGTTAGATCACTGCACTAGAATATGGTATGGGCAAAACGTTTTATTTCAGTTTTTTTTTTTTCAACCTTCAGAGAAATATTTGAAAAATGTATGTAAGGCAATGCAGTTGGGTTACACCAATCAGTAAAACCACAACTAGTTTCAAAAAATGAAACTGCTGTGGCCACAACCTATGTCAAGAAATAAGAATATGTTTTAAGTCCTCAGATGCACTTTGAGAGCCACAGAGATCTTCCTTGCAGACCTGACTGCAGACTGACTCCCATTTCAGTGAGCACAATGTTCACTGCACATCATTAAATCAGTTTTCTTTGAGACAATGACTTTGGATTCTGCCATGCAGAATCCTTCTTTACTGGCACTGAGATTGTGGCAGGGAGTTTTTTGTGTCCCAGCTCTCCTGCCTGAATCTGAGGCTGAGCAGCACACAGCTGGGGTGCACGATTGCTACAACTTCATTCTTGCAAAACTGATTCCACAAACCAGATTGTCAGATACCAGCTGAGAAATTCATACTAGACCACACCCAGATAAACTCTGAAGCCTGAGACTGCAACAAGATGACAACCTACAGCAGCCTTTAGTGTATAAATCAAATCAATTGGTTCAAGGAAAAATGCAAAACAATTGATGCAGGAGCTCTACATCATCTACACGGAGACACATGAAAATAAGCTGAGTACAGATACTGCCTTAAAATATGTCTTTCCCACAGCAAAGGCAGTTCCAGGCAAGTTTCCTAATAGATTTAAAACTCACATGAATTCAAATCTTCTCCTAGTTCCAGACACATTTTTCTTCAAACCACTCACAATAAGGATTAAAACCTTTCACCAAAAAAAAAAAAAAAAAAAATCAAACCATTCCTGTTTAACTATGACCTTATGCTATACAGGCATTTAAAAACACTACTCATTGACTAACAAATTTTGCTTTTATGCCCTTATTGGGCAAGATCCACCTTCAAGGCACAAACGAGTGTGGAATTAATACCTCAGCTCCTCAGATCAAACCATAACACTGGAACAGCATCAAGTTCAAACTAGAAGACCAGCTCACACATACCATCACTTGAGGAAGGCTGTCATGCTTCTGGAGACTGCTCATAAGGCACTGCTGTGGGGGTTCACAACAACCTTCTCCATTCTGCAGGCCAGATGTATCTTTTCTACAAAATACAACTTGTATCAAGTTGTATTTTGACAAAATACAAGCTTGTATCAACTCAAGCCTGGTCACAGCTTAACAACTACGTTAAGGAGAGTGGCAGCGCTTTTTTATGGAGAAAGGGGGTTTTTTGTTGTTGTTGTTGATGGTTCTGTTTCCCCCCACACATATGATAAATGCAATCTGGCCAGTTCTCAGTAAACTTATCAGAATCACCTGGCTGAAAATTCAGGTTTTGGCAGAAACCCGAGCACCTAACTCACCAGCATTACAAAGGCCAAGGTACTTCTGCATGCAAACAGAAGTAAAAACGCAAGTAGTACAATAAATAAACAAAAGATATCCATAGATTACAGATCACTATGGCATTTACAAGATGATAGTCCTCACATTCCTGGATTCAAGTGCATGGAGCTGGGCTCCAGCAAGGTAATACAGGAGTGCTCTGGCTCATCTGACTGTCAAGGCAGTAACCCAGCAGGCAGTCAAAAGCCCAGCTCTGCCGTGAACATTTGTGCCGTTTGTTTACGTGCACAATCATTTATTGTTCCCAAGCTAACACCACTCGAACAACTGGTTCTTCACACGGGCTCTCTGTGCAGCTCCAGCGATCATGTGCACACGTAGGAATGCCAGAGCACACCCTCTGCACTTCACCAATTAGGTGTGGAATGGAAAGCTTGGATCAGCCCGAGTAAATGTAACTGATCTTAACATTTATTAATCGGTTCTTGCAGTGAGACATTGTAACTTCTCTGTATACATCTCGAGATGTCTCTAACCAGTCAATGAACAGGGCTTACAAGGGGGAAAAACACCCAGAACACTGCAATTTAACAGTCAACAAACAAGGAATTTTTTAGCATGATAGTACACTAAGAGTGCAACAGATATTACAGAAATAAAATTCCTTTAAGCTGACTGTGAAACCTCTATTGCTTATTTCAAATTGCCACATTTGAAATAAGCAAAGCAGCA